AAAAAAAAAAAAAAAAAAAAAAAAAAAAGAAAAAAAAAAAATTGGGTTCTCATGCAGCAAGACCGGCAGAGAGTTTCTCACGGGCTGCGCGGGTCATATTGCAGGAGGAAAGAAGTCCTCAGGTCAATACTGTAGAAGTAGTACTTGTCCTCTGAATACATACCAGCCACCAACGAGAGAGAATTGAATTCTCGAGTTGACCGATTGACTGATCTATTCTAAGCCCTTTCGACTTCTCTGAATTTGGGCATCTTCCTCTCACCGACACTCGTCTGAGCATTTTGAAGGTGGTGCTTTGATTTGGAGATTATCCATTGGCTCCCGCATTCATAGTCACAAAGTTTGTTTGGGCCATCTTTTTTCAGTGTCTCTTTGCTTTCTCCATTTTCTCCGGCCCGACGTTCTCTCTTTGTACGAATGTGCTGAACATCTTCTGTGAGGGAGCTTAGTAGCACTTCTCTTCTTCCTCTGGCAGCTACCAGCTTGTAGCTCGTGCATTGCTGCAATGGCGGCTTCTGCTCGAGCTCTTCGCCAGGCCAGTGGCATCCTGCTCCGAGACAGCATCGCGAAGCCACGTCCCTCCCCCCGAGCGTTTGGTACCCGTAATGCTCCAGCTGTTGCTACCAGACAACATCTCTTGAGCCCTAAGGCGCCCTCGTGGCAACAGGTCAGGAAATTCAGTCGCTCGACCAAGCGATCTGCAGCGGTGCAGGAGGCTCCCCGCAAAGAGGCATACTTGGAGAGTGGTGTCGTTGAGCCAGGGAAAAATTTAGTGGATGTCAAGAAGGTCCTGGTCATTGGTAGTGGTGGTCTCAGTATTGGACAAGCGGGAGAGTTCGACTATTCTGGTGAGCTGAAGTGAGCGAGTATTGGGTACCTTGTATCCACACCATTCGCTTCTCCAAAGTCCATGTACACCCTTGCAGCACGAATGAGCTGACTCTTGCATAGGCTCTCAAGCATTGAAAGCTCTCAAGGAAGCCGGAGTTGCTTCTGTCCTTGTCAACCCCAATATTGCCACTATCCAAACCGACCACAAGCTCGCCGACGAGGTCTACTATCTGCCTGTTACTCCCGAGTACGTGACCTATGTGATTGAAAGAGAGAAGCCCGATGGAATTCTTCTCACATTTGGTGGCCAAACAGGCCTCAATCTGGGCGTCAAGATGAACAAGATGGGTATATTTGACCGCTACGGTGTCAAGGTTCTGGGAACTAGCATCAAGACGCTCGAGACAAGTGAGGACCGAGACCTGTTTGCGAAGGCCCTCAACGAGATCAACATCCCTATTGCGCAGTCTATCGCCGTCAGTACTGTGGATGAAGCTCTTGATGCTGCTGAGCAAGTCGGTTATCCCATTATTGTTCGCTCAGCATACGCTCTGGGAGGTCTGGGCTCCGGTTTTGCTAACAACCGAGAGGAATTGAGCAACTTGTCCTCGCGATCGCTTTCACTGTCTCCTCAGATCCTGGTCGAGAAATCCCTCAAGGGCTGGAAGGAAGTCGAATATGAAGTCGTTCGAGACGCCGAAGACAACTGCATTACCGTTTGCAACATGGAAAACTTCGATCCACTCGGCATCCACACGGGAGACAGTATTGTGGTGGCTCCCAGCCAAACATTGAGTGACGAAGAGTATCATATGCTTCGAACGGCAGCTATCAAGATCGTTCGACATCTGGGAGTCGTAGGCGAATGTAATGTGCAGTACGCTCTGCAACCCGACGGCCTTGATTATCGAGTTATTGAAGTCAATGCTCGTCTTTCTCGATCATCCGCTCTGGCATCCAAAGCTACTGGATACCCTCTTGCGTACACTGCTGCGAAAATTGGTCTGGGACATACCCTTCCCGAGCTACCGAATGCAGTGACCAAGACCACCACTGCGAACTTCGAACCGAGTTTGGACTACATTGTGGTCAAGATCCCGCGATGGGATTTGTCGAAATTCCAACACGTGAAGCGAGACATTGGCAGCGCCATGAAATCAGTAGGAGAGGTTATGGCCATTGGACGAACCTTTGAAGAATCCTTCCAGAAGGCTATCCGCCAGGTCGATCCCAGATATGAGGGGTTCCAGGGTGATAAATTTGATGATTTGGACGAGACCCTTCGCAATCCTACTGATAGACGATGGCTAGCTGTTGGTCAAGCCATGATCCATGAAAATTATTCAGTGGAAAAGATCCATGATATGACCAAGATTGACAAATGGTTTCTTCACAAGTTACAGAATCTGAAAGACACCATGACTGAGATCCAACAGATTGGCTCCCTGTCTGGCATCAAACACGAACTCATGTTGAAAGCCAAGAAACAAGGCTTCTCCGACAAACAGATTGCCACGTATGCGAGGTCGACGGAAAGTGAAGTTCGTGCTCGTCGTCAGCAGTTTGGTATTCGACCGTGGGTCAAGAAGATCGATACCCTCGCGGCCGAATTCCCGGCCGATACCAATTACCTGTACACGACCTACAACGCTTCATCCCATGATGTTACTTTTGACGACCACGGGACTATCATCCTCGGATCGGGTGTTTATCGAATTGGCTCGTCTGTTGAATTCGATTGGTGTGCTGTCAATGCCACCCTCTCTTTGCGCAATATGGGACAGAAGACCGTGATGATCAACTACAATCCGGAAACGTATTCGACAGATTTCGACACCGCTGACAAACTCTACTTTGAGGAGCTCTCCTATGAGCGTGTGATGGATATCTATGAGCTTGAACATGCTTCCGGCGTTGTGGTCAGTGTTGGTGGTCAACTTCCTCAGAACATCGCTCTTCGGTTGCAAGAGGAAGGCAAAGCCGATGTTCTGGGTACCAACCCTAAAGACATTGACAAGGCTGAGGATCGTCATAAATTCTCCCAGATTCTCGACTCCATCGGAGTAGATCAACCGGCTTGGAAAGAATTGACGTCGGTTGCTGATGCCGAATCTTTCGCCGAATCGGTCGGTTACCCGGTCTTGGTTCGACCCTCTTATGTCCTTTCGGGTGCCGCCATGTCTGTCATCCACACTCAGGCGGAGCTGAAAGATAAGTTGGAGTCGGCTTCTGCGGTGTCGCCCGATCACCCTGTCGTCATTACCAGATTCGTTGAAGGCGCTCAAGAAATCGATGTCGACGCTGTTGCTTCACAAGGAGAGTTGATTCTACATGCTGTGTCTGAACACGTCGAAGCCGCCGGCGTCCACTCTGGTGATGCGACCCTGATTCTTCCTCCAGCCAATCTCGACGAGAACGTGATGACTCGGCTCAAGGAAATCGCCCAGAAAGTGGCAAAGGCTTGGAACATCACCGGCCCCTTCAACATGCAAATCATCAAGGCCGAAGTCCCTGGAGAAGAACCTGCTCTCAAGGTCATTGAGTGTAATCTTCGCGCTTCACGGTCATTCCCCTTCGTTAGCAAAGTCCTGGGAACAAATTTCATCGATGTAGCGACTAGGGCATTGGTGGGTCGAAATGTGCCTCAACCTCGGGACCTCATGGCGCAAAAGCGCGATTATCTTGCTACCAAGGTTCCGCAATTCTCCTGGACTCGACTGGCGGGAGCCGACCCGTTCTTGGGTGTCGAGATGAGCAGCACGGGAGAAATCGCTTGCTTTGGTAAAGATCTAGTTGAGGCATACTGGGCTTCATTGCAGTCGACCATGAACTTCCGCATTCCTGAACCTGGCGAGGGTATTCTTCTTGGGGGATCAACAGAACTTCCGGAACTACCCCAGATTGTGGAATATCTTCAACCACTGGGTTATAAATTCTACGCGGCGAGTCAGGATGTCAAGCAGCACTTGGAGAAATCCGGCGCCTCCATCGAAGTGATCGAGTTCCCCAAGACGGATAAAAATGAGCTTCGGAAGGTGTTCCAGAAATACGACATTAAAGGAGTATTCAACATCGCCAAGAGTCGGGGGAAGACGTTGATGGATGAAGACTATGTGATGAGAAGGAATGCGGTGGACTTTGGTGTGCCCTTGTTTATGGAGCCCAAGGTAAGTTCTCTATTCCGCCTCTCGTTGGTCGTGAACTAATCAAATCCTACAGACGGCTTTACTATTTGCTCAATGCATGAATGCCAAACTACCCCGACAAGAGGGCATCCCTTCCGAAGTAAAGAGTTGGAGTGAGTTCGCCGGGTCGAAAATGATGTAGCCGGGTTGCGGGTCGGAGCAAAAGAGACGGAGGACGATATTATTAACATACAGCGTTTTTGAGCGGAAAGCTAAAATGGCTGGCGCGGTTATGCTAGTCATGGTCATTTGCGATGCAGTGGAATTTCGACGGACTATCGTGTTCTCAGGTGGTTGAATTGATTTGGAAAGGATAAACAAAACGGATGATGCTTATACAACACCAAAGTTCGTGGTAGTGAAGCCATGTATCCCATGTTTGCCGTGGAGGATCGAATTCTCTCCGATAATTCCTTTGGTTTCCTGCAAGCGGGGACTTAGAAACCTTTGAAACTCAAGATGTTTCATCGGGATGGCCGGTGAGAAGGTTCAGCGCTTAGCTGTGAAGCCTCACAGGCAATTGGGAGAGATTCTATAGCCATCTTGGGGAAAGTCACGACTGTGCCTTCCTTGAGACCACATCATCAGGTTGATGAGGCATAATTAAATTTCAATATGTCAGAATAGAGAGAACAGCACCGGTCAGAGGTAAATCGATGCCTCGAGAGTAGGTTTTGAAGGATGAAACTGCAGCGCACGAGATTTTATATTGCATGAGTTGAAAGGATCACGTGCTTTTCCCGACAAAGCGGCGCTTAGGGCTGCCATCCTTGGTCGTTATTTATGATTTAGCTCCTCTCTAAGAGAAGTCCAGTCTGGTGAGGCTGTCGTCGCAAAGGGGGAAAGGCAAGAAGGGTTTTGTCGCTTCGTAGGTGGGCGCTGGTACCGGACCGAAACAATAAGCAAAATAGTAGGGGAAAGACTGCCTTTAGCAGAGGCAATCTGAACTGGAACACCTGTACATCCTCTATTGACTAGTTAATCAAATGTCAACCCGGAATCGAACGGTAATCCTGATCATGCCGGGATACGAATTTCGGAATTCGGAATAAGTCTGATGCAAGGGAATTGTCGTTTCTGTTCAGATGAGGCTGTGGATGACTTGCCGTATCCCTATCCGAAGCATCCCAATCCAGAAAGGCGCCACCAGGTGCCCCCTCATGCCTTCAACACCCTCGACTTCAATGCTCCTTTCTTTTTCCATCCATCTGACGTTCTCGCATCCTTTGCCTCTAACTCGTTGGCTCCACAACACCCCGCGGTGTCGCGCAGATGGCCACAGGGGTTGGTGGATGGACGCTGCGGCTCGGCTGACTCTCCAGAATCTCACGTACCGAAAATGCCTGCCGTCGCGGAGCACTCGTACGGCTCCCAACTCTCTCGATACGTGCACTGCTCCTCCGCACGACAAATCTCGTCATGGGGTAAAGGTGAGGAAGTATATAAGCCCCCGAGCGGAGGAGAAAAAAATTTCGGTCTTGCGTCTGAGCAGCGTTCCAAGATTCGGCTTCCTCCTAGATATTTCCTTCCCTAGCCCACCCTAAGTCGGAATAAACGTAGACATCCCTTCCAAAAGGTCGACAAGATGGTTTACAACGTCCCTGCCGAGGAAAGCGAGCCCGTCGTTACCAGCCACATCAACGGCAGCACCGAGGAAATCCTTGCCAGATACTGCATCACTGAACTATGCAAGGGCTGGCCCGTCTACCGTGATGCCTCGGAATGGAAGAACTATCGCAGCCTGTTCACCAAGGAGGGCGCATATGTCTGGACCAGTCTGTCCCCTTGTCCACCAGATGGAGAAGAGCCGGGCTAACAATGTGAACTGACAGCGTGGTCGGGAGGTCTGTCCATTGAAGATTTTATTGCCGTGTCGATCAAAGGCCGAGCCAATGGCGACTTCATCATGCACCGTGAGAATGGTACTCTCGCCAACGTGAACCTGGCCAAACAACGCGGCGTCGGTAAGATGAAGGCCACCATCACACAACGATTCACCATCCAAGGTATCCCCGTCGATATTGAATGCGATTGCCGATTCATTTTCTTCTGCAAGATCGAAGATGGCGAGTGGAAGGCTCAATTCGTCAAGCTCTTCTATGAGAAAGACAAGATGATCCCGGTGGATGGCAGGACTGTACCTACTTTCTCCAAGGAAGAGCTGGATAAATATACCGAAGGATACAAGTACCTGGCGGTTGCCCAGAACAGCCTGGGTCACCCCATCTTGAACGATTTGCCCAACGCTGGTAATAAGGGTTGGTACGATATGTACAAGGCCATGGCGGACTGGCTTCAAGGTGAAGAAATAAACCTTTTCTGGGAGAAGAAGTAGAGATGGATGACGAGGTTTGTGATTTGGTGGTCGTGTATCTGGCATAAACAGGTGCCATGGGTTGTAAAATTTGTGGACGAGAGTCAATCAGCAATGAATGCATCCACGTCTTGTGCCGGTGCCTGACAAGGCTGACGAGGCTGACCATCTCCAACGGCGGTCTCTCGCTTGACTTGCCCCCCCTGATGAGTAGCATTGTAAAGGACGGCGCATTCTCGCGCACCGCTGCGCCTCAACTCCCTGCGTCTGATTCCTCACACTTGCTTATGCTGTACATCGATCGATCACAGGCAGAAGAACTCGTGATAATGGCAAGGCTAAGCCGGCGGTGACCAGAACTACCGACGGGCCCCTGAACCCATCATTTTCCGTCATGAATCCTCCGAACCAACCCTCAAGATCTACTAGCAGCCGTCGGAAGGGCAAGAAAGAGAAATATGGTCAGAACCCCAATGGCCAGATCTCTCAAGACAGGACTGCAAAGCCTCAAACTTCACACACATCGACGGCGACCCAAACCGTGTCTCTCCTCCAGATTTGGGCTCCGACTCTAGTTCTCATCTTCGGCGGCTGTTGCTCCAATGTCTACACTTTGGAATCGTTAATTCACGCTTCTCCCTCCTCAGGCCCATTGATCACGGCTTTCCAATTCCTCCTCGTGGCCGCCGCGACTGCGCCACAGCACCTCTCGTATTCGCGCGGATGGCGGAATTTCTACCTTCGCGAACGTGCCATTCCCCTGCGCAAATGGATCATCTACACCGCCTACTTCCTCAGCGTTAATATCCTGAACAACATGGCATTCAAATACCGCATCAGCATCCCCTTACACATCATCCTGCGGTCCGCCGGGCCCGTTACCACAATGGCAGTGGGGAGAATATGGGGTGGCAAGAAATACCCAGCGCAGAGAGTCATCGCGGTGATTCTTCTCTTCGCCGGCGTGGTCCTCGCCGCGATATCAGACGCGTGGTCGAAACAAGCCGAGACGGAAGCCCAGATCGATCACCAGACAATGGACACCAAACTCACATCTAGGGCAGCGCTGTCAGCAATATCTTCCCAAGCCCCGGGATTTGCCCTGCTGGCATCGGCTCTTCTCTTGTCAGCATGTATGGGCTTGTTCGCCGACGACATGTACTCGACCCACGGCCGGTCCGGAGCCATCACAGCTGAAACCCTCTTCTACAGCCACGCCATGTCTCTCCCCTTCTTCGCGAGCCAGGCGAAACCACTAATGCAGGAATTTGCCAACGTGACCGCCGTCTCCAGCTTCAGCAGCAATACGGGCAGGGGCCTCACTACAACAACATCCTGGTTCACTGCAAACTCGACATCCATGCCAAAACGGCCGAAACTTCTCCCTCCAATTACCCCTTCATCGCCGCTCTCTTCACTCCCTTATCTACCAGTGAACATCCACATTCCACGCCCGGTCCTCTTACTCCTCTTAAACGCCATGACCCAACTGCTCTGCATCATCGGCGTAAATCGACTCTCTGCGCAATCCAGCTCGCTCACTGTCAGCATCGTGCTGAACATCCGCAAACTCGCCAGCCTGGTTCTCAGCATTTGGCTCTTTGGCAACACGCTGCCGCTAGGTGTCGTCGTTGGCGCGGCCCTCGTCTTCGTCGGCGGTGGACTCTATGCTTTGCCCAGCAATAACGTGAATGCGAAACAGCGGAAATCAAAGACGAGTTGATGATGGAGATGACGATGATGTATTGAAAAGGCTAAAGACGAGATCGCAATTTGTGTTAGTGACAGCGCTTTCTATAGCATCGTGTCGGAGTGATTGGAAATAATAAATAGATGGAATAGAATCGAATGGATACGCAGGCCCGCCCCCAAACCCCCCAACGAGAAGAATAAGGGTAAAGGCAGGAAGCGACCGAAATGGAACCGGAAAAGCAAAAGAACAAAGACTAAGACCCAAAAGTGAAAGAGAGCCTGCAGAAAAAAGATTATTTACGTCCAAATTCCAAGATACAGTGGTCTTCTCGACATATCATTTCATTTCCAAGTTCCCTTTACCGGTAAGCCAGGTCCTTGGATAGGTACAGTATACGCACGTGCAGAAATACACGACCCGTCTACGTTTGAATTTATTTTCTCATTATTCTCCACACAATACAGTCCGGTCCAGTTCAATGCAACGCAAGGCAAGGCAGACCAAGCGTGAAACCCCTCCTCCAGCCGTCATCATTGGCATAGTTCATCTTTAGTCCAAAGTCCAAAACGCAATGCGCCAAACCCCTTTTTCTTTTCTATCGCTCATTCAGCCTCGAATTTCATCTTGAATCAAAAGTCACGAGTCACGGCTCTTCCTCCCCCAACTGCCGGGCGCAAACTCCTGGCCCGCGTCGGCCATGTCGCTGAGGACATCGTTGAAGGCGTCCGAGACTTGGACGAGCACGGCGGCACGATCCCAGCTGCCACGCGTCTTCCACAACGTGTCCATAAGCACCGAATTGACTTGTTCGAGCTGTTCGACGGAGAGGCCGGATGTCTTGTCCGTGATATCGGCATGGAAATTATCGAGGCTGCGTTGCTCGACTTGAATAAGATTCGGGCGAGGAGCAGAGGTAAGAGGAGGTGAGGTGGAGGGGTTAAGTAAGTCTTGGATCTGGTACTGGCCGCTGGGATGGCGGGTCTCGGTCGGGGGCTGGGAAAGTCGGTCCTGTTGCGCTTGGCTTTGACCTTGACCCATACCTTGACCTTGGGATGAAGACGGTCGAGTATGTCCAGCACCTGTAGGCTGAGATTGCACACCTGCCGAAAGTTGTGAGTATTGGGTAGTACCTGAGTTGACGATTAGACCAATGATATCTTTTGTCCGCATTGAGGGCACGTAACGGGGAACACGATAATTGAAAAACGACGGGCAGCGCGTACCTTGGGTAGACGGGATCTGGCTACCTCCTGCAGATCGCCTCTCGTCAAAAAGAAACAGATTGGGGCCCATATCCTGATGATTTCCTTGCTCTGCTATCTCGCCGGAAGAGACTTTCTTTTCGGTTGTCGACTGCGTAGTGCTTGCATCGTTTTGGAACTCGGCGGCTGAACTTCCATGGGGCATGGGGGTAAACGGTCCTGTTTGAGAACGAGGGGCAGACATGCCGGACTCCTTCAATAAACGTTGTGAAGGGGCTGTGTACGAATGGAACGGCCTTGGTTGGGCAGATTCACGGTTACCGAAAGAGCTTGTCGTACGTGTCTTCTCTGTCTCGTTGCTCTTTTCATTTGAAGTTAGATGTGAATCAACACCACCCATGGGGGTATCTCCTTCCGCATCGGCGTCATGCCCACCTTGATTGGAGTGGGATCCGTTGGTCAATTCACGATCACCCGATTCATGATGACTCAAATGTATCCCATTGGTGACCAGCGAAGTCGATGAATTTGCTTGTTGCGCGGTTGGAGCCAGCCGTTGAACAAAATCGTATTTCCGCTGCATCGGCTCACCAAGTAAGATTGGCCCTGTGGAGTTGGTCAATGTTGAAGGGCCTGAAGCATTTCCATGTGGTACATTTGACACGATCGGAGGCGGAGGCATGTCCTTGCTTTGATCATTCGTAGTTCGAGTCTTCTCCAGAGCTTCTTTCTCCCTCTCCAGCTCACGTTGATAAACGCGTTCACATTCTGCAGTTAACGCCGGTTCACCCAGTTCAATGGATCCAATATCGACCTCGACATTAGCCAAAAGCTCGTTTGCTTTCAGTAATCGGTCTTCGTCACCGATGGCCCTGGCATCTTTGGCCAAGCGTTTGATATCGGCCAAGAAATCCTTGGGTCGTTTGTAGTACCCATTACTCAAACGTTTCTCAATTGTCACAGAATCGAGATTGTAGTAGAATTTGCCATTTGCCTGATCAACCAAACCAGGTACACCGTGGGCATCTTTACCAATTTCAAAAGGCCGAAAGGATGCCCTAGCCAAGATCTCGGTGTGGAGGTCGGAAGTGACAGTACCCGGGTCAGCTTCATCATACAGATAACGAATTTGGCCTTCGTCAATAACGCCCGTGCGGAATTTCTTATGCTTGGTTCGGATTTGATCCATGATAGGTTGAAGGCGGATCTTCAGCATATTGAGCGTTTGGCGATCTCTTTTTTTCTGTGCTTTGAGCTCTTCCTTCGTCAATGGGGGTGCAGGTTTTTCGGGTTCAGGAGGTGCAACTTCGAGCTGTTCAAAAGGACGCTTCTTCCGATTTTCGGGGTCGGGGAAATCATCAGGTGCCGTCCGAATGTATCCTTTGACACTGCTGAAGAATTCAAATCGCTCCGCATGAGTCGATTGCCTTAATTCGAATTGATTCTTCTTGGAATATCCAAACAACTCGCGTCGCATACTTTCGTCAATGTCGGCTGGCTCGCCTTCCACAAATCCAAGCAGGAGAACCGGATCGGTCGGTTTGATGGATCTCAACAGCCCCAAGAAGGTCGAAATCACGGTTGGACCGACCATGTTGTACCATTCTTGAACATTGGGAATGTAGATGACACTAGGCTTGTGCATTTTCACTTCCGAGAAGAGCCTGATGACAGTTGATTCCGGTGAGCTTGTCGTATCACTCAACAATGTAGGAAGGTCAAAAGCTTGCACATGAAGCCCTTCAAAATGGTGGAGTAAAGCCCCAGCAAGATATTGCTGACCCATGCCCACTTTTCCGTGTATAAGAAGTCGAGGACGGAAAATCCGGATCGTTTCGAAGGCCTGTTGCATTTTCTCCCTGCCGAAACTGTGACCATCCGCCACGTCTTCAAACTGAGCTTCTTCCAACGCCGTCAATTTCTTCCTCTGTGGCAGGACTTCGGCTAGGAGCTGTTGTATTTGATTCAGCTGCTGCCGTAATAATGGTGCCACGCTGGGTGGGAGAGGAGAAGCACTGGAAGACGTCGATCGCTCCGAGGAAGGGGTCATCTTTTTGATGGAAATCATAAAGTCCTTTGGCGTGACCTCGATCGTCTTGGGATCGATGACAAGCTTCTGAGTCGAATTGTAGATTTGTGGATACCGCCGCTGCACTGCATTTAGCGCCGCTTCTGTACACAATGCTCGCAAGTCTGCTCCACCATAACCTTTGGTCAATTCCGCTAATTCATCCTTGATAGCGGAAGGCAACGGTGGATCCCAGCCCCGGGTATGTATGTCGATGATGGCTCGTCGTGCCTCAGTGTCTGGAAGAGGGAAATAGAACTCTCGATCAAATCTCCCAGGTCTTCTCAAAGCCGGATCGATTGAATCAGGTCTGTTGGTTGCACCTATGACAATGACTTGCCCTCGCCCATCCATGCCATCCATCAAAGCCAACAACGTAGAGACGATGGATGCATGAATTTGCTCCTGCTTGCTCGAGCGAACAGGAGCGAGACCGTCAATCTCATCGAAGAAGATTATGCTCGGCTGATTCTTCCGGGCTTCTTCGAAAAGTAAACGGAGTTGTCTTTCGGCTTCCCCCACCCATTTGCTCAACGCATCAGCACCCTTGCGCATATAGAAAGTGACTTTGCGGCCTTGAGAGCTGACACTCGTTGCCAAAGCCCTGGCCAACAGCGTCTTACCTGTTCCGGGCGGACCATGGAAGAGGACACCACGCGGAGGTGTGATCTTGAATCGCATGAAAATCTCAGGATAGAGCAAAGGCAGTGCAACCATCTCTTTCAACTGATCGATGTGTCCTTGTAAACCACCGACGCTGTCGAAGTTCACATTCTGATCGACTCCGAGAGGGTCAGCATCTGCAAGGGCATTCTTGTCTTTGATCTTCCCTAGATTGGCTGGAGTTCCGGCGGCAGCGGCCTGGGGGGCGTCGGCATTGAGTGTTTGGGGAAACATGTTGAAGCCTCCGGCCGTGGTGGGAGTCATTCCGACCGTGCCACCAATAGCCTTGGGTTGCTTCATGACTTCATCGTCACTGCTATCGGAATCGACACCACCTTGAGCTCTTGCGCCCTGAGGACCACCTCCAAGCACTGGTGTCAGACCGCCCGCTCCTCCAAAAGGACCATAGGTGTTGAATAAACTTCGCTGCCAGCTGCCAGCACCGGGCTTGCGAGGTCTTTGCGACGGAGACGGTGCCGGCTCTTCCTCGTCCTCAATGGGGACAAGATTTCGGAGTAGATCGTAGTTTGGTTTCTTTCCACCACGTCGTCCTCGAGGTCCTCGAGGTTCGAATACAATCTCTTCTCTGGGATGTCTCGGTTTCTTTCCGTCGCGCTTTAGGTCCGCCACTTCGGCTGCAAGTTCCTCCTCGAGATCACTGGCTTCGGATCGTTGACGGGACGCAGCCTTGCTGCGAAGCCGAGTTGATCTTCGGCCGTTGTTACTGCTTTCGTAGTCGTCATCGCCACGACTCTTTTTGCGAGGCGATGCGTTCGACTCGCTAGAGCTCGACATGTCGTCCTGGTTGGCCTGTTCTTCCTCTGGGTCGAAGTCGCTACTTTCATCTTGGGCTTTGCGTCGGCGACTCCCCGAAGCCGCTTTTGTGCCACTCCTCAGAGAACGGCCACGCAAGCGCTTCGGCAAATCGTCTGGTTCGAATTCAGGCGACTCTGCTTGTCTCTTGGATGACCCACGCGTTAATCGTCCTCGGCGCGGCACTACATCGTCCTCGTCCTCTTCTTCTTCCTGAGTGGCAGGCGCTTCATTGCCGGCAAAGTCACCATCACTCTCGGCCTCTGCAACGTCGAAGATATTGGAGGCGACTTTGGGGAGGGCTTCGGCGCCTTCTTCCATGGTTTGAGGATCACTGTCGAGAACTTCATGTTGTGAAGCTTTGATCTCCAGCTCTTCCTCACCTTCTTCCTCTTCATTCGGCAACTGTTCTGACTCTTCATCAATAGTGCTCTTTGATGGGTATTTGAGGCCCTTTCCCCCTTTCATTACTCTGGAGGGAATACCCTCCGGATCTCGAGAGCCAGCTCGAACCACCTCGACATGATTACCTGAATTGGTCAACGCTATCACGGGCTCCTCCTCGTCATGCGAGAGACGACTGCTCCTTCTCGTAGCCGCAGGATGTGGAGCTGACGAGCTGGAGGGTTGTTTGCCACCGTAGCTTCCACTTCTGTTCCTCAGGTTGCGAGTAGGCCGAGCAGGCGTGCCACCGGTCTTGAGGGTAATAATTAGCTTTTTGGAGTTCTTTTTGGCTTTTGGAGTCTCGGATTCTTCTGAAGTCGTCCGTGACAGCTCATCTTCTTCTGTGTCTTCTTCTTCATACTTGACAGCCTTCTTGGTGCTCTGTCGAACAGGTCTTCCTCTCTCGTTCGTCTCGATCTCCTCTTCTTCCGACCCATCATCGAAAGAATCTTCCTCGTCGGATAGCAGCTCATCATCGTCGCTGTCGACATCGGAGCCTTTGTATCCCCGGCGTCGCTTCTTACGGGCTGGAGCACTATGTCGTCTGGATCTCGTCGCGCGCGATCTCGAAGGGCCGGGGGCTTTGTCATCGTAGTCTTCATCGTCCGAGTCCTCTTGCATCGCGATCTCCTCGAGGGTTCTCTTCGACCCTCGGTAACCAGGCATGGTGATAGGCTGCCAAGTTCTCGATTGTGCAACAGGGATGAAGTGTGCGAGGGGTGACCTAGTTCGGGATTTCTAAGGCGAGGAAGAAAACAGCATCACGAAGATGATCGTGATGGATTAGGATGTTCGATTGCGATTGTCTGCGCAGAATGATGCTGCGCGCAGAATTGATGGTGATGATGATGAGTGGCTATTGAGAAGCCTGCGGTTGGGCGCGTCCGTCAGCGGCGTGGTTAGAGGTCGCGGTTGGACAGGAGGGCTGTTTGTTGGAACGAGTGAATGTGGTCCGATGCCCGGTGCTGCAAGTCCGATGGAGGGTAGGTTGGTGAAGGGGACGAGAGCAGAGCAAGTGATGGGATAAAGACTTTCTTGATCGCTGAATGCCCGTAGTTACTCACAGTCGTTCTCCCGTACTGAGGGCGTGTTTCTCAGTCTCGGGGCGCAATCTGGGTGCCAAGACTGGACTGTGCCCCACTTTTATGCGCTCCTAACCAATGATGTGCCCAGACGCTGCGCCATCCAACGAGCAGAAGATTTCCTCCTCTGCAGCACATCCAAGCATCAAATATCAATATATTGTCACAACCACCATCTCGACGTATCAGGGGCTCAAATATACGCGGAAACGGTGCCGGAGGACTACGCGACACTACGTATCGAGTTTATACAGGCTCCGGGCTCAGACCGAGCCCGTACCACGCCGACGAAAAAATGTAGAAATTTAGATTCCCGTGAACGAGCCGCCGCAAGATCGACGTCAGATCTCGGTTGAGCCTCGCGGGAAATCCAGAACCTTGTCGTCGGTGCATCTCAGCATTCCATCGCCGCTCTCCGCACAAACGTACTTTTGTCAATCACGTGATATGCCATTCAACATCCACAACAGCATGAAGTTGTATGCAATCCATGCGTTTCTACGCAATGCTCATTTAGGATAATGGCCTGGTCCCATTCTAATGATATATGTCGTCATAATCACAGCGTCTCCGTCGCAGGCCCTATAATGGCCTCGTCCTCCCCCTCGTCGGTGCTCACCGCATCCTCCTCTCCTTCTGTTGGGCCGTCGTCATGCCAAAGGACCGAGGCTTGTCGCGTAAGTTCCTCTAGAATGGTGCTATGCCTCCGTGGCGATTGCGGCGTCGGTGCAAGAGGCATCTGCTCCATCGACGAAATACCGTCGTCAGGTCGCCTCCGCCCGTGGAGGAGAGCCTGTTGGGCCTGGCGCTCAAGGACTGAGTTTAGAACGTCACGGTTGTCATCTACTGGCCCTCCTTTCCTCAATCCTTCCAGAATGACCCTTTCAACCTTCATGCGATTTGAGATGAATCTGATCCGAGGCCAACAGCTGCGCTGACCAACTCGAATCATCCGGTCCAACCGTTTTGGGCTCGGGTCACTGAGAATGTTCCAAAAGTCACTGGCGGTAGTCTTCGGCCAGATCGTGACGGTTCCGGAGAACCGTTGCAGCCAAATCTGGCTCCAATCCTGTCCCATCGGCCTCGGTAGCAACTCGAGATGTCGCAGAATCTTCAGATATTTCTGGAGGTCGAGCTTGACTGATGTTTCAATGGTAGAGCCCAGGAATCCCCCTCGCCAGCCCCGGCCTTTGCGATGCGTCACAGGTCGACCTGGCGAACCTCGGGGCGCGAAGAAAAATAGGTTGATGTGAGGATTGACCTGTGACACAATAGAAAAGTTGACGTTGAAGTGGATGTTGAGTGCCTTTAAAGGTATATCGGTACGCAAGCTTCCATCTTTCCATTTGTTACCAAACGAGTACGGGACCAATGAGCCATCTCTTGTTTTGCCCATGAGAACAATCGGATTGAGAATCCCGGGCACCGCTGCGGAAGCGAGGACAGCCGACCAGATGACGCAATCTGGACTGGTGATATGATTGTTCAAGAGCGTGGGCGAATGAGGGTCGGACGGAACGCACGACACGTTCAAGACGCGGCCAGTTCTCTCGTATGCTTCCCGAAAGGTCAGCGACCCCCGACAAAACCAGCTGCATTGCATGGCCCAATCAAGGGAGTCGAACCGAGCACCAGTCCGCCACCATCTGCGAATCCATGTCCGAAATCCCTCATGACACGCATTGATCCGGTATGCAAGCGCCGGCACCAAGAGCTGTTTCAATTCTTCATCCGTTCTGGTAGCCACCAACGCCGCCACCAGAGCGCCTCCGGAAGTACCAGTGATGATTTCTGGCAGTTCCCCCGCGTCGAGCAGCGCTTTGATGACTCCAAAATGATAATAGGCAAAGGTGGCTCCCCCAGATAGACAGAGGGCAGTCCGGCCGTAGTTGAGCTCCAGGTGTCGGAAAAAGACCACCTTGTCATCATTGGAGATGCGTTCACTATTGAGAACGATTTTGAGGCATTTCTCAACCTGATCAACAAAAGATTGGATTAACTCCTTGGTGCCAATATACGTCTCACTATACAAGCGAGGATTTTCAATACCAACGAAATTGTTCTTGACACAGCTTTCAAGGAGAGATTTCAGTTCTTCCAAAGCGGTAAAACTGTCTGAGCTGCCACCATGTCGTTTGATGGCTTCGGCCTGGACCTTTTGCTGAAGCTCGGCAAGTTGTGCAGTAACTTTCTTGACTGTTTGGTGGTTATAGTACGAGTAAGGGTCAGACTGCTTCCACTCTTCGTTTCCCAAGTACTTGTCAAGGTCATGCGCTGCGGCCTGCCACTCTTGGTACGTATTTGCTTGTTGTAGGCGCCTCCGAAGGATTTCTCGTTGCCCGGTCCAGGAAAACACGTGTTCGTAGACGTAGATGTAGAAGCGCGTCAGGTTGTAGATAATGAAAAGAAAAGCTATCCAACCGCAGACGATGAACAGCAAAGGGTAGTACAGAATGGTGTAGACAATGCCCTCCCTGGTTTCATCTTTGGACCGTCTTGGAGTTTGGCCTCGAACTCGGTTCCTTTTGACCCTTTGGCGGACCGGGCCCCAGTCGTTGAGGGCGGTGACTGGCTCCGTAGCGGGAGCGGTCAGAGCTGCGGCGAAGCTAGCGAGATCGGCACGGTCGATGAAATCGGTCTCAAAGTCGGGCAGGGCATACGGATCGTACGACCCGTTCCCAGCCGGTGTGGTCCTCTTCTCGCCTCCATTGGTGACCATGGTGCTAACATTGTCGGACAAACCACTCTAAGATAACATTTATGCTATCTACAGGACGTCGCCGTTCCCGAAGAGCTAGGAGGAGTGAGAGTCGATGAGTTGTGACTGAGGCATACTGATACTAGGGAATGTCGGGTGATGAGGTCTCGCTCCGGATTTGTTGAAGTCTCTGGAAGCTTGGCACTGCGCCTGCGCCACTTTCCGCCACCAAGTCGGATGCCGCCTCCGTCAAGTTGAGCCACAACCCCCCCTCCCTAATTTCTACCCCAGATTTGCTCGATTAGGTATCTATCCGTCTAGGGCAATGTAATGAGGCGCCATCTGGTCTCAAATCATCCGGGCATGTCACGAAATCAATCCTCCCAAAGCGAAGTCACAATAATACAGCTTCTACAACTGATATGCCGTCCATGACTACGATTTCACCTGGATCCTGGAGGGGATTACTTGATGCGTTAACAAATCTCTGGCTGACATGGCCATTCTGGGAAGTCCTTTCAGACTATCACTCCAAAAGCCAGGGATGACCCAGCGACGAGCCCGCCGGTTAAAGATAGCTCCCGCTTGTGTAGATCCTCCGAAGGTTCCCATTTCAGGCCACGGCTGCCTCCCACGTCCTCTGAAGAATGAAGTGGCCCTCTTAGTCCGCCCAGATAACTTCACATTGGAATACAAAATATCCCAGATTGACGTCATACTTAGGTTAGATCACGACGGTTTGCGGTGCCAGTGGTGGTGATGCTTGCTTGTGCCCCTCCATCCCACCCCGAGGCTTCTGCTCGTCATCTCGAAGTATCGTGAACTAGCGGGTCAGGGTTTGTATGGCAACGTTCACCAGACACATTATGATATCTGACTCTGCACCCTTTGGACGACCGAATGAATCCTGCACTCGCCTTATCCCGGAAATAACCACAGTTGCCTGCAAGGAACGACAAGCTCCACAGGTATTGAGAGATCGTCTAACATTTTCAAGATGGTCAAGCCACCATTCACTCAGCCGAGAAGACAAACGATTTGTGAAGGGTTCGAGTCCCAAAGTAAGCGGTGTTTAATGCTGTGGGGGTCGGCTTCACTCGATGCCGCTTGTTTGGCTGAGCATGCAGTTAGCGGTTCTAGGCGTGCAACCTCGCTCTCCTGCAACAGCCTGCAGCTAACATAGCAAGCTGTTCTGCTAGCATCAAGCGAAGCTCGGAGCAAATAAACATTGGATAGATATCCTGCGTTCTCCTGCCGGCATTTCATAGCAATCATCACTGAGAAATCTCAAGTGACGATCACAAAGGATGATGTAGACACCGCACACCAGACTCTCTGGCAACTTGGGCAGACAATTTTCAATGTACCCTGCAACCACATCTTCCACAGTCCGCGTCTTCTCTTTGACACAGTTCTTCTGCTCTGGAAAGGGTTGCCGACCAATTTCTTTCGAAGTCAAATTTAAATTTTCCTCTTTCGCTACCTGGGCCGGCGTAGAGCAACACACCAAGCATGTGAAAAATATTCGCAAAGTGGTATCTTCTTTTGAGTGGACCTCTGCCCAGGCGATTGGTTGCTCGCTTCGGATCGCTCAAGCACAAAGTCTCGTGGTAAGAAAGAGTGGATTAACCACCCTTAGGCTTTTTGCCTTGTTGCGAGAAATTGGACGCTACTACACCAGCTGCATGTTTGGAGCACAGCATTGTGCTGATATTGGCGTGCAAGTACTCCCGTGCCACACTCAAAATCATACGAATCAGAGCTTTACGTGCTAATCCCATTAGCATCTCTGGCGGAAATGCGGTCTGACGGCCAAAAGGCAAAGCATCCCTTGAGTGGCTGCGATCAACCTATGATGCAGCAGGGGAGAGATACGATTTCCGTCCCCATCATCCTTCTAACTTCGGAGGCTTGTTCTTTTTTGAGGTGGCGTGGGGAGTTGCGCAAGGATGCCCTTCGGCAGAAATAGATCCTAACATCGAGATTATTTCAAAACAAAACAAAACAAAAAAAATAAAATCAAAGAAAAGGAAAACCCTACTATGCATATAGAAAGAAATTTTTTCCAATGCCTTCCGAGATTTGCCTCGGAGGAAAGCAATCGCTAGAAATGAAGAAAATTTTTGGGATCTTCCCGTCTCTGAGGGCCAGGATTCACAGCCCTGGAGCTGACCTTCAGGCCCACATGGAGTGGGACAAATTCTCCTCTTGGTCAACTTGGTGGCAGCAATTCGAACCAAGTCCCAGGTAAAGCTGGGCAAATATCGTCGTTCTTGCTTGAGGGTCGGTCATGAGGTGCGCCGAAGCTGCAGCTGATTTGCTCACCAAACACTGGTAATGGGCCAGTGTGCTGAGAGCTTCTATAATGCAGCATCACCGAACATTTCCTTGCGGCGGGTCTCTCACACCCTCATCCCATCGCCAACGACGAAGTTCGAGAGGGTGAGATGATTTCTACTCGTGCTCATGCGGCCTATTGTGTGACACGGCTCACATCTCCTCGCATCATCTTTTGCTTTGAAGTTGGTCGAGACCATGACATCCAACTGCCTCCCCTCACATACGTGGAGTAGCGGTCAAAGCCTGTCCAGTCGTCGTCCGAGCACAGACATCGAGCAAGAGCATGATGCCCTGTCTGTCATTCGGTCGGGCGTCGTGACCTGTCACCTTGCTGGTCTTTTGTACGAGCGGAAACGAGCACCATTGCGGGCGGCTGGCCAGAGAGGGCAGAGGCAAATTATCCAATGTAGTGTGTCAAATAGAGCAAGCTAGCTGCTGGAGCCTTTCTTGCCTCGAGCACAGTCCTCTGTAGATCACACAAAGTGGTTAGAGCCCAGACGCCATTGCGCAGGTGACGCTGAGGTAGTGCCCCTCGACTCGTGGGCTGCCCGCAGGTCTGGGTCCTTTGTTATCATTGCTCAGCTCACAGGCAACCGAAAAGCAGAGTCAAGGGCATAATCAGGCTGTTCGTTCGGCGAGGCGACTCTCTGAGCACATTGGACACCCGGGTGCATCAGGGCGACTACTGTATGCGAGATGACCACACCGGTGCGGCGGGCTCGCCCATTGGGCATCCCGTGGGTTGATGGCGTGAATGGGCTTTTGCAAATGCAGGGAGCCCGCATGCGTTGGCGAGCTAAAGAAAGACAATTGACAAAGATTAGGCTCGGCGATTTGGAAAGCTACAGTACCGTGGGCGCCGCGACTGAGGAGATGCACATCAGAGGCCCGTTCAGACACGTTTGAGGAGGGGCATGACGGAACGTCTGTCGCTGCTAATCTCTTCAAGGTTTTTGATGCCAGGACTCTTTTTGCCGGAGAGGAACACTTCGAAGGCCTAGGATCTGCTGTTGCACTGTCGAAGCAAAAGAGGGCCGGGCCTGGACGGGCGGCCATGTACGGTTCGGATGGCGACATGGACATGGAACATGGGATATGGTGGCTGGGGACCTGAGAGGCAATTTTATGATTTACGAGGTCAAAAGACGAGATGCGGCGCTGTGAATGGTGTGCAGGACGCGTCCGTAAGGGTGTGAAGCTGTTTGGAATTCATCTCTGTTCATCATCACGGTCGACTTCGCCGTCGCCGCTCCCGTGGCAAGCCGTGTGGGATATAGTCGTGAACAAATCTGTGGAAGGAAAAACGGCAGAGTGGTAATTAGCTGATAGGTGCCCATACTGCGTACTCGAGGCATTCCATGCTGTGAAAGTGCGCGATACCGCACGAGCCTTTCCAGCATTGACGTAGATCCTCCATGCCTCATTGCCTTGGGGGGTTTGCTAAGAAGAACTAAGGAGGCGAAAGAGGGTCCTCATCTTGCACTGTCCTCTAGCTTCGTTTGTGCTCGAAGTCAGTCTGCTCGGTCGGTAAAAATGAGTGGGTAGGGTTGTGAGATGGAGAGGGAGTGGCGGCAAAATCCTGGCAGGCTAATAGCGTACTATGGTGCAGTAAATGCAAGTGAGTTATCAGAGAGAAAGGTTTTTGTTTGATATGCTTCCCGCCCCAAGGACCAAGCCAATCCAATCTAACTTGAACTCTCTCCTCTAGTCCTCAGGACTCTACTCCTACATAGCAGCAGCGAATTACTCCTCTATTGCTACAGTTGCTGTTGTCGTTGCTTCACGTCAACCCTTCCATCCATCCTCATTACTATTCTCGTTCCTGTACATCCTCTTCTGACCTTCTACTCTCCCCTTTTCCCCCCACGGCTCACCTCACTGCTGACCGTTACTTCTACCCGGGCATTATTATCACGCAGCCTCTTTTGCCTACCCAGCAGCAGGCAAAACGCCCAGCTTGACTTTCATATTCAGCATATTCGACCTCAATCTCCCAAGTGGATTGTTGTTCTCACAAGTGGATCTAGCGAAAGAGCGCCCCTCTCAACATCACACCAAACAGCACAGCCCTCTCAGCCTGGTGACATTAGGCTTTCGCAGTGCAGGCATCTTTGTTGGTTCAGATGCCATCATGAGTTCTTCACAAAGCCTTGGTACGTTTGAGGTCTTGTCCCGTCGCTGTTCGTGACTCCTCGGCTGATCTGGAAATTAAAAAAATAGCTTCTGGGTCGCGCAAACTGAGTTCTCGCACTCCTTCGCCTTAGATCTCTCCCATATCCATTTCCGAATTCAGCTCTGTGGTGCGCCCACCTCGAAACCGCAAAGGTCGCCAGAGTAGGAGATGGACCGTCTACAAACCGAGGATGGACACCACTTTGTTCGTGTGAGTACTATAGCATACCAATGGCGCCCGTGGTTACCAACTAGGGAAAAGAATGCACACAAGAGAAGAAGAAAGGGGGGGGGGAGTTTATTTTGAGAATCCTGACTGACAGGAGCTGGTAACATCTAGTCCCTGGCCCAATTTATCAGACAACATGAAAAAGCGCTGGCAAATAGCTTGCAGCTGTCTGTCCACCGGCGACAGTCGTCTCTCAACTCGTCCTCGACGAACACTTCTAGCGTCACCTCCGGTACTTCCACGTCTAATTCAAATCATTCCGCAAGCGCTTTGGCAGCAGCGTTCTCTTTCGCCGGTCTCAATTTCAGGTCTCATGCTGTAAAAGCAGCCCTGTTGACGCTGACCCCTCACCATCTATTTTACTTGTTGTCACGGATGGAAGAGCTGGACATATCGGTGGGAAGTATGAATATTCGTTTGGAAAATCTCAATAGTGACCCGTCGCCCTCGAACTACGTGTCTTTCTTGCAAGCGCATAAGCCCACTAAAGGGCGAAGCGATAAAGACTCTGTTCATTCTGTCTCCAGCATGCGCAGTGTCATGTCTGGAATGAGTACCTTTTGGTCGTCCATTGGTCTAGGAGGCAGCACGTCCAAAAGTGAAAAAGCGAAGGCATTGACTCAGGTGGATTTGACTTACCTCTATTCTGCCTTCACAAAACTTCCTTCGCTGCGGCTCACCTCCGATCACCGAGCCCGACTGATTAGGGGTTACGAGGAGTTCCCCTTTGACACTGCTGTTCCATTGTTTGCTTTTAAAAATCTTCAACAACTGGACATAGTGGACCTTGACTTCCGACAATTCTATGGGTGGGACCGACTGGCCGAGCAATTGACGTTGCTGACAGTCAAACGCGCCAACCTGGATGATCCGACAGAACTCCTCATCAACATCGTTCTGGACGATGGTGAGAAGCGTCGAAGACGATCAACAAAGGGCGGACGGGGTTCGCCTACCCCGACCACGTCTTGGACCGTGCCTTCGACTCCACGACCTGAATATGCGCAGTCGCATTCGGATCCGGGCTCTCCTGCGGAAGGAAGCTTTGATCATGACGACCAAGTCGAGTCGATACCCAAAGACAAGCAGCTCTCAGGAAGCGTGTCTCCAAAACGGCCCAGCCCCTCCCGTCCCACCAGCTCGTACAGGCATGTGCGGACGTATTCCTCCAAGGCCAAACGATCAGGGTCCGGCAGCTCAAACTCAAGCGAGTATTCTGTTCAGCCATATCGGAGCGACAGCACTTCCAGCCTCCTTGGCTTAAATATCCTACCCCCTTCAAAATGGCAGAGACTGAAGTATCTGTCTCTTGCAGATAACTCATTAACCTCCATATCAGCAAAAAGCCTGGCTCCGGTGGCGACGACACTCCGTTCGCTAAACCTGTCCGCTAACCTCTTCACGGAGATTCCAGACTGTCTCGCGTCTTTGACGAGACTCGTTTCCCTAGATCTATCGAACTGCATGATTGGGTCACTGCAGTCGCTGGCAAAGTCTCCATTACCGGCAGTCCTCACAATCAACTTGAAAGCAAACCGCCTTCGATCCTTGGCCGGTGTTGAGAGGCTTCTCTCTTTGGAGCACTTGAACGTACAAGACAATCAATTGTCTGATCCAATGGAGATGGCAAGACTTACCTGCATTCCCAATTTAAAGCGTATTTGGGTCAAGCGAAATCCGTTTACAAAATCCTTTTCGGACTATCGGGTGACGACCTTCAACTTATTCAGAACGACCCCTGGTTATGTCGACGACATCACTCTCGATGACTCCGGTCCTGGCTATTCGGAGCGCAAGCAGTTGGTCGACCGGGTACCAGAGGTTGAGAGACAGATTTCTCAACCCTCGATTCAGATTTTGGAGTCGCCGATTGTCATCCAACAGTCTGAGCAAGCAAAGCCAGGTTCAAACGTGCCAACCAAAGTTTCCGTGAATTCCATTCGTCGAAAAAGAGCCCCTCGAAGACGCATCGTGGATTTGGCAAAGGATGAAAGCTTTGCACGAGTTCCTGATGAGGATCTTGCGGCCGCCATTTCCCCAAATCCCAGTACCGTAAATCAGCAAACTTTACCAGCAGCCTCCGATACCCCAGTACCAGCATCGCTTCCGGCAGAAACCCAGGACGATGATCCGTACGGCGGCTCTACACAAGCGCCGTCTCTTGGGTCGAACGAGCAGCTCAACTCACACGACGATTACCGAGCCAAAATCGAGGCATTGCGACAAGAATTTGGCACCAACTGGCTCAGTGTGCTGGGAGACCAGAGTTGGCATAATAGCCATCATATGGAGGTGACACAGAGCCATAACCTAGGACATAATCCTTTACACCGCTCCGGCCACCAAGTCATTGTCAGCGGCGGACGAACTCTGGGATGAGTTTCGCGTCGAGTTGTGTGTGTGTTTTCTGAAAGGGTTTGCGCCATTCGGTTTTGCATTGTTTCAATTAGACGGTCTTCTGTTTCTCGACAGTGGCTCTTTGTGGCAGCATGCATTCATATACCCATTCGTTTTGACTTACAGGGAGGAATCGCGTGGGATAAGCAAGACGGACGGGAGGAGCCATTGTGTTTCTGCTTTTAATTGCTTTGATGCATAGCGACGGTTGTTTTGACGGCATGGCATCTCTCTTCGGTTGTTGATAAATGTGTTCCATGAAGCATGAGGCATGAGATGACGGATCCAGTGGAACGTACGCCGTGCATTTTTCTACGATGATATATTCATTTCAGCATGTGCAAAATTAAAATCTCCTCTGACTTATTATTTTACGCCTTGACAGAGCATCACTTCCTGCCTCTGTCCCCGTCCCTACCTCGGCCTTGCTACATAACAAGGTTCTGACAGTGGCAGAGCGATCTCGCTCTCCGAAGTCTTTTACCGGGATATCAAATTAAGGGTGCAGCAGCTGGTGATGGATAAACGACAAGTCGCGAGCAACAAGATTGCTACCAAACGATCGTCTTCCCCGGACTGACAAAATCAAGATGGATCAATCAGGCATCAATCCGAGTCGTCGGGTTGGCGACAGCGATGAGCGAGAACCGATGGCAACAGCTCAGGCGATGGCGCTAGTGGAGGCTGCCTTTTTCTATTAGCCTACATCCTTCTAGCTACTTGAGCGGGCGTCGTCGCCACATCAGCATATTTCTGCATTGCGGCGGATCTCGCGTTAGTGATAGAAGCGGAAAACGAAGACATTGAGGCTAATAATGCTAACTCAATGGACGATCTCAGGATCAACTGGCACGATATGATTTGGATTAGGTGAAAAAGGCGACAGTGGTCTTGCGGGTTAGTAGCTAGCACCCCTCCCCCTGCTACTCGCCGCCAAGCCCAACACCGCCTGCCAGGATAGAAAATAGCAAATCCGCCATCCCATCCCGCAGTCCCAACTGTCCAGCGACGCTCTCTGCGATCAAATCCGCTTGACTCGTCCTGTCGCCATCTGCAAGACTGCTCTCACTACTCACTGACTAGATTGACGTTTCGACCGCCCGCCGACCCAAAAATAAGAAAAAGAAAAAGAAAAAAAAAAAAAAAACCTTGCTCCTGCCTCAGAATCCGCTGCCCTGCGCCCGTCCTCAGCCTGTTCCACACACTCCCGAGCGCGATAACAGCCTTCACTCTTGCCTCAAGTCTCCATCTCGCGCAATTCTCCATCTGCGCTCTAAGTGTCCATTCAGGGCCTCCTCGCTGAGGCGCAAATTGGCTACTTTCAGGACGAGAATCGAATTCGGTGCGTTCACCCTGACACGCCATGACTTGCGTCAGCTCCCTTGGTGCTTCACAAAATGTATCCCAAAGTGATCCATTCTGACTCGGACCAGATCTAGTGGCATTTTCGCAAGGCTCTACACACATCGACTTTTCGATTTTCGTTTTCCCCGGCCATATCTGGTCGCCGGCCCGCCCTCCCCCCCCTCTCCTTTCCCCTTGCCCCGCCCGCGGCAATCATGGCCGACCAGAATGAGGTGGATTTAGACTCTGTCATCGAGCGATTGCTAGAAGTACGAGGTAGCAGACCTGGAAAACAAGTCCAACTGCTTGAATCGGAGATTCGTTTCTTGTGCACGAAAGCTAGAGAAATTTTCATCTCGCAGCCGATACTGCTCGAGCTCGAAGCCCCAATCAAGGTACGGGCATTGGGCCGCTGTCTGAAACGCCCTACCTCGACTGACTTGGTGTTAGATTTGTGGCGATATTCACGGTCAATATTACGACCTCCTCCGATTGTTTGAGTATGGCGGTTTCCCTCCCGAAGCAAACTACCTCTTCCTAGGCGACTATGTAGACAGAGGCAAACAATCTCTGGAGACGATCTGCCTGCTGTTGGCATACAAGATCAAATACCCAGAAAACTTTTTTATCCTTCGAGGAAATCACGAGTGTGCGTCGATCAACCGGATTTACGGATTCTACGATGAATGTAAACGTCGATACAACATCAAGCTTTGGAAGACGTTCACTGACTGCTTTAATTGCCTACCAATTGCTGCAATCATTGACGAGAAGATCTTCACTATGCATGGAGGATTGAGTCCTGACCTGAACTCCATGGAGCAAATACGCCGAGTCATGCGCCCAACAGATGTAAGTCGAGGGTTCCTTTGTGTTACACCGAGAGACGGCCCACGAAATGGCACCGTCTTGTACCAATTGAGTCAAGGGACATACTAACGAAAACAGATCCCTGACTGTGGCCTCCTCTGCGACTTGCTCTGGTCAGACCCAGACAAGGACATCACCGGCTGGAGCGAGAACGATCGCGGCGTTTCCTTCACCTTTGGACCGGATGTTGTTTCTCGATTCCTGCAGAAGCACGACATGGACCTCATTTGCCGTGCACACCAAGTAGTTGAAGATGGCTACGAGTTCTTTTCCAAACGACAACTGGTGACGTTGTTCAGCGCCCCCAACTATTGTGGCGAGTTTGACAATGCTGGAGCAATGATGAGCGTGGATGAAAGTCTACTCTGCTCGTTCCAGGTATGCCGCGAGTACTTTTTCTTCTGAAAATCCCATTGACTGACTCGCCTGTGCTAGATCCTCAAACCTGCCGAGAAGAAACAAAAGTATGTGTATAGCTCAAAGAGCTCAAGCAGGCCTACTACTCCGCCTCGCAAATCCAAAACGTAGTCCCTCGGGCTGATTCGATGTTATGATAGCAGGTTTGGAAGAAGATAGGGCCACCTTTTGGCTTCCCCGTCGAATTGGTATCGCAGCCGACCATTGTCTCTTCCGGAAGCATGCGGCCATATGCCACCACTCAATTTTTCCCGCTTGTCCGTGAATTTCCATTTTTCGGGCACCCTAGAAAACAAAAATTACCGCCTCCTCATCCATACATTGACGAATCTTTCTACTGAGCACGACTATTTTTTCCCGGGCGGCTCAACTCAGTCGTAAGCATCAACACCACCGACAGCATACAACTTTCCATACCCGAGGTGAAGAAATGGATCGAGCCCAGGCAGGAGAATCGTGCATGTTTTTATTTTTGTTCCCTTATGCCTTTGTGAGGACAACGGGAATGGACGGCGGGATTTTTTGTGGCATGGGCTGTGGACGTGGACGTTGGCAGCAATGCTTTTGACCGTGATGAACTAGTTCGATTTACCCCCTTTTGCTGTGTTAATGTGTTTGTGAGAAACACGAGGCCGGGCGTGGCGAGCATTCTCATTCTCCTGTAGCGTGTCCCGATGGATTTTCATACGTGGTGGGCGACATGCAAGCGAAAGATAACGCAGTTCAGAGTCTGACGAGGCTGAGAGATACGATTACGTTGACTTGTCAAGATTAGTAGAATGCATTCACGCATTAGATGATCAGTCCTCCCATTCCTCGTCCCCGATAGGCTCATTCTTCGCCCTCCAACTCGAACCAGGGAGTCATGGTGGTGGCTGATAGCCATACCGAGTAGAGTCACCTAATGTGTATGCAATTCAAAGTCTTCTTTGTAGACAATCAAAATATGAAAACCGCATCAAGCCTCGTCTCCTGCCCTTCCTGCCCGCAGCCGCAGTCGCAACGTCAGTAGGAAGCAGTGGAACGGGCTTATGTCCCATATCAAAGGCTCTAAATGATTTTCAACTTACAACATGCTCTCTCACTCGACAAATTCGTCGCCTTTCGCTAGCTTGTGGCTTGTTTTGGGTAACTCCAACCACATTAGTCGGCCTTCGAAGGGGGTCGATGCTTTGCCTGTAGCAACGCCAACCAACCTATCGGGCTTGCATGAGAAGTCCTAGCATTGCCAGAGAGCGAAGGCCTCCACCTTCTTCCCCCGCAATCTCAGCCTCAGACCTTAACAGACTTCTTCTCGCACCAGCCCTGCTACATTTGAGGATCAGAGTGCATGAACTTGAAGAATCATCTTTTCGTTCGACTCAGAACCGCACATACGATGCCGTGGTCGGTTCCGAACCCAAATAATGCTCACGCAGTGGCGGAAAGACCTCTTCCGCAAGGCTGTCTGCCTCGAAGAAGGCTGAGGCAAGAGCCAAACGTGAGAGAGACTAGTTTCACCATTTTTTTATGAACCTACACGCAATTCGGCTGTAGTGTTCGTTCACAAACTACAAGGCCATCCAGTCAAAGACTTGGACAGGTTAGGACAGGCCGGCGCGAGGCTGCAAAGCTTCAATAAAAATCAACCAGAGGAACGAATTCTGTCTCCGTTCAATAAAAACCGCGATGAGGCTTCATGTGAGGGCTCGAGAACGTCAACTTTTTGGCCCCAGGTTCTCCTTCCAGATGATTCCCATACATTCGAGTCGTCACCTATGGCTATGATTCTTGTGTTACCAAGTTTTTCCGTGGATCAGTCAATCAAACCAACCTGTCTGATCATGGTCGGTCATTTCTGAACGCTCTGAATCCCGAAAGAATGACTCGTCGAGGTCATCCTACCATTTTTGTCGCCCACAATCTTGGGTCTTTCTCGTCAAGGAGGCTCTGCATCGCTCCAGAGAAGCCAGACACCATAATCATTTGCGAGATGTCTATCCATCGCCTTGTGCCACTCTCTTTCTTGGAACCCCTCACCTGGATCTCCCGATCCCGCATGAAGCGAAATCTTGAGAAAAGTCGTCTCAGCCGTGCTATTTGATACCACTAAACTTCTCTTGGCTGATCTGGGCCCACGAGCTGGGGTCTCATAACTCGACAAACATTGTGGTGCTCTCAGTTACATTTGCAAAGAAAGCAACTTGCAGGTTTGGTCTTTCCAAGGAACCAACGGTAAAATGTGGACAAGGCTGCTGAATGTTCAAAGCTTCTCCAAGGCACAGATTATCGGTTCCATCTCGAAATTGACCACTGGACAGGTTGTGTCGAAAGAATCATCCTCTATGAGTGATCCTAAACACGAGACCAAGGATGTAAGAAGTTCGAGTCACATCAACATGGGCAAATTTCCTGGCAGGCCTGATGAGGGTCATCGAAAACTGGTATCCGCGCCCCACCTCATCCCAGAACGGATTTCACAAAAGCATCCTGTCTGTGATGTTCCAACTAAAGAATGAGCGCAGGTACGTAAATTTTATCTCACTTACCAAAAGCTCGAAGGCTCCCTGCCCATTCTGACCATCGGTGGATAGTTGTCTTAGAATCACTCAAATTTGACGACATGAATACAAGAAAGTTTCATTTGATCACGGTCGACCAAAGACTCTTTTGTCTGGATATGCCCTGATCTTCCGGACGGTCCTCGCATGACCAACTGGCTCTTAGACATCTTCTGCAAGTACGGAAGTGGGAAGCCTACCCCGATGAAATTCTTGGCCAACGACCGTCGACCCAAGGAGTTTCTGCAGAAGCCTAGATTCCGTGATTGGGTCATCACCCTATTCTTCTCCGATTTTCGCTGTGGAAGGAACGCTTAGAGTCAAAGCTTCGTCAAATCACCACGGCTACCCTTACAGCAGCTGAGGACCCGCTTCATGACACAGACAAACCCTCACAATCTGGTACTCTGTCCCTGGAACTGTGATAAACTCCAACAGTCGATCCCAAACGTGGTTAGCTCCTGTCAACGACATGTCTGTGCTTTTGTCGATTGCCCTTGACGAGGATGAGGGCAATCTGCTGGACTTACTTTCATTATTGGAGGCCTTATCATCCCCAATCTGCCGTGACATTTGTTTAACCAGTCGGCCTGAGTCTACGATCCGATTGGTTGTTACAAGAATATCCAGGGATCCAAATACAGGGCCATAAAACTCCTAAACGATCGAGCACTATGTCACGGCGAGGCTGAAGCTCGTGCACCTCAACTGTCAAGACAATTCGCATTCTCCATTAGTTGAGACCATATTGAGGTCGGTTCGTGGAGTTATTCTCTGGGCAAGACTAGCGATCAACGAACTCCTCATAGACCACACGAAAGGACGGAGACTCGATCAATTTTCACGTCCGTCTTTCGGATCAAAGCTCATTGCATGTTCCCCTTCCCCCCTTTCTTCATAAGACTTTCAGAATTTTTTTTTTGGCCAAGGCGGGCTGGCTGAAGTTGATGCTGGATAGGGAGATCGGAACTATCGTTTCAACCCACCTGTGGCTCTGGGTCTGCAAGCAATCAATCTCAGCAAATGCTGTTGATTTCGCTACACCGAAGCATGATCTAAATCATTTTCCATGGAGAAAAGGGCTCTCTCTTATCTGCGAATAACAAAGCAGAGACCGGTTCTTCACTCCAGGAGCAGGCTTGAATTACATCAAAAGCTACTTTGACAGAATTAGAAATACAACCTTACTGTCCTTCCGGATACTAGGATGTCGAAAAAAAGGACCCTGCTTATTTGTCCCCAACATTGGACCTCATACTCGAATTTGTCGAGGATGTCAACGACTTCTGTTACGGGGGTGGGACAGGCCTGCGTTTCTTGCTGGATCTTTTTGTGGGCCAGACCGGGGAAAACTTTCCCTTCTAGACATTGCGCAACCGGGGGAGGGGGGGATAAGAGTAGGTGAGAATGGGTCATTGAGCTCGGAGAATGGTTGTGTTGATATTGGGGTCTAGCGTTGTGATGTTGAAATTAGGAGGTAAGTATTGTTTGATCGCTATGGATGCTCTCATATGTCCGTCTAGACATATTGCGACAGCCATCTGATACCTTCGCCATACCCTGCAGTAAAGAAACCAGTTAGCAGGGAACGTTCGCTATCCCCAAACCCGAATGGCTGTTCACGGAGATGTTTGGTATAACTCACCCTGCCTCATGACGACGCTGCACATAAACACCTCAATCGGTCTGATTCCTTCCAGGGGCACTTTTCCCTTTCCTGTCGTCTGATACAGACCAAGCTGGTGTCTCAACTCATCCTCAGAAACGGCATCGGGGTGGTCGATCTTGTTGCCCAGGATCAAGAAGGGAGTCTTTGCGAGATCTTCCATGGCGAGCAGGGCGTCGAGTTCGGCTTTGGATTCAGGAAGACGTTCGTGATCTTTGGCATCGACGAGGAAGACGATGCCTGACACTTCGGGGAAGTAGTCACGCCATAAACGGCGGGCTTGAGAGAAGAAGATTCGGAGTTAGACGAGAATTCGTTCGGAACAAGAGGTGAGTTGGGAGCGGAATTGAGTTGACGTACCCTGTTGATGGCCTCCAAGATCGAACGTTGTAAATCTGTTGTTGCCGATAGCTAGTTCTTCAGAAGCTACACTGAGATATTAGAACCCCTGTGTCAATCTGGAAGAATGAGGACCGTCGTACTAGGATGTAACGTGGGCTGGAGGATCGCAACTCGGTCGTTCTACAAGTCCATCGTCAGCCGCCTCAGGTCCAACTCAATCTCATCTTCAGTATTGCCGGTCCTCCCCAGACTACTGTGTGAAATCCTATGGCTCCATTCAACACAAGCTGAATATAGAGATCAACCCTACCTTCAACATGTGTAATAACGTCGTCTTTCCTGCATTGTCGAGGCCAAGGAACAGAAGTTTGGCATGTTTATTGAGGAGGCCGAGGGAGGCGAGAATATCGTAGACTAGATAAAAAATAATGAGATCAGCATTCTGTGTTATGTATGTATTCCACAAGATTTGACATTAGGTAGGGGGACGGCAGTGTCGCGTACACCAGTTGATGATCCACATGATTGTGGTCAGTCGGAGCAGGGTTTGCGTTCACAAAGGAAAAGTGCGTTCTAATCTGACGAGGCCGGTTACAAGAAGAAATGTGAGGCAACAGAGTTGATGGCAAGAGGAAGAGAAGTGAGTCCGCAAGTTGAGCCTTTTCTTCGGTGATAAAGAGGCAATGGACAATCGGCCAGATCTCATCGCAGCCGGCCACTTGAACAAGTTCAAGGGCTCCAGAAGCATCTCGACTGTGGCTGCCAAGTCCGGTCGCGTGATTATCACGTGACTGTATGGTCACACTTAAAGGCCCTGGTACTACAGTACCTGCGTGCTATAAGGCAACAAAAATACCAGGGCCAAAGAATCTGACTATCTCATGTCTTGTTCTCAATGTGTGCATTTAGGCTCATCGATCGAGTGATGGCTCGAGAGAGACGCTGATATCTGGGACCATGCTGATGGTCATGTATGTACAATCTCAATTCCCTTGAGACACCGTTGCTATGCATAAAAGCTGGAATCTCGAATAAACGGAAGTATGCAAGGCAAAAGCGATGACTCGTTTCGCTAGCACCAAACCATCATGGAAAAGTCGTCATATTCGATGGCAAAACCACTGCTTAGAATAAGTAAAAAATGGGGCCCTAAAAAAAGAAATAGAAGAAATTGGGCCAGGTGGCAGAAATCGTACACAAATGGACCGAAGTCTGTATGTGCAAGTAACGGGTCCATCGTCACGCATCCACCATAACCGAAGATCAAAGCGAGAGCACCAGTTGTGTTTGTTGGCCAAGACCGTATCCTTTTGTCCGTTCAGCGCATTCAAGACCGAGCTCTCTCATTCTCTCGGCACCACGCCCAGGTATAGGTTTTCGTTCCGCTTGTTCTTTGGCTGCCTTTCGACAGTGTTGACGCCAGTATTTTTCTTTCCGTTTCTGGCGTTTCTTCTCGAGACCGATGACAATGTCGACAGGTCCGCGAACATGCATGTCGGGCCGAGGGGGTTCCTCGGCGGCGGGAGTAACCGCTCCAGAAGCAATGTTGGGAATGGAAGGACTTCCAATCTTGAAGTTTCGGAAGAATGGATTCGGGGTATCCGGGAGAGATGCTGTTCGTTCCATGTTTGGGCGTTGCGCAAGGCCTTTTGTTCCAATGCCGTAAGGGACAGTCACATTCGTAGGTGAACCGCGGGGTGACCGAAGTTTCGCTGGTGGCGGGGGTGACCTTACCCTCGTGGGTGAATGACCAAAGAGTTTGCGAGCAGGCGCTGGTGAACGTGTAATCATATGCTTAGATGGTGGCGAGCGATGGTTTCCACGACGATGATCCTGTCTCGCTGCAATGGTCATGTGGTGGGGTGATGTAGGAGGACGAGCTGGAGGTGAGAGAATTGGTGACTTTAGATGTCCACGAGTCTCGTCCTCGAAGCCGGCGAATTGGTCCTTGAGCCATCGAGGTCCGCCAGAGCTATGCTGTGACTCGTCGATGTCTTCCTCATCACTATTCTCTTCGTTGTCATCGGGATCCGTTGTGGGGAAGCTCGGGTCAATATCCTGAGGGATCGGGATGTGTTTGGCTCTTTTCTTTTGTTCGCGACACGATATATATGCCGCCTCCAATGGACGGTCCTCATCTAGGGTTCCACAGACGAAATCAGTGCTGTCTGGCAACTCCGGAGTTCCAGGTCTCATTTTCGGTATCTTCGACGAGGCATGGTGGCGGCTTTTGCCGACATGCCATCTCATAGAATGAAGAGGAGGGCTTCCCACATGAGTCAAGGACTCAATCGAGCTGGCGTCTGATTGTCGGCGTGAGCTGAAGTGACCAATGTTGAGATGCTCCACGCTAGCAGCAGCGCTGGTAGCCGAGGGAGCCCAGAATTGATACTCGGAACCAGCATCACTTTCATCGTCCGAGCTGGCGAAACCTCCTTCGTCATCGGATTCATTGCCACCGTCCGAAGCGTCATCGGATGGAGCAAAGTCGTCTTCGTTCTCATTGTCGTCGAACTCATCTTCAAGTTCTTCTTGCTCGCGTTCTTCCTCCTCGGCCTCTTCCTCCACTTCTCGACCAATTTGACGGATACGGTTCTCCTTTCTCATGCAATCATCGAAAGTGAGTTTTTCCTGATGAATGCTTGGTCGGTCAATCCATGAATCAGTCTCGTCATGAGAGCTGCCAAATTCATGGAATGTAGCCTTGGGAGAGGGCGAGTTTGGTCTAGATCCATCGGAAGTCGTTAACTTGGCTGTGTCCGCTGATCGACCAGAGAGATCGACCGCTTCCGCATTCGATTTCCGTCTCACCATGGGTGCCGGGGATGGGCGACGCTGGGCCTTGGCTTCGACGCACGGCTGGGAGGGAGATTTTTTCATTCCGCCGGCGTTGGATCGAGCAGGACAGGCGAAAGTGAGGGCAGATTTCCGTTGGGGTCCCTCTAGTTCAGCAGGACTCGTCTCCTTTGATAACGATATGCTATTTCTGCTCTTCTCGGGCTCAGTTCCTCCACAAGCAAACATAATGCAGCGTTTCCGGCCAAGAGTCTTTTCAACTGCGGCCTCACCGACGTCTGCAACCGCGGGTTTGTCGTCTTTAGTTATGGGTGCAATGAGCACCTTTGACGGAGGAGGACTAGATTTCTTCGGGTTGAGAAGGTTATGGAAGCGACCTGGAGGAGGTGGTGGACTGGGCGTGGCAGATCGAGGAGAACTTTTCGCATCCTCGTCGCTTGTCAATTCTGCAGTGGAGGTCATGCTAGCTGTGCTGTGTGAAGACGTCGCCGAGAGACCACGGGGAGCGGCTGTGGATCTGGGAGAGATCTCCTCGTGCTTGGACTCAGCCATAATGGCACGAGTCAAGAGAGACTCACGGCGGGCGTTGGGAGGAGCCATAGATCTGCTATACAAGGTGTATCGAGTAGCTTGAGTGCCCGGAGGTGACGTTTGATCGTCAGGTGGTTCATCTGCGTCCCCATTGGATTCATCGTCGTCGAGAGGAACCGTGGGAGCGTTGGACAGATTGAAGATCTTCAGTAAGCTCTGCATGGCCGAGCTTCTTCTGCGGGCATCTGTTTGGTGTTTCTGGTGATGTGCCATCCAGACGGGAACCAGAAAAACACTAGTACGCGTGGAAGTGTCTAGATTCCTCAAATGGTCTGAGATTTGAAGGATGAATCTCAGACTAGAGGAATAAAGACACAGGCACCCGAATAGGGTTTGGTGGATGAGGGTGTATGGTTTCGTTGTTTACTTATTTTTTGGCCCCAAGGACCCTCGAGGTTATAAATTGGACGTCGACATGGTGTAAAGTTGGGTTATTGGATTTTACTGATCACCGAGAAAGCCGCGGGGACTGAGTAGAGGAGACGACGGAATGTCACGAGAGAGGAAGGGATTATAGGAGTCCGGCGCGTGAAGTGGCGTTGTGCGGTCTGCGGTCTTCGGTCTAGCGAGCTGCGGAAATCGAAACGGTCGAGAACGATGGGACAAGCACACAGAATTTGCTGCAAAAAGTGAGTGAGGCCCTAGTACATGTTTTTGAGTAGTGAGAAGATTGCTTACGCAAGTTTGCAGTAATAGATGAAGCAAACAGAAGGTGCTAGATGCGAGAAGCCGTAGGAACAGGGCGGATGTGTACAAGGCGAGCGTAGGGGGAACGGAAGTAGTGGTGGGTGGTGTGGTATGTAGGTACCGAGCGTGAGGAGAAGGACGGACGGAGGTTGGAAGACAGAAAAGCAAGTTCTAGGATCAAGTACTCGTTCCTGATGGAGGGAGGATGGGGAGGATGGGAGAAAGTCGATGGTGAGGAAAATGCGGGCAACTGCCAGAGATGAGAGGGACGATAGAGTGTGAAATGAGATGGATGGCGAGGAAAAAATCGCAGTTGGAGACGAGATTTGTGAGCGGCCAGTCCGCCGTGCAGTTGCAAAGTTGGCAGCAGGTTCACCAGAAGGAGCCAGGCCATGCGAGAGGGCTAAAAGTAATTGAACCAGGGTTGTGTCCGAGAGGAGATCGCCTCCTCCAGCTAAGTCCCAACTCTTTTTGGGCGAGTGGATTCACTCCAGGCTTTTTTGCCTTTGGGAACATCCCCCTTACGTGCCAGCGGTTACTGCAAGATGATCTGTCTCCCGAAACTGCGTCTATGCTTGCGATGTTTAGGTGGCTGTACAGTGTATACGTACAGTGGTACTACACATCCGCGCCTTTGTGCACACCACAGCCACCAGCCTCCAGCATCAATGAGTCCGAGTAAGGGCTGGCTTCTTTCTCAACGCTTTCCTATTCCATCCTGCAATATTCCCCTTTATTTATGTCTTGTTGATCAGTGACAATTCCCTTGCCAGCGTTCCGAGGCGCCTAACGAGCTGATTTGTCCTGCTCCTCTCGGAATCGCCCAAATGAACTATTGCCTTTGCCTCCGCCTCCACCTCCCTCACCACCAACCAGCCGAAAATCCTGACGCACCTAACTTACTTTGCCTCCAGAAATCCACTCTCATCCTGCGCTTCTTCTGCAATGCCAGTCGGGCAACCTGGTTAAAATTGTACCCACAGATGGACACGGGGGTTTGATCGGTGAAAACCTTGAAATTCCCTGCTTGAGAACTGCGGAACCAAAAAAAAAAAAAAAAATAAAAAGAACAAAAGCGGAAAACGTTGGGCAATGATAAAGGACAGCTAATTTTCTTTTAACCCCTCATACATGCGATCAATAGCAGCCCCGACTATGACACCGCTCCATTATCTATCTCCCAGGCAAAAACAAACAATCTGTGGTGCCTGTTTGGGCCATAAACAATGGACGTCATGTTGCTACGTTGCACTTGACATCAGAAACAACCGGGAGGTAACCTACGAGTTCCTCCTCAAACACTTGTCAATGGAGGACCAATTAGACTGATGGAGGACTCCTTATTGTTCCTTCGCAGCGGGTAGCCCTCTGGAGGCATGGTGACCCGGGGAAAGTATACATCTTGACGCAATATGACAGTGAATAATCTTCCCCGAGATGTGCCATCCCCCACAACCTTTGACAATTCCCGACTTGCATCATTTCCCTGCGTTGTCTATCCATGCTATCCAAAGTGAACTGCCGCAGATCTACAATACCCTGCGGAAGCTATGAGCATATGTTTAATCAACCCTGTATCCTCTCTGCGCCTGGCTCCGATTCGAACCGCTCCCTCTGCATATTCACCCAACTGCCGAATATACCCATTGACAGAGTGAGACGAATCACGGTTATACTCCTGGTAGCCAGTGACGGTCACGGGTGTCTTGGATTCCGGGATTTTGGCAAGCAAAATGTTTCTGCTATGACGATGATACTAATTCGAACGCGCAAGCATGATTCGAGATCAAGTTTCTACCTACACGTTGTTCTCGGTATTTCGGCGTGGCTTGTACTTTGGGGGCCCTGGTACCTGGCTCTGAATACTCAGCTTCGGGTCAACACGCGCGTCATCCGTTCTCTTGCCCTGCATTACACCTGGTTCAAGGCTTTTGGTATTCTATATTTGTCGTCAGCTGACATGACGTCAACCTCTGTACCCGATATCTGGCCTCCTGGGCGAATCCTTCTACCGTGTTGCAGGAAATATTATCCACGTTACCCACCATTAATTCGTACAATCCATCTCACAGGTAAAAAATGTTCAGGTGCCCCCTGAACGATCGACGGGGCCGTACAGTTCGCCGACTCTCGCCGTTGCGAGCGCGAAGAGGCGTGATGCGCGATGATTCGAGAACTACGCCGTCATCCAGTTCTCGGGACGGACATGAAAAGTCAAAATCCAGCGATCTACTCGAGCTTGGTTGCTGAGCACTGCACATTGCAGCTTCTTTACCGACACCAGAGGCCAACGCACGCGCTACCTAGTAACGCGCCTAGCAAGGCGACTCAGAAGTCATGGAGAACTCCCCACAATATGCATGGGTCCGCAGCGGTCCCATGTTTTACAATTGAGGTCGCTGGAAGCTTTACACTGGCATTGGACATTTGAACTTGCGGTCTGTATCACAATTCTTGCAGCCGACAGCATTGATGAAACGAACCGCGGGTGACACTTCGGAATATTTGGTCAGGTGGAACAAAGCTGACAGCTGAATGATATTGAGCTGAAGGCATGTTGACAGGTGACATGAGATGCAGCCTCAGGATGGAAAATGTTCAAGGTTTCGATTCAGATGTGATAAAGCTGGAAGGTCCCAAGCAAGCTAACTGGCACCTCAGGAGGGGGGAACTGTGTGATAGTGGCATCCTCTAGGTCAAGCATTCTCAATGACAACGACGAGCATTCGCGATATGAGAATGCTTTCCCGAGTCACAGTTGGGCAGTAAAAAATCAGCAATTAACTCTATGGGCTCTTGTTGCTCGAGGAGGAAATGTCAGAGTGAATGGATGTGTCAAGACAAGATGTCAAAGGTTGTGGTGGTCCAGCCCCACGAACGGACGAGATTTTGTATGAGGCATTTTTCCAGAGCCAATGGTAAGCGAGGTGATTCCACAATGGCGAGGCTAATGCAACCGCCTTCAGGACAACCTTCTTTAAGCTTTTTCCAGTCTTGCGACTTCCTCCGATGACAAGACAGGCCGCCTGTGGTACTGTATGTGTTCCTTCGAGCCATGTCCAATTCCAATGTTGCAGTAGTCAAACTTGGCGAGCGGCCTCCTCCTGTTTGACCTCGTATTTTGAGCTTTAACCCTAGAGTTGCCGATAGGCGGGCAAGTGGTCAAATGGGATATTTATGCCACGAACTCGCCAAACGCTCTCCAAAGAGAGGACCGCATAGATGACCCGTTTGGGATCCAGACTTACCACATCCAGCGTGTCTGGCTGAACTTCATTCACCAACATAACCGTAAAGCCAACCAAAAGGTCCATGTCCAAATTCTCTTTTCAGACTTTGACTCAAACTACAACCAAGACTTTCTACATGTCATATGGCATCCCGCCGAGTTCAGCTAGAGTATGTAGCAGACCGACAGAAGTTTTTTCTTCCCTGGATACTACCTCCTCCGTACTCCACGAGACCATGGTTGGTTGCATACAATTGCAACGGCATGGATTGGGAGGCGGAGTAATTGTTTCAACTGTCAGCATGCAGTCGTTGTCTCCTGGAACGTGCATTTACTTCGCGTCTCTGGTTTGCCTCCCATGCAAAGGCTTTCACATGATATCTTCCCGTTTCGCTCTCTTGCCCACCGCGGTTTGTCCTAGTGTTGACACCCCTCAGATCCCAAGATTGACGCGTTGTGCTTTCAGTCGCCAAAGGTTGGGCAAAGTTCTCCTTGATGTCAAGTTTTCCGCGGTTCATTCACCAAGCCTGAGGTGGAACCGACGGATAACATGTACGGAAGAGCTCTCGCAGAGCAGAGCTGGACTTGAAATACGCATCGACCGTCAAGTTTGTAGAAATGGGACGAAGTTATGAGGTAGTGACCATCTTGAGACCGGGAGCGATTCTCTTTGAAAATTCTTGTCCTGTGAGTATCCTGGACTCCAAGTCCGTCGGTAAAACCTACTTGTAGTTGCTCTTAAGGGAAGAAATTCTATAGAATGAAGCCATCCATTTCAACCACGGGTAATCTACTGCTCCTTACTCGTGGTCCTGATCGTAATACAAACAATGATCAAAAGGCGCCGAAGCGTCCACGCATGCAATGAAAGAAGGGCAAAGATTACACATATATACATGGTCACGCAAAGACCTTGACTGGTATGAAACTTCTACTTGAGCCTGTCGCACATCGACTGTTCCTCCAAGACAAAATAGTCCTTATCTTTTCTGCAGAGCGCAACACAGTGCAGAAGATCAAAATACTCTCCTCCTAGGAGATCTTTCATCCATCATTCATCATTGACTAGGATTCCCCCAATCATTCAAAGACAAAAAGACATGCAGATCTTTGAAAAACGCTAAATTCTGGAGGAATCCAGATTGAATATTCAGATAGTGCGATGGTATATTGGGCTGGATGAGATTGTGTTCAAGTGTTATACTGCTTGAGGCGTGATCGTTACCGTTCCAAGTTCCCAGAACATGTTTGAGCATATTCATGAAAGCAACATCATGGCCGTTGTAACAGCTATCAACACGTCGGTGAGTCGAATTGTGGCAAGACAGTCACGGAAACAGGCCCAGCTACGCCGGCACTGGACGTTGTCTGTTCTGGCAAAAGAGACGGCAACGTGTTTAGACATGTCATACAGATCTCTGGTTCGAGAAGAAATGCCGCGTGCGTTTCCTCGTCGTTGAAAAACAGGGTAAGCATCGGCGTGGCACCGTCTTGCCTAGCTGTAGCTTCAGGGTCGCTGGGCTTTGCTTCGATATACATCAAATCTACCTCGTGGAGGTCGTACGTTGACCCACCGCTGGTCAACGTAGAGTCCGTTTGGTTGACTGGCCTCGCGGAATTGGAGGAATTCTCCCATCAATACCTCGGTCATAGAATGCGAGCATCTGAAAGGCAAGTTTTAAAGAGGTGATGGCTTACGTTGTGTTTGGGTGCCAACCTCGGATGTTCTCTCCAAAGGTAATGCACAGGAATCTGGCAAGCTTACTTGAAGTGCTTTCCGAACATTCTCGCATTCTGTTCCAGGCGTCGTATGGGTGCTGGTGGAATTGCTTTGAAGCCGGTTGCGCAACTCGCCAGCGGCCCGCTGCACCAGGTCCCGTACACAAGTACCTCCGAGCATGGTGTCACAAGAAATAGCGGCAAAGTCGTTGAAGTCTGGGGGAATTTGGAGTGCTGAGGTAATGTTATTGAAAAGTAAAGTGCAAGCTGCGAAATCTTGAGTCGGTAATATGGACGGGCGGAGGACCGCCGAGAAGGAAGCGTCTAGTAGCGGTCTTTGCCACTGTCAATCTTCTGGGTTGAGAAGCCAATAGTCAAAGTCGAGGGCCCCTCAGACGTAACATTGCTGTTGAAAGGTGCGATGCCGACGACATCAATTGATCTCGTTGCAGCTCAAAAGCGGTGCTAGGGCCAAAGGCGACAGGAGGGAGTCTGTTAGGAGAAGGATCATGTCCACAAGGCAAGAGCCAGCGGATCGCATGTCCGCAGGGTACTGGAGTTGTCAAGTCTTGTCTCTCCAAATGCAGGAAATCTCCATGCTTTAACGGAGCAAACATCACGCCCTCGAGGTTCAGACACTCCGTGGACCCCGATAAGGACGGAGAACTAAAGAAGATGATAAGCGCCTGATGATGTTTGAGTCCGGAGGCCATTGCTGAGCTCTGCTCTTTGGTGGCTGAAAGCAGCGATTGTGAATATTATGTAGCTTCAGGCTGAGGCTAGCTTCAGTTATGCGCTACGCGGAAAAAGTGAGATGCGGAGGGTACCTGCGCGCCTTACCCAGGTACGTACGGAAGCAAGTACCTCCCACCAAGTTGTATCTCGAAACGCTGCGCTAGGAAGGCTTGGCATTGGTCCTATAAAACTTTACTCGACTTTCTTTCATCCTCATCCTCTGATACATGTCCAGAGTCGCCGTAATCACTGCCCTTGTTCATTGACAAAATTGCCATGAGACAATACTAGACGGCCATCCTTCCGTCCCTGTGTTTGGGTGAGCGACTTCGGCCAATCTTGAATGCTCCGAGGCCAAGCTTACACATTCCTGCCACGCCAGAATTGGGGACAAAATGTAAACACAGATTGTTCTGTTGCATAATACTGGCTCAGCGCCTGATTCCAATCAAGGATGAATGTCACTTGCAACCACCATCCACCCTGAAGTTGGTCTGCAGCTGCCATACACACTTTCGACATTATTTCAACCGATATCTCCACTTCCAGACTCTTCCCACCTTGGATGCTCGTGGCTATATGCGAAAGGAAACCCGATGGTCGACTGGACGACGGTGTATCGAGTTGCTATATCATGACAGAAAGATGTGGCATCGCAGGATACGTGGTTAGAAGGATACATTCATGTCACTTTCAGAATGACTCGGTCCTGGGTCATGGCCCAGAGGTCGACTTTTTCAATTATTAGCATCGCGGTACAGCTCTTGAAGCAGTCATCTTTTCTCAGATATCCAATCGAGTCGTATTCGACCCACGTATCATCAAATTCGCACAGCCTTGTATAAACAATCAGGAGGGAGGGAAAAAAAAAAAAAAATCCCTTTCGTCATGGCAGGAGTCCCCACTGCTATCGGTGTAGCCATTGATTGGATGAGCTTGTTCTTAGTAGTCCTTGGTCCTTGGTCCTTTTGTACCTCTAGCCGAGACGTATTTGTCCGTGGCAAGGGCCCATGTCGGGCTCACTCGACCTGGAACAGCCAGAGAAGCGCGGGGGGCGACGCTCTAGATGCCAACCTCTAGGGTACATCGGGAGGTTTCATTGGCTATGACCTCCGGAATATGTCTCAGTTGTCACCGGCGGTGGCGATGGACTGTGCATTACCGTCATTACCGTACCAACACCTGAGGGTGGTTCCTTCAACTGGTTCGGTGACATTGGTCAGGCGTGTGGAGCACTGTGGTATGATCGGAACAAAGTCATGGGCGATGCCGCAAATAGTTACCGGCCCAAACGCGTGTGGATTGATGGAAATGGGGATCCAATTACCCAGCTTCACAAAGGGGTCCAATGCAGGGGAGAAATGTCCTCGAGCAATGGCAGACAATCGAGACCTGATATGTGAAAGCCAGTCACAGTTCAGCATGTACGAAAATATCATTCAGGAAAACGTGACCAAGTTTTTAAACAACCCACCAACTCTTGTAGCCGATGGCACAGACGCCAACGTCAATCAGATACTCAACCCAGATAATTGGTTTGCAGCTAAGCCACCATTTGACCCGGAAATGAAATGTCCAGATGGAGATCTTTGCCTTTGCAACCGGCGCTTCTGCCGGTCAGCATCTTCAGCAGCGGGCCTAGACACGTCGCCGCTTGCACCAGAATTTCAATAGGAGAAGGCAAGCCTTCATGGCAGACAGGCTCATCGTCAGCAATCTTGAAGGTGCTGACGCCAAAAATGTTTGCAGTAGCGACACCTCGGAAGGCTTGTTTGGTGGCATGTCCGAGAAACAGCTTTGATCCTTGTGTTCATCAGCGATCACGGCGAATTGCTTCGATCTAGAAGCTCAGAATATGAGAGACTCGCAAAGCAACGTTGTCACAGACGGACAATCAACAGTCTCAAATGCCATGGCGTCTTTGAATAGCAGGTCTGTTCATCGACAAACCGGAAGTGTGATGGCCATGTCTTTTTGAGGACTTGGGAGGATGACTATTAAGATCCGATTCACGCCAAAGGACTCAGTTGTCGGTATGTACTCAGGACTGTGTCCGTTCTGGGCGTTTCATAACGGCGTCTATACGACCGCCACGCTGTTCTTCTGTACAATTAGTTACGGTTTGGTTGATTTCAATCATGGAGCACATCTGTTTACAAAGAGGCTGTAGAGAAGGTTGAGAACTTCGTTGCTCATGGCCCACTGTTTTGAACACAGGGTTTGTCTTCCGAAAAGGAAAACTCCCCGTCGACATCTTCCGCATCTGCCGAAATATCCGGCCCGGAGACTGCCATCGGATAGCCTTGGAACTGAGCCCCGATATTTCTCCCAAAGTGGAACCCTACTCCAAAGGCCGGCGTCGCCCGAATGGCGATGGACTATGCGGACCGCAATCTCCTATTCGCCCGGAAAGGGAGACAGGGATGATCGAAAGAGATCTGCAGAGGCGCTAAGTACATCGGGCCAACGTACAGTAAAACAAACTGTATGTTATTTGTGGCTGGTCTCGTATTAAAACGTTCAACAAATCTGGCGCAGAGGGTTCAGATATTCCGTCGTGAACATGAAGATCATGAAGGATGATCTCATTTCGCACCCTCTTAGACTATCATCTTAATATTGGCTTGGCGTGTGGATCAGAATTTGGACTCTGCCACGCAACAAGGCTGTCTTGGAGCCTTGGCTGGAGGACCTTCAATCTCAACAGCCACGTACCAACATCCTCTCCTTCTTCAGACCTGGAGCTGCACCCCCAGCGCAGAACAAAGGAGTGATACACAGACCCGCCATTCTTTACAGTCATTTCGGAAATCCAGTGATGATCTACCCAGTACTGCAACAACTGGAAGTCCACGGACCAATACTCGCGACAACGAATAGTCCCAAACGTGGAACCAGATCTACCGGAAGGGCGCGCGCGACATTTGAGCCAGGAACTCCTTTTTCCCTTCTCCCTATCCATCGTCACCATCGGCATGTCCTCTCTCACCGCTTCCACCCAGCCTCAACCTCAGTCCCAATCCCAACTAACCGTCGAAGACAATGAACCCGACATCAGTCCAGACCAACATCGGTATATCCGTTCCCTCAACGAATCCCCAACATGCTACTCCCGCTTCTTCAGCGCACTGCTCATCAAGAAATCTATGCACCACCAATTTTTCCGAGACCTGAAAACATTCCGCGAGCAGCCCATCATCATCGCCCTCCTGGAGCCCGGAACCAAAGAAGCGTACCGAGAATGTACGCGTGCCTTTGTTGGTTCTCGGTTCGCACACCCTTGGTGCCGGACCGAGAGTGATTTCAAGTCCGGCTGGACGCGGGCAAGTTGGGTCGGTGGCACGAGGAAAGTGAGCAAGGAGGACAAGAAGGAAGAGGAGCGCTTGCATCGGCTTCTTGTGCCGATTTGGATTGCATTTCAGAGGAGGATGTTTCCGGGGATCGAGGTGGTGCAGGATTGGGTTGAGAAGGAAAGAAGAGAGTATGAAAAGGAAAAGCTGAAGCTTGCCGAACCCGAGGCCGAGAAGACGGCCAAGTCGACCCAGTCGCCGTCATCTGGCGTTTCCAAAGCTACAACTACAAATGCCGCTTCGACGACGACTTACCCTGAACTGGGCTTCAAAACGAAATCTTCAAAACCAGCACCGGCAACATCTTCTTCCAAAACAGTGTCCAAACCCTCGGATTCCAGTGCTGCTGTAGCATCACAAATGTTCATGGGCGTCGCAGTCACAGGGTTCATCATGAGTGACAAGCGCGTCAGGAAATATATGAAGAAGAAATTGAAGAAGTGATCCACGGACCATTCAACTTTGCTCCCCCCACCCAAACCCCCAACGACTCGGAACGAACACCGAGATCGAGCATCGTCGTCGCGGATATCGAACTCGGATCAGTTTCATGGCACTGCATCTTGCAAGAAATTGTGTCACATCTCAGACAACATCGTTTGGTGGAAATGGAGGTCCAGATGATATTGCATACTACGACAGGGAAGTAGTTTGGCTGACTCAAGGCCTCTGCAGAGGATATTTATGCTCGAACTCGAACTCGAACTCGGATTCATAGAATACCATCTCTCTTCCAATTGCCCTTACCGTCTCAGCAACATATGGCTTAGCTGGGCTTTCAAACGACGCTCAGAGTCCAACATTCATTGTCGTACGAAAGCGACGCCAACCCGCTTTGAAGTCCGGCCATAATAACTATGTTTGTCGAATAAGAATATTATCATTCCAAGAGTCCAACGGGAGAAGCTCAAAGCAGACAGAGGAGGCCGAAACTCGAAAGAAAGAGAAAATTAAAAAGTCGATGTGGACCGTGTATGTATGGTCATTGCTGCACATTGAGCAACTGGAGCGAGGTTGGAGAAGACCTTGGAAAGTATTATATACACATCGTGATCCAGGTCCTCACACTGTGTGAGAGAGTCATAAAGGTCTCGCTCTTCAAGAGCAGAATCGTAACAGGAATATTGATCTCAAGCCCGTCGTAACTCACTTCTCTCATCTTTTCAATTTTTTTGAGAAAAAGAAGCAATATAAAGGAAGGGAGAAAGGGAGAAAGAGGAAAGGGGAGATGTGGAGGTGGAGGAAGGACACACTTTCTTCTTCTTCTTTTCCTCTCCTACGTCCACAAATGAAAAGAATCGCCATAATCGATATCCCTTCTCTCGAGCGTCTCTCTTTCTGTATCCGTCTTCATCGCACCCGCATCATACACATTCGCGACTTGCGGGCCCTCGTTTTTCATATTATACCCAAACAGACAAAGCTTATACGAGACCTTAGGTTGATTGGCGTAGAAGGCATCATAGGTCGTGGCGAGGGCGTCAGTCAGGGTTTTCACCTTGCCCCCTGGGTGCAAATAGTGCCAGGGTTCTTTACATACTTTGCCCTTGCAGGACTTGAGGACCATGGTGAGGGCGTCGAGGCGGTGGACGATTTGCTCGATGCCACGGTCCGCGATGGTGAACGGGGTTTCGGTGGTGACATTGGTGCCGAGTAAGTTTTTCGTTTGGAGAGGATCGGTCTGAGCATGAAGAGATTGGGTGAGTAAAAATAAACAGATACTCAGGAGAATCAAATAGTTCCTGAGGAAGGTTGAGAACAGGGACAAGATTGACATACCTTTAGATCATAGAGTTCGGCTTCATTTGTGCACCATACCGAGTAGTATAAGCTGTAGTCCTTGGAGACAATACGAACGGACTTGTACGAGTTGCCCAGGAAGACATTGATGTTGCGGCCAGAGATATTCTTCCAGCCATAATCGCCTTCTCCGATAGCCTAATACATCACATTCACGTCAGGATACATACATCTGGAGAGTGTCGAAAGAAGAAGAAGGACCAAAATTAGGAAGGTCGGTACGGGGCCACAGAGGGAAGTAGAACTTACATAACCCCAATATTCGATGGTAGCATGCTCTACGGGGAAGTCCTTTGCCTTTTCTTCGTCGAACGGGATAGGTTGGCCGTCAAAGTGGGGATCCAATGGAGCCTCAGCGATGTTGAGGATAGTCGGTGCGAGATCGGTATGAGTGGTAACCGCATTGAGGACGCTGCCCGCTTCAATTCCAGGACCTCGTACGTACAGAGGAATATGAATGTCGGTGTCTATCGTAGAAGGTCAGAACAGGAAGACGAAGGGAAATGAATAAGTGGTGTAACACGAACCGTATCCACAATACTTCCCGGGCATCATGGCATGTTGGCTGACGTGGTAGCCATTGTCTGTGGTGTAGAAGACATAAGTATTGTTGAGGACTCCTGCATCATCAAGCTGCTTCACCAATGCACCGACCATCTCGTCAACGGCTTGCAAGGACTGTAGCCGAAGTCGCTGAAATTCGTCCTGGTATGCAATGATGGTGTCGTTCAACACCGATAACCTGCCTGGCCAAGCAGGTGCGCCCTCAATGGGGACGTTGAAAGATTTGTCACGTTTTACTGTAAAGTTCTTGAAGAGGTCGGCATGCCGGGGAGCGGGCAAAGGTGGGCCGAACCAATTGGTGTTGGTGAGGCTGTCCAGTCTATTGGTCGTGTGAGGAGCGATGGGGGCGACAGCCAAAAACCATGGCTCGTCGTGAGACATGGCTTCTTTGAGAAAACCACTCGCCTTTTTGGCGACCACGTCGGTCGAGTAGTTCCCTTTGTAACTCACAGGCCGACCTCCATTCCTGGTCATCACGGCATTGTCGTATTGATAGGTGTATGGGTCAAGAAGGAAGTCTGAACCATTGAATCCCCGAGCGTAGGGACTATCGTAGTTTTGAGTGGTGTGAGCGTTCCATAGCTTTCCCGTGTAATAGGTATTGTATCCGGCGCTCTGCATCCACAGGAACAAGTTGTTATCGTTCCAGCCTTCGGCGACGACTTTGGGATAGCCGCCGTAAGGAGGTGCAACATCGGTAACATTGGTATTGTGGGCGGCTCTACCTGTCCACAACGTGGCGCGAGAGGGACAGCAGAGAGCAACGGTGCAGAAATGGGTTGCAAATGTTGCTCCTTCTTTCACAATTGATTGCTGAAAAGTAAGATGCGTCAGCAGGTTCCAATCAAATGAATGAAACAAACCGGTGGTGATGCGGACCTCCACGTGTGGCATAAATGTGGCAGGGGGAGTCATATGTAAGTCCTGATCGTCGGTCATAATAAACAATATATTAGGCCTTTTGGCCCCTACCAGGCCAACCAGCAATAAGGTGTACCAGAATGACAGCATGATGATTGGTGAGATTCCGGTTCCCATGCAGGTGATTTTGTAAGATCTGGCGCGGGGGGCATCTTTATATCTTGACAAGGTACTGGAGCACCGCGGTTCATGAGCAAATGGAAAGGTCTCCGCTGCTTCGGCGTCATAATTGATAGACCTCGAAATGACGTGTCCCGCATTTTAACAGAGAGAAAATTTGAAGAAAGAGGATCCAGGAACCGGTTTGCCCGCTGGCGGCCACGTTGTTACTGAGCAACGTGACTAGCCGGGGCCCCGCAAAAGGCGTTGAAGAAGACTATGGGGAAGTGTTTTGGACAAGGTTCGTAATGAAGCCGGAAAATTTCTACACATTGTCCCGCATTCTTTCTCGCCAAAGGCCCAAAGCTTTGCAGTCTCTCTCGGCACAGTCGCGTAGATGTGGGACGGATACCATCCATCTTCGGCACAACAGATTTTGGTGGATGTCCGCCTAGGAATAAAAAGGCTCCCGGTTCTCGGTAGATACGTAAGAAGAGGCAGGTCGTGGGTTCCCGACTTTTGAATTCACAGGAGCATGATGAGAGCAGGTGTGAATAGGATCCTCCAGTGCTACGTCAAGGAAGCGCTGGTGAGATACCGATGGAATTGCCGAGGCTGCCACTCTCGCGGGCTTTAAAAGTAGCTCGTTGTTTGGGAACAGATTGCTTTGAAAAGATGGGTTATACTCAAGGAGGCAGGTATTCTCCAAGTTCCATACCTATTGTTTGATCCCGACAGCCTTGTCCCATTGCCCGCAAATGGGTTTGGTCGATGCCGAAGATGCTCCGACCAATGCCTAAGGATCTTGCAGTTGCTCCGGAGCTATTTCAGTGCATCACGAGGAAACTTAGACCTCATGCCTTGAGTCCGGGGACACACAGGTCTCTAGTCCGCTCGCATCTAATACTCCTCCTGGGTTGCGGATGTTCATGGCGGGAAAAGAGCCCAACTGGATCTGGGAATTATCCGCGTCTATTTGATACCGAGCCACTCTAATATTATGCCGAGCCTCAACGTCGCATTGGAGAAAAAGTACCTGCTGCAAGGCTTTGCCCCGCCCCAAGGAGATCCCCAGGAACGTGTTACTGATAAACGAAATCTTTCTGGATCCGTACAGCGGGATCGTGTGGTCGCGGGTCTTTTAAATATATTGCATTGTGCCTTTGAGCATTTTGGGTTGATTCGATGGGAGTGTTTTCTCAAGATCATTCGCAGTCTTCACAGGGTCTCCTCTGTATCCCGCTCTCCCTGTCACCACGCCTAGACTGCTGAATGTTCCGGTCGCCATCCTTCTGCACGGTCGCCGAGTCATCTTTCCAATTCGTTTCTTCCTCACCCTTTGGCTCTCCTGTCTTGTTCTTTTTCAAACTCCGATCAATATGTCCTAAATCCCTATCCGGTTCGATGATATTCCGCACTTTACTCTTCAATTCTTTCGTCTCTGGGAAACCGCCGTTCGTTTTTCGATCCCATAATAGCGTGTCTTGCACGGCAATGGATGATTCAGCAGAACCAACTCTTGGAGGCGATGACTCCGGTATGTTCTTCACAGGGTGTGTCATGGTAATGGCGAATATGCCGCCTGTCACAGGAATAAGGGCGATTTCGCCGATACTGGTGCCGAATGTTTGAAGGAGCTCTTGAGCGTACTATGTTCGGGCTTGTCAGCAGAGAGCCACTCCATGAGCCTTGTGAGTCTGGCAAAAATTCAAGCGTCAGAGTTTGGGCCGACGAGCCGAGTAGCCCGTGGGACCAAGAGCAGATAGATATGCACGAGAGAGAGGAGCGACAGGAGATGCTCCGTTTGTTGGAGCCAAAGTTGCTGACTATTCTCTCCCTTTTTTTTTTTTAGCTTCTCCCAGTACTAATAATCACTAGAAGGCGCGAGGACTCAGAGAAAGGACACAACACGAGCACAAGAGAACTCCGAAAGGGAGAGTGCTGGCTGAGCCGACTGCAGCTCACCTCCACCCACATTCATATCGTGCACTTACATAGGCTGCCCTTAAATTCCATTTGCATTGTGTGCAGAACTGTATGGCAATCCGAGGAATTTGGACCATCGAAGACGCTTGGGTCGTCATGGTTTTTTTGATGGGATTGATCACAGGGCGCAACTTCTCCTGTGAAGGTGTGATGTGATGTATTGATCTAGGATTTGAGCTTTGATTGAGCTATCAGGGCTGAGAGAGGCTCAGTATCGCCAATCAGACGGAACCTGTTACAAGAAAAAGGATAAAACGGTTCTCTCTTTTACGTGTACATCAAGGATGGAGTACAGGTCGGGGGGAAAGGGAAAAATGGGTTCTGTGATTGTTGGAGAGAGGTTACTGATCTAAGAGGCGGTGGTGATGTTTGAAAGTCAACCACCGGCTTATAGTTCCGATGGCTCATCAGCCCATTGCGCCCACTCGGAGAATTGATCAAAGAGATGTTCGCCCCAGATCACGCTTCCTTATGGCACGGATACGAGGAGCTCTTTGACAACTTCTTCATACGTAACGTGGAAAGACGGATCTGCTGATTGAAATACTTTTTCGTCCAAGTCCAAGGTCAAAGCTGCGATTTTTCTACTGTACAGCAATGTCCGATGGATGTTGTTCGGCTGCGCTATTCTTTACCTAAAACTCCCCAGAATAACAGTCCCGTTATCCCGTTATTGGAAGCTCGCAATGTTGGGACCTAAGCGAAGTCCCATGCCTAACTCTCAGCGCATCGGTTATCCAGGGTTACCCTTGCGTTTGCTCCCGGGTGGTGTACCAATAGGCCCAAGTCAGCGTCAAGATAATTCTGAATGGGGAATTTCCGCGTCGGAGGTTGGAGGTCCCGGAGTTTTCTACACCGCGCCCATGAACTGAGGCACTGAGAATCGATGCATCGGACTGGGTGTTACTGGACAGAGAGCTCTGTGTTGTCCGGAGCAGGTTCCAGGGTGTGGTGGGACACAGCATCGGGCCAGAAAAAGTTTCAGGCTAGAAGTTCGAATATCAAAACTCATGGTGACACGAACAGCGAAATGTAGTCGTACACGCACGAATATTACAAAGTATCAGCACCAAAACCCGTAGGAAAGCAAAGGTTTTTTCAATTCATTCCACCCTAGCCTGACTGCAGGTTCTTATCGAAGTCTGAACGGGAAGAAAATGCCGGGTTCGTAACTTGGTACAAGCGCAGCGCAGACGTACATTATCTTCTGCGCTGGCTCTTACATGGAAAGCTGCCGCGATTTGGTTTCGAAACATAAAACGCCCCCTTTGCGCCAAATGCTTTTGAATCAATTCCTTGCCTTTTCACGCGCGTGTTCCGGTGTCTGAGCTTGTTCTTCAAGCCTCATCCGATGTGACTACATAACCGTACAGCACCCGTCACTTCCTCCGCTTTGTGGATTGTATGGATCTTCTTTCCTGTCTACCTGTCCCCAGACCGAAGGGACCATGTAGTCTCGTGTTTGATTGCAGTAGTTGATCAGGCTGGGCCTCAAATGTTAGCATATCTGACTGATGGTGGCATGACGTCGCGCATTTGATTAGATTTACCTCATCGATGCTTCCGCCACTTTGACACGAGGTCTCTCCAGATCCTCCTTCAGCCTTGAGTTCAATTCTTGTAGCCGGCGCAGTTTGAGGTCTGCCATGCTTTGTTTTTTGGACTTGGCATCGCCCCCATCCCGCACCGCATATACAGCTGGCATGTTTTAGCAAGGATAGTATTGGTAGCCGTCGTAGAGGAAAGCGCGATCGTCCAGCAAGCAGGTTGCGCGAAAGTTGGGAGCGTGTCGTCCGAAGTTTTGGCAGCTAAGGGTCGGCCGATTCGGCGAAGGGTCGGGGTGGGGGATGTGGGCTAGGTATCGCTCAATGACCTCTTTCCCTTCGATGAGGGCTCGAAGTTGGATGGCAAGAGGGTATTTGAGGGTTTTGTCGCGATGGAGGGCGAGTTGGGCAGGATGTTGTCCGGTACGGACGAGTTGTTTGGTTGCTGGAGGGTTTTGATTAGCAGGGGGAAATTCAGTTTGTGCTCCAGGATTAAGGAGACACAAAGGCTTTCTTCTTACTCCGGGTCCATTAGCGATCTAGACCGATTCTGGATTAGCGTCAAATAGTCACGTGAGATGAATAAGCGAATAGGTCACGGAGAACGGATCGCCGAGGCCAAGACTTCTGTGGGAGCCCTGTTGTTTGACAAAAATTGACCTCACACTGAACACTGCACCTCACGACAAACCCTGGCATTCAGCGACCACCCATCATAGTCATCTCTAGGACAGACTGTTACCAGAGTCTCGAGAGATCATTCACTTGATCATCTCCATCATCCCCTGACTCTAATCGCCAGCCGTCAAGATGCCGCCTCCACCACATATCCGGCCTGAGAATGTGCTCAGAGTAAGGACACTTTCCTTATTCCGTCCTATCCTCGAGTCTGCCTGCAGATGATGACTGACCGATTTTCCCCCCCCCCCCAGCGAGCACAAGAGCTCATTGCCGTTGACCAAACTCAAGCCGCCCTCAATGTTCTTCACGAACATGTTACCTCGAAACGATCCCGGAATAGCCCCATTGCCTCCCTGGAACCGGTCATGCTCCTCTTCGTTGAATTGTGTGTCGACCTGCGAAAAGGCAAATCCGCCAAGGATGGTCTTTATCAGTACAAGAACATTGCGCAAAACACGAACGTGGGCACTATTGAGGTTCGAGACCGATGACGGTATTGGATCACGGGAATGCATGCTGACAGGGTCTATCTAGCTGGTGTTGAAAAAATTCATTGAACTCGCCGAGCAAAAGGTTCAAGAAGCGCAGGCAAAAGCTGATGAAGTTCAATCCTCGCTTGAGACTGCGGCGACCTCTACCAACCTCAACATCGAAGATCTCGAGGCGACCGAAACCCCGGAAACTATCCTCCTGGCCACCGTATCCGGTGAACAATCTAAAGACCGAACAGATCGAGCCATTGTGACACCATGGCTCAAGTTTCTCTGGGAGACTTATCGCACCGTTCTGGAAATTTTGAAGAACAATGCCCGCTTGGAGGTCATGTACCAGAGCACCGCACATCAGGCATTTGATTTCTGTCTCAAATACACCCGGAAGACCGAGTTCCGTCGTCTTTGTGAACTGCTGCGAAACCACGTTCAAAATGCCGCCAAGTACTCTTCTCAAATGCATGCGATCAATCTGAACGAGCCCGATACCTTGCAACGCCATCTCGAGACTCGTTTCCGTCAATTGAATGTGGCCGATGAACTCGAACTCTGGCAAGAGGCTTTTCGAAGTGTGGAAGACATCCACATGCTGTTGACGCTGTCCAAACGTCCGGCAAAGAATGTCATGATGGCAAATTACTACGAAAAGCTCACCAAGATATTCCTTGTCAGCGACAACTTTTTGTTCCATGCTGCTGCGTACAACAAATACTACAACCTGCTCCGTCAATCCGCGGCCGCTGTCGCCGCTGGTCAGACTGCCAAGCGTGATAACCCGGTCGTCACCGAAGAGACTCTGACCAAGGCTGCATCGTTTGTCCTGCTCTCTGCACTGGCCATCCCGGTTATCAGCACCTCCCGCTCACGTGGAGCACTGGTTGACGTCGATGAAGCTCGGAAAAACAAGAACAACCGTCTTACCAACCTCCTTAGCATGCCCTTTGCCCCAACAAGAGCAGGACTCTTTAAGGATGCTCTCAGCAAGGGCTTGTTGAAGAGAGTGCGACCGGAAATCAGAGATCTTTACAATATTCTCGAGGTTGACTTCCACCCGCTCTCGATTTGCAAGAAGATTTCCCCCATTCTGGCTCAAATCGGCGCTGACGCGGAGATGGAGAAGTACGTGCTCCCTCTCCAGCAAGTCATTCTCACCCGCCTCTTCCAACAACTGTCGCAAGTGTATGAGTCCGTTGAACTGAGCTTTGTCACTCGACTTGCTCAATTCCCGGCCCCATTTGAGGTGACCCCGGCCATGATTGAAAAATTCATCATGAATGGATGTAAGAAGGGTGACTTGTCCATTCGTCTCGATCATGTTTCGGGTATCCTGGCATTCGACTCGGATGTCTTCTCTTCGGCGAAAGCCCTTCACCCGGGCAACGCAGCAGGATCTGCAGAGAGTGAAACTGGTTCCGTTCAACGACTGCAAAACACTCCTGCCGAGATTGCTCGCTCCCAGCTGACCCGGTTGGCCAAGACGTTGCATGTTACCTGCATGTACGTTGATCCATCCTACAATCAAGGCCGTCTAGCTGCGAGGGAGTCGGCACTTGCACGGGCTGAAGCTGGCGCACAACAAGAGCATGAGAGAAATCTGGAGAGGCGTATCGTCATCGAAAAGAAGAAGGAAGCGTTTTCTGAGGCACTCTCGAAGAGACAGAGAGAAGAAGAAACGCGCCGCCGTATTCGGGCGCAACAACAAGCAGAGGCCGAATCTCAGCGTCTGCGTGATGAAACCAGAGCGCGTGAGCTTAAACGTGTCAAGGACGAACAGGCCCGCATTCGTCGCCAGGAAATGGAGAAGCAGCTGGAAGAACTCAAGGGCGGCATGAAGATTGATCTTGAAGATGTCAACATCGACGAACTGGATTCGAACGCCATCCGCATGCTGAAATTGACGCAACTTGAAAAGGATAAGAATGAAAAGGACAGTCGTATCCGCGTCACGGCCAAGCGGATTGATCATCTGGAGCGAGCATTCCGTCGAGAAGAACTGAAATACGAAAAAGAGGACTACGAAAAGCAACGCGAGCACGATCTGAAGATCTATGGGCAAACGAAGCAAGACACTCTGAAAGAGGCTCAAGAGAAGCACAAAGAAGGCCTGGCTCTGAAGCATCGTCTTAGCAGACTTGTCAAGTACTATGACTCATTCAAAGGTCAAATCACAGAACGTCGTGCTGCAGACTTTGAAAGACTCCGCAAGCGAGCGGAGCGGGAGTTTGAAGAAGAGAAGCGGAAGCGTATCAAGGCGTATCATGAAGAGAAGATTCGGCAACGCCAGGCCCACGAAGCCGAGGAACGACGCATCCGTGATGAGGAAGAGCGGCGACAGCGTGAAGAAGAAGAGAAAGCCAGGGCGGAAGCGGAAAAGAGGAGACTCGCGGCAGATAGAAGAGCTAAGGCTGAGGCAGACCGTGCCGAACGTGAAGAAGCTGCACGGAAACAAATGCAACGAGAAGAGGAGGCCGCCGCAAGAAGAGCTGCCCGAAAAGCCCCAGCTGCCGAACCACCCTCCTTCTCTCGCGGACCAAGAGAGGCCCCTCCAATGGACGCTCGAACCAATTCTCAAGAAGGACGCACTGCTCCCCGGCTCAACTTGGTCGGCAAATCTGGCGGAGGTAGCTGGCGTGAACGTCAAGCTGCCAAGGAAGCTGCCGCGGCCGCGGGTCAAGCATCGCCCCTAGCACAAGCTCCATCTGCTCAAGAATCAGCGCCTCAACCTCGCCGCCCTGGTGGCTATGTTCCTCCTCATATGCGCGAAGGTGGTGGCTCTCGTCCAGAGGCTCCTCCTTCGCGCGATCTCCCTACACGCAACACGTCGTCCTCGCCCGCTAACGGCGCTAGTGGTGGCCGATATGTTCCCGTCCACATGAGAGATGGGGGACGCAGTTTGTCGCAAGAACGTTCTGGATCACCTGCGCCAGCCAGTGGTGACGAGGTACCCAGACGACCTTCCGCTATAACAGGATCAAGTGGGCGATACGTGCCTCCGAGCATGCGAAATCGTCAACAGTAAGCAAAGCACAGCGCGTTGTTTTGCCGGAGGAAATATCGTGTTGGGTGTGTCGGGTTTTACTTCTCGTCGTCTTCTTTCTTTGAATGTGTACGTATGTATTTTACTCTCAAAGCAACAAGCACAAGCATTGGTCCTACTTGCATGCATGCATGCATGCATGCCATGAAGGTTCTACCAGACTGAAATGACAATGGCATTCTGGCATCCTGACATCTTGGACATGGAGCATGAAGGCGCCTTGTGGCCAGAAGATCGATCAATAGAATTGTGGTGAATGGGATAAAAAAAATTATTCTAGGCAGTCGTCATTCGATCGTTCTCATGTCGCATTTCAATGTTTGTGCAGCAGACCAATGGGTTGCTACTGACAAGTCCATCGATTAGACGATAGTCGTCCAGCTTGATCCCGGTGCTCATCAGTTTATAGTATTAGACCGTGACATCCAAAACCACCCTCCCCACACCCGTATCCCTGGTCTCCATTAAAATTCTACTCCTCGCACCACGCCTCTCAATCTCCTTGACAAATTCATCTACTCCGCCCCCGACGCCGAAGTAGACTTTCTTCGCGGCGACCCATGCCCTGGCACTATTTCCTTGGACATTGGGATGTTTTTTGAGCAAGCTGACCAACGTCTCAGCGAAGATTCCGGTGGATGATGGCGAGTATATGGTTTCCGAGGCGAGGATTAAGAGGTTCGTAGGTTTTTGGTTCTCTGTGGCCATCAACGTTGGTGGTAGTTGTGGGATGAGCTGGACGAACGCCTCGCCCCAGCCTCCAGAGATGAAATCTATGGAGATATTGCGAGCACGCATGTCCTCTGTCATGTCTTCGAGGAGCGTCTCGGGCATGTCGTCGAAGTCAAGATCTCCTTCTCCTTCAAGTTCTCCTTCAATCTCTCCTTCATCTTCTTGCTGCTCGTCGTCGTCGTCGTCGTCGTCGTCTTTGCCTTCGACAGCGCGCTTGTCATGTTTATTGTGTTCTGTGTCTCTGTGTTCGCGCTTAGTACCGCGCATATACTTCATGAACTTCAAATAATTCAACAATACATTCGGAGCGGTGCATAATCGTAACACGTCTTCGTTGTAGTCGCATAGTGTGAGATTCAGGTTACCATGCTCATCATTTCCATCTCCATGTCCTGCCTGTCTCCACTTTGCTGTGGTAGTGGCAATGAGAAAGGCTTGTAAAAGCGTCAAGCTCGGCACAGCACTTCCTGCGCCCAGCTCGACGATTTCCCAGTCACAGTTGTCACAAATACCTAGATCTTGGATGGGAACGACGAGGAGGGAAGCGAGATCAAGTGCGCATTCCCACGTTTTGAAGCCGCCTTCGTAAAAGCCAGCAGTCAAATCGCCGTTTTCGAGGCCAGAGAGAAGTGTGGAGAATTGATCGTGACCGTGACTTGAGCCTTCGGGGTCATGTTCAGGGTCTGTTTCCGCCATGAGCTGGGCGCGGATGTCGAATAATAAGCGGCGTGGGATGTGGATAGTCTCATTAGCGTTTTGGGTGATGGTACTGAGACCAGTCTTGTAATTTGATGGTGGACTTGCTCCCGGATTGACGTGTGGCGTTTGCGCGGACAAAGGGCATGAGATGGATAGGGTGTTGTATGAGATTTGGGACGGGAGCGTGGCTAACTGGGGGAAATTCTTGTTAGATGAAAGCGCTGGCTCAATGCAATCGGTGGTGGAAAAGAAAACGATAGGGAGAATGGAGAGTATATTCGACATCCAGTATTACTCTAGTGAGATAGCTTGCACCTTCTTTACTAGCAATAGAAGAAAGCCGGGAATTCAGGCACGTACCAAGTCTTCTAAAGAATGTCTCTTCGGCTCGACGACAGCGATAGGAGGTCTCTCCGGATCGGGATCTGAGATAGTATATTTTGACATTTCCCTCGAGAGATGCCCAGGGTCTTGTCCTTGAACCTCTTCTTCATCTTCAGCTTCAATGTCGTCTCCGCCGAAGCCAAATGCAAACGACATTCGTAGCGTCGGAATTAGATTGATACTGATACGAGACTCCAAAGACAGAGACAACCCTTTCGGATCCCAGGAAAGGATTAAGCATCAACATCAGTTTGGTGAGAGCAGCAAGTGAAAGGGGGAGAAGGCTGTGGGAAAAGTGGGCAGGACACGAGTGCTAAAAGTGTTGGCATTTCTCTGTATCACAGTACAGCTCACGTGCCTCCAAAAATGGCTTGCTCCGATTGGTTGCAAATTGATCCACTTCTCCATGCATCTACCCCTTTTCATGATGACACAACACCATATTTACCACCTCCATGACTCCTGCATAGCTAAGGGTTTCTATCGAATGGCCCAGACTGGGATTCAATGTGCTTATGCTAAGACAATGTCTTAGCTCCTGAAAGCGTAGAAAGCTGGTGGGACTGTATATAATCTCACAACAAGGTGCTCTCTGCGGCGGCCCCTAGGGCACTGAATTTGATACATTGACAACAATAATATAGTCCCCATTTGATGCCCGCTTCTGGAATTTGGTTGCCACGCTAGACTAAACCAATAAATCCTCCTGCAGCTGCAGATCCCATTCCTCCAGTCTCCTGATCTCATTGGCAGCTAACAGACTCGAGCTGTGGCGCACGCTGGGATTCAGGTCAAAAGTCATGTGTCAAATAACCTGTCAAGCGAAGACAATCTGCATTCTCATGAAAGCAGATGAGCCTCTAAGATGATCAGGTCTTGCAGTGAGAGATTTCCCTCTAATTCCACCTCTGCGAAATATTCAAGAGATTCTATACGAGTCCCCGCCTGCTGGTGACGAGCCTTAGCAGTCGACTTCACGTGCAAGAGGGTATGCAATGCACGCGCGAATTTGGCCTAATCCTATGTCGATAGCAACACTGCTGCCTAGTTCATGAGGCATGTACCAGTTACCTCAGACCATGAGAGCGTGTGATGACAGGTTGCAAAACGCAGTGTCGACCTTCCGGGGTTTCTTGCTTGTGGATACGCCAAAGCACATTTAACTCGGCTGACGTGCAGATCTACGCATATCATCTCCTCTGGGGTCGGCAAGGAAGAGCAGAACAAGCATTTTCGGCTTGTCGTAGAAGGGCTTCCGATCTTTGGGCCCTCAGCCTCGAGACGGCTCCGTTTTGCTCCAGATCTGACATCCTCCTCTATTTGTTCCCTCCTTACCCGCCCGAGCCAGATGTTGCCTGACAAAACCAATTGCCAGCACCTGATGTCAAAGATCTCATCTTTGGATACTGACGTCCCCTTTGATATCTCATGGGAGACTCAGTATTGTTACCCAGTTGCTTCTTTCCCTTGACCCTTTGTCGTCTCTACCAAGATTGGCGACGCGAATTGGCTCGTATGGGATGGGTCAAGGGCTTGCAAAATCTGCCATCTTTCATCCCCACGGAACCTTCGGGGTTATGATCTAACAGATGTCACTATTTCTTGGCGATGTCGACTTTGTCCACTCTGCTGTATCAGAGCTCCTCGATCTCTGATTCATTCCAGAGATGTTCTCTCTTTCTCTCTCTCTCTCTATATTTAACGTCCTAGTTGATATATATCGCTATGGGAATGCGCCTGGGGCCGAGTGTACGGATTTACAGGTGTCATGTACAATTTGGCGACGAACTGAACGATCAGTTATGGGAAGTCGAGCTAACCGTCTGGCAGGCGTCTTCAGAACTTGTGCTTGACAGCCTCTTGCAGGGCCGCTCCGCCGGCACCGCTAACAAGGAGGACCGACTTCCGGTTCATGGGTAGTTTGCCGTTCAGCCCCCGCCGATAAATTGTTACGAATTTTGGGCGTTAAGTATTAGACTGAGTTCACAGCTGGAAAGTATTATCATCCTCTTGATGGAGAAATTCGTTACGCCCGGCACGTTGCATGAGCAAGGCGTCTTGGTACTTGGAATTTTCGTCATGGAGGACGTGTTCGACTTTGAAGATCATCGCCTTGCCGGGTCACATATCTGACATGAGGCCTGCCAAGCGGCGGTTGTCATTGAATACTGAAATCTGTCAGGGGTGCTGTTGTCTCAGATGATCTGCCGGTAACATCCGTCCCCCCCCCCAGCCCTAAAACCCACCTCTGTAAACACATCGCAAGTGCCATGTTCTATGACCAAGTCACGAAACTGACATTGTGAGCTAAACAAGGGCTCGAGATAGACATATCTCCTGACGATCGTGTTTCCCTCGTTCCAAATTAGAGGATGTCACATTGTAGATCAGCCTCCTGTTCGATGTTCTCAATTTCAACATGACAGATGAACAACAAAAGCCATGCGACCTCCTGAATAGGACATCTCAGTTTTCGAATGGTATAAATCGAGGGCGAACTGTAGCCCTATCGTCCAACTTTGTATCGGAATTTCATCATTCAGAAAACAACTAACGTTTCTTCCGAAGTCTCATCGCTTTGCGAATTTCTACCTTTTCGTTCCTCACGAGCAAGATCAACGATAACCAATCGCAGACATGCACACCTTCAACGTCATCGCTCTCAGCGCCGCTGCCTGTGCCTTCCTAACTCAAGCCAGTCCAATGGAGCCTAAAGGCGGCAGCTATGTCATGAGCGCTCCCGCCGAAGTCAGTTGTGGCAACGACCAAGTTATATCCTGCTGCAACACCAAGACCTCAACCACGAATAATGGCTCTGCAGAAGGTCTCGTTGGAATTGCTGGGAATGTTCTCGATGGCGTCCTCGGAGGATCTTGCACTCCTCTTGCCGTTGTCGGCATTCCGATCAACAAAGCCTGCGGTAATAACGTCGCGGCGTGCTGCACTGGAGACCAGGAGGTATGAATAAAATTCCGATTTCAAGCCAATTCCAGAACACACCTGACTGTAGCTATCAGGGCGGACTCCTCAACCTCCAATGCAACAACTTGAACGTTCTCTAAACGTTGAGATGGTTGATGGCGTCACGGAGGCCTGAATGGCAAAGTCCAAATTGACCGCAAAAAGGGCCAGTCACAAGGTCCCGCGAAATGACCAAACGAAGGGGGCAGTCAGTTTTCGATCAAACTAGTTGGGTAACTATGACGCGATGTCTGGTTTGGAGTCAGGTTTCATTCTGTACATATTAGTCCAAGTCACTGTTTCTGACTGGCTTCTCTTGTTCTCCCTTGTCCGGCATATTTCCATTTGTCGGGTCTATTTTGTAATAGGGTTTGCACACCTTCGGCGATATTGGCATCTCCTTGCCGCCGCTGAAATATGGGTGAGAATTCTACCGCTTCTTTGCCTGCTCGTTCTATGCGCTCGGCAGTCTCTTTAAGGGATCGAAGGAAGGTACATAGGTACCGTACGGATCGAATAGATAGAGGCCCTTGATTCACTCATTGTGTCATCCCCCATGAACTTGTCCGGTGTCAGATTGTAATCAAAGTATAAGTGGATGATGATGGGCATGGCCATTTCGCATCTCTCCCCAACGACAATTGACTCCCTTGGCCTAGCCGTTGCAGAGGCAAGGATGATGTTCAGAGTGCTGTTGGACTATAAAGACAATGGGACTGCCAGCGGCATCACGACTCACAGGGTCTAGGAACTGTTTATATATCTTTGTCGAAGAGGGACTTGGCAGCGTCAATGAGAGCAATTTTTGTGTTCAAAGGCTTTCAGGATCGGGAAGGACCCATACAGTGCACGTTGGAGGCGGCCACAGTATTTGCGCCCAACAGATCTTAGATTCGACGCCTTTGATTATGAGGTCTCCTCATTACGGTTGAGGTTCACAGCCCCGGAATTGCTTGGATTTTGTGTATGGTGGGTGACACAGTCTAAGCGACCGAATGAGGAATGCAACACCTTGCATGCTTAAGACAATTTTTGCTTGCCTCTTATTCCAGAAGCATGAAAGGTAAAGCAGGAGTGGTTATACGAACCCATGTGAAATACAGAGCCTTCCATACGCTCATACAAAGTACTGCATCAGTCTTACTAAGACCGGCATATTTTTGTCTTCGTCACTCGGCTCACCCGTTTCATCCCCAACACTCTTTCGACAAGCAATCATGGCCCTCGCAACAGACACCTAAGGTCATATCACGAGCTCATTGCGAGCGCACTAAAGTAACAGGAGCCTTCAAAGAGAAAACCTTACATAGACGATAAGAAGGCTCAAAGTGTTGGCCACGGCTTTCAGGTGAATGCGTGGCCGGGCAAAGCCAAAGATATACAGCTGCCAATCACAAGAGAACAAGCTCAAGAGCTGCTACATTATCTTGATAACTGGGACGTCCGACTACCTGGCCGGGAAACTTGGAGTCGAATGTTGGAACGCACTTGATCAAAAGCAAAGGGACGTCGTGCTCTCGGTTTCGTAGAACGCCCGTGCTCCAGGAATCTGGCAAGCAGTGGGAAGCTTCCTCAAAGCCGGAGACATGAGAAAGGTAGCTGACATATTAGAGAAACATGGTACAAGGGAACGATGGGGATGGAAGGAAGTGGATCTCTGCCTGAAGAGAAAAGGAAGATGCAGACATGTTCCGTGCCGGATCTCGGACAATTCACGACGGGATCGGGGCGACTGTTAGGATTGGAACAATCTACTCTTCAGAGATCAGGCTGGGTCTTCAACCTTCTTGCATTGGGCTTCGATGTACAGTCGTTGTGACTGGGCCAGTAGCTGTGTGCTTGACGGAGCGATGCTTAAATTTGTTGTTTGGCACCTCTTCAGAGAGAACGATGAGACAAGTGCTGTTCACCATGCGATAACGACGGCGCGGGTGGATCGTTCAATGAGGACAACAAAAAGGGCGAAAGACGCGGAGAGGCATCACATAGGGAATCGGTGAGGAAGGTGTCGATGTCAGTAACGCATACATCCGGGAAGCTGGAGAGGAGGCTAGCATGTAGCGCTCGAAAATGTCGAGATGTCGACCCTTTGAATGACTGAATGAGGAATGAAGTAGAGAGTTCATTGCAGGGCGCAATCCTGCACTCCAGCCGTATAGATTTTAACCAGGAGGAGGGTCCATCTGCTTTCCACTTTAGAAGACCAACGACAATATGATTCCAGGTTAGTGCACAAGGCGGCACCTTTTCTATATGAAAACGATGAATTGGCCGGTGGTCGAGGTGGAGCTGGTAAAGGGGGTGAGACCAGAGACCCTGAACAACCACAATTTCTGTCCGACATATTCCGTACGAAGATAGGCTGTCCCTCCCACTTCACCTTCTCGCCAATAATAGCGTCTGGCTTAATGGAAGTAGAAATTCTCATCTGGAGTTCTCCCTCTCACGTACAATGGCTCACTGCCAGGAACATAGCTATCCTCAAACAGAATCTGCGCCGCCACTTCCGGGTGAGGCATCTGCTCAGCCTCGTCGATTTCCCGCTCGATGCTCGCCTTTTCATTCTTTTCGATCTGCTTCAACTCTTGGGCATCCGCCACCCCCCATTCAACAAGCCTCTCATGGAACTTGGTGATTGGATCTTGAGCCTCTCGGACGACTTGTACGTCATCTCGAGTGCGGTATGTGGTGCCCGGGTCAGACACGGAGTGTCCAAAATATCGATATGTGACAAATTCGTATACCAATGGGCCTTGAGACATGACGTACTCCTTGCCGTACTTCACGGCAGCGAGCACAGCAAGGATGTCCATGGCGTCGATTCGCAAGCCCGGTATGAATTGGCCGCGTTTGAAATATTCCACTGATGCAGAACCTCGTTCTGCGGAGGTGCCCATTGCGAATTTGTTGTCTGAAGAGTGTGACTGGTGAGTATATCAACAAAGATAAGGGAGGATCATGGTAAAGGGGATTCGGGGGTTCGTTACTCACTTTCACAAGCAAATATCACCGGCAACTTCCACAATTGCGCCATGTTGAAAGCTTCAAACACCTGCCCCTGGTTCGCGGCCCCGTCTCCGTAAAGGCTGATGGTCACATTTCCGGTGTCACTGTACTGTTGAGCCAAGGCGATTCCTGCACCAACCGGTACCTGAGCCCCCACAATTCCATTGCCGCCAAAGAAATTCTTGTAGTACATGTGGACTGAACCGCGAGCCACGCTTCCTCGTCGACCGAGGACTTCCCCCAGAACTTCCTTGGCCGAAGCACCGCGCATCAGAACATTGCCGTGGCATCGATACGCCGTTATCAACTTGTCGTCTCTCGTTATCGCATGCTCGATTCCCACCGCCACTGCTTCTTGGCCAATGGACAAGTGGCAGAAACCCCGGATTTTCCTTTGTTTGTACAGCCGGTCGATTGCCATCTCAAGGTGTCTTGTCCCAATTGTGAGCGAAAGGTTTGCGATATTGGTGATGGTTATGAACAATACCTTATCCTCCACAGACTAGTGTATAGATAGAGCCTTCAACTCTTTCTTCGTGGTTTCAAGGACTTGAGGAGCATCCACTTGATATGTGTCAAAGCTCTGGCAACGCAGAGGAATTTGGAAGGTTTCATCTTCACTCTCCCTTGAAGAGTCAGTGAACGATCGTAATGGCTCCTTGAAAGATTATATATGATGAGGGCAGGGTTGAGTCTTGACTGACTGCGGGAATGGTGGAAGTGTCGATACTATAAAATCGACGGGATAGGATTGGGAATGCTCTGAACAGTAGAGCTACCGTTGACCTTGCACTCGCAAGCCGTCCGAGCGCCATCGCGAACAAAATAGTCCTCTTCGAAGGTTATGCTGGTGAATGAAGTACGATCGTCCAGGCTGTAAAGGACAATTCTGAGCAGAGAGTGTTGGACGCTGAAGTTTTTTCAACGTAGATAGTATCTTTTGTCCTAAATTTGCTTGACAACTCATGCGCCAACTGCAGAACCGCCATAATGAGGATCCTTTGCAGGGCCATTTACTTCCGGGTTCGGATTGCTAGGGATGACCAATCAATTCGGTTGTTCGGGGAGAGTCATCTCACTCCGGCGAGGCCAGCCTCTTTCTGATAGCAAGGGTGGCTGCCTCGGCCTCCTGGTCTCCTTGTTATGCTGGGAACAGTTTCTCGTCCCATCAGCAGCAGGAACACGGACAAGGTATCGGCTAGTTGCGGCTCAGTGCGGTGTCTTGGTTGGCAGCCCCATGATCGCCTCTATCATCCTCGGTGATTTCTTTGGAGTTTTCCATCGGAGTTATAATACTATTGGCTTCAAAAGAGATCTGATTGGGTGCGCCGGGGGGGCCGTCATAGATAGCGCCTCGATGTGTGATTTCGTACAGTGCCACCAGTTTTCTAGGTTTTCAAGAGCTGAGACATTGTCTTGGCTTGAGCACATTGAATCCCAGTCTGGGACTATTCGATAAAGGCCCTTAATGATGCTAGAGACCTCGTCGCGGTGGAGTCATGGAGGTGGTAAATATGGTATTGGCATCACAAAAAGTAGGGGGGGAGGGAAACGCATTGAAGTGGATCAATTTTGCAACCAATCGGAGCAAGCCATTTTGTGGAGGCACGTGTGGTCTGTACCGTAGTACAGAGAAAACCTGAAACTCTCGCGTCAAGTTGCTGCTCGTCCAACCTCCGAGCATCAAGAATATTTTCAGATAGAATAGAAAAGTCATTGTGCGCAAGTTGAGGGGAGCATATGCGATCTGGGACTGACGGCAACCCCTCCAAAAATAAAAAAATCCAAAACCATCTACGAACGATAGGAAAGGGCTTACTGGCAGATTGGCATGTACAGATACAGAGAACTTACAACAGAGACAACGTTGTTTTCTTCAATAGGACAAAGACAAGCCGAGTTCCCTTCCTGGAAAGCGTCGAAAGAGTACCTCGGTGCATACCTTATTGGCCACGACACAAACCAGATTCCTTAAAAAAGCTTAAGGAGGCTTGACTTGACACAAAATATCAGTGTCATCATACGTTCAGCCTTCCACAACCGAGTAATTACGTGTCTACCCATCTATTGAGCAGTATACAGCGCCTAATTCATGATGGAGCACAATGTCCTTGAAGCTATATAATGAACGCCCAGGGCAGGAGCCCAAGCCTGGCCAAAAACCCGGAAGGTCGTTCGAGGCCTCCGAAGCTTGTTTAGCCATTCCAAAGTATCAATGGCACCAGTCAACGTTTGGAACATCTCTCCACGGCGAAAGGGGGCTGTGTAGGTGCGGGTGCAGGTGCACGAAGGGGGCTGTGTTGCATATTTCCTATGTCGGAGACCTCTACCTCGTCGCTAACGAATCCATAGAGCACCGATGGAAGCAACACAAACCATATTTAATTGGTTACCCGTTTAGAACACCCTTGAAAGAGAACACGAATGGACTAACTTCACGGCTCCAGCCTAGGGGACAAAACCAGTTCGACTTCTCCAACCGTCTCTCATACTACTTACCGCCTTCATGTAAAGAGAGCTCGTCTTGTCTTGAGCGGGACATTGCCATCAACGAAGGTCCTTCCTACATATTCATCAATACTTTTATCCAGAATGTTCCGCAAAGCCTCTGGAGGAACCGGATTCTCTTGGAATCGTCTCATCACCAACGCCATCCCTAATTTCGCCAACGACAATCCCAGTCGTGATGCCGACCTGACACCCACCGAGAAGGACATCCTCTGGACATACCAGATCTCAGGCGCCCAAACAGGTGAAAGGTCACCCATGACATTGGATGCCGGTAGTGCATTGAAAGCCGGCATTACGAGTGCGTTGAATTTCAATCATTCTCTCTTCCCTCTTCCGAGATCTCTCTGAGTCTCTCATCATTTTCATCCTGGTCCTAATACAGGTCCTGTGTAACAGCCTCGGACAAAATCTCCGCCCGCATCCACAAAGCACTAGTCAAAAACGGGATTCTCGACCCAACTAATCCGCTCGGCATCGATACTACGCGCGTCACGCCCAAGTTTGCGCACCAGCTGTCCTTCATCAGTGTCGCTGGTCAGCGAAAGACGATTGGGATGCTGTTTTTCTGGGAAGAAGAGGTGATTCGATGGAGACTGCTGGATCAGGAAGAGGCTGAGATCAACTCCGCCATGGAGGCGGAGGGGGTTTCGGAGCAGGCGAAAGCGGAGTTGAGAGTCAGGCTGGAGAGTACTAGAATGAGAAGGGCTATGAGACCGAGTGAACGACCTGTGGAGGTGGAGGGCGGTGATGGGAATGCTCAGCAAGAACAGGCGGAAGGTCCACCACAGTATGCATAGCCAATTCTAGGTGAACAGAGAGTACCATACCGCGCAATTGGCGGGAGTGAGGGATGTGAGAATGATAATGGTTCCGAGATTGAGGACGATCATGAACATGCAAATTAACAACGTAGCCTATCGAGATAGTCAATCACAACAATTTTTTTCTCCCTCTCTTCAAGGGGGTAAGGACAGCAATCACAACACACCAATCAGAATCAAAAGTTCTATTTTATTTATCTAGCGCCCATGGGTGTTTTGGTCAGATCAACAAGGTCCCGGTCTGAGAAGTGCCTATAGAATGGTCATTCATGCGAATTCGACACCATTTCTCAATGTGCCAATGCTCGATATCGAGACCTCCATCTTCGTACCAGGGACCAGGTATTTCGGGGGATTCATCCCTGCACCGACGCCTAGATCAACCACGATTGTCACATCAGTTGTCGCTCTTTGAAATCAAGAAAATATTATTCCACAGAGATTTCAGGGATTTTTCCTGGTGATTTAAAAAAAAAAAAAAAAAAGACATGGATGGCAGGATGGGAGACATTACTGGGTACTCACCTCCTGGCGTCCCCGTCATAATAACGCTTCCTTTCTGCAGCGTTGTGCCCTGACTCAGATACGAAACCAAATAAGCACAATCGAACAGCAAGTCCGAGACGCTTTCCTCTTGTCTCGTCTCGCCGTCCACAATGGTCTTGAGATGCAACTTGGCCGGATCGCTGATGAGTTCCGATGCGACGAGACACGGACCCATGGGGGCAAATGTGTCGAAGCCCTTGGAAAAGCCCCATTGAGGGACACGGCCGGCGAGGTTCGGGTCACGCTGGAGTTTGCGGGATGAAATGTCGTTGCCGGCCGTGTAGGCGGCGACAAAGTCGAGGGCGTTTTCGACGGAGACTTCTTTGGCGTCTTTGCCTATGACCATGCACTTTGGAGCGTAAGGCGTGATGTCAGTGAGCGAAAGACAAGAAACTGGTTTGGCAGGTTTGGGAAGTCGAAGATGGCAAGTTGAAGAAACTTACCAGTTCTCCCTCGTAGTCGGCCTGGTCATCCTGGGCGATCTTGGGAATTATCACTGGCACGTCGTGGTCGAGAACCGTGGTGTTGGGTTTGAAGAATATAAAGGGGAAGGGCGGTGGTGTTCGGCCTGCTTCCTTGACTTTTTGGTTTCCCGGTCAGTACACAATAGCTTGATAGGCTCCACCTCCACTCTTGTCTCGTCGAAAAATGAAGGGAAAGGAAAGGGTGGGATAGGATTCCAAATGGCAGACATACTGTGCTTCGCATAATTCAAGCCGACACATCTCAAAATTGGTACGTCCTCCTTAGCTAAAGGACCCAGCAACTTTTTCACCGTGACAATTTCATTGCTCACGACCGTCTTTCCCGTCGTGTCGAAAGGGTCGTCGCCGACGATAACTTTGGCCTTCAATTGATCAGATTCCGTCACATGGCCTAGGTCGAAATCTGCGCTGGGTAGGATCGGCTCGCCGCGCAGAACTCGTCCGTCGGTGGCAATAAAACGGATGAGTCGGTTCCAGGGCACTTTCATACTGAATACTCTTGAATCTTATGCCGAATTTTCTGAGTTGGAACCGGGAAGATGTTGGAGATTGTATTTGTTTGTCACTGATAGTTGGGAGGGGGGCAGGGTTTGAGGCGGGGAAATACCGGAACAGCATGGGAGTTGAGTCCTGCCACCATCCGTTGAGGACATGTTCGGACCGAATCATATGGCAGCCGTCTTCTCATGGATAAAATCACTCGGGACTTTTCTTGACATTTCAGACGTGTTACTTTTGGATTGAATCTACATAAATTCTCCCCCATGACAGTACCAGCCTGTTAGGTCGTTACTCTAGTGCCTAAATCAGCCGGCCATCATGGCCGTTAATCCCGTGTCAATTCCCACTAGGTCGGTGAACAGGTCGAGATTATTGTCCGTCCAGTATTGATACATGCCCACGTCCAACGCGGCAAAAGGGTCATCGGCGGCAATAGGAGGAAGGATACAATTGGTATCGACAGATCCATCCATTGTGGCCTCGTTGTGAGGTTGTAAAGCAAGCCCGTTCTGTCCTTGCATCTGAGCGGCGCCTGATTGCTGGCTAGCAGAGAGCGCCGATAAAATGGTGGGGCCGTGTTCCGGACTACATTGGGCCAGTGTCATGCATATCTGCACCAGCTTCAACAATGTCTTTCGAATTCTCTTTGCGGATCGTGTTCCTTCGCCGAGTCGCTGTAGCGTTTCTACCGCTCTTCGAAGCCGGGTGATCATTTCAATGACCTTGCTCGAATCCAAGGGGTGTCTTGTCGTGATGGGTGGTCCATTGGGAGTCCAACTGTTGGAGGCGGTGATTTCGAGTAAAATACAGCTGAATATCGCCAGAGCGGCGTTAAATGCTGAGCATTGACTGTCAGTGTACTTGTTTCGGTCAACGTCCTGCTGATGGTTGCTTACTGTAGTAGGCAGAGAACCACCAAGCTCCAAGAAGCGCTGGTGGCTTACTCGTTTTGTGAACAATGTCCACGACTTCCACGGCCGACTGTTGACATATCTGGATACTTCTTTTTCCAACATCGTGAAAGAAGGAGTCTCCTTCCTCAAAGATATCGCCACCGTTTCTGAGATATGCTCTTCGACGTAGAAAGGCGCTCAATATGGGCCGGTGCAAGAGGATGCGAGTGTTGAGATATCTCAGTGTAATGATCACGCTCAGCCTGTCAAAGACAGGATCCCAAGTAGAAGAGAGCATGGGCTCGGGATCTAGTGTGTCCCACGGTCTTCTTTGAAGCTGAGGGAATAGGCTTCGCTTCCACGCGGTTAATTGTTGTTCAAGAATAAGGGTTCTTTCGAGCATGGTAGGAATGGTCAGCTGTGGATCAGCATCCACGTTGGACCCGTAGAGTTGACTAATGATGTCTCCTAGGATGAAATAAAGTTGTCTGGCGCGCAATCAGTCACACTTCCTACAAGGGAATTGACCCGGAAGCGTACATCGTCGCGATGAAAAGGCAAACCGTGTCCGGAGGATCGAGGCTACTGACTGCCGCCGAGCTTCCCATCATGGTCAATTTTTCCAGATTTTGATTGACTGGAAGATCTAATTTGAGGTAATCATTGGGTATGGTTGCCGGGCGACCAAATGTCATGCTTAGAGTCCTGCATCTGATGAGATATTTGACCATCCTCTCCAATGCCGCATTGCTCACCGGTCCAGGATCATGCACCCAAACCACGTTCGTTTACGAATTTCTGCTTCAATGGAGCTCAGACCTGAGGATGCCGATTTCGAGTGTAGTCCCAGCTGGATTGCTGCACGAACCGCAAGGCCATGCAAACTCCAGGCCTGATCCGATCTTTGAGTGCCTTGACGGTATTGTGCCATCAGGAGAAGGCATTGTACTGGCACCGGTTAGTGAGCTCTTCAGAATTTCCATATCGTACAATACTTCATCAATTTAGGATGGGAAAAAAAGAGAAGAAAAAAGAAGAAAAAAGGAAAAATTCAAGGCGGGTCGGTCTGATTTGATCCCCAAACACACCTACCCGTCTCTAGATTGGCTGATTTCAATTCTATATCGGCTGACAAGGCCTGTGCTCTCTCGATGAATATTTCAGATTCAGCAGCATTCTTCTCGGCAGGCTGATCCGGCCTGGCGCTGATGTAAGTGGCAAAAGCAAAGATGACATTGAGCAGACACAGCCACGATCTTCCTACCGATGTGAATCGATTCCGTCTGGCTGCCGAGTAAGACCGAAGAATATCTTGTTCATGGATATAAGGAAAGAGCATTCCAGTGTCAGAGAAGAACAGTCTGATCAAGTGAAGAGCTCTGCTTTCGGAAGGAAGGGAGCGTATATTGACATGTTGTCGAGCTGTCGGACTTGTCTCGGATAGCGTGGTCACGGGAGATGCGGCTCTGGAAACGATGGGCTGATTCAGTCCATTCTCGGAATGTCGAGATTGTCCTATGGTTTTGAGTGTCGCTGAAGTGGCATCGGATATATGTCGGAGAAAGGCGATGTTGGACGATGGCCCAAAGAACCTCGATTCGATCTCTTCGGGGTCCGTGATGGCTGCCATGCCATCGACCGAGTCTTCAACCGCATTCTGCTGCAACGAGTCGTCTTCATCCAGAATTGCAACATCCTCATCATCATTGGGGGCCCGAATAGAGGCTCGATGCGCAACGTGAAAATCTTGATGGCGGTGATGTGTATCGTGGCTGGGGTCCAGTCCCTCTAGAGACTGAGCCTTTTGCTGGACGAGGAGTCGCAACGTGTCCTCGATTGCTCGCAGTCTCTCATTGTAGCCCGACTGCGTCTGAGGGGCCTTGACATGACTGGCCGCTGGCTGCTGGTAGACGCATTCGAAGCCTAGCTCTACACAGAGACTGCACGATGGCTTGGCACCGTTGCAGCGAGACTTGCGGTTCCTGCAGGAGGTACAGGCGAGGGCTATCCGCCGGCGTTTGTAGGATGGCGGCGGTGTTGTTTGCTCCTGGGAGTCGGTTTGGGAGGATCTTCGGGCTTGGGAAGCCGACATCGTGGGTTAGGTCTTATCGGCAATGCCACTTGTTTCATCGAATTCAAGGTTGTCTGATCCGTCACGTGTGGGATTCAATATCATCGGATTCCCGGTCCATCATCTGGTGAAGGATATGGAAGGGAAGGGTATATCGGGGAAGTTTACTGGCAGCTTGAACCTCTCCTCTTGGCAGACTCCTAAACTTTGGTTTCTCCCATCAAACCTTTTTTAATAGTGTGCTTTACCTCAAATTCACTTTACGCAGCACAAAGCCTCGTGAGCCGGAGTATAGGGCTCTGCACGGCCTTCTTCTCTCGAAATATGACAGACTCTTTAGTGGCAGGTCGTTGTAACAACACGAACGCGTCGGGTAACAGTCGGCTACATCGGCTTCTTCCCCGCATTTCACGGTGATGATGCGGAATTCCTGTGCTTGGCAAGGCTGAGCCGTGGAAGGGGAGGTTATTTGATTTATGTGGGAACAAATGTGATCTGTGTGCGTGCGAATCTACCGGGCACTCAGACGACCTGGAAAATGGCAACTCCTGATACCAAGACACAAATTGCGGCGTGGCTCGAGAAACCACAGCATGGTGCCCGGCTGCAAATTAGGAAAGACATTGAGATCCCTTCACCCGGAGACGGCGAGGTGCTGGTGAAGTTGGAATGTACAGGATTCTGGTGCGGAATGAAGAGCGGCCAGCAATCGGACACAGAAAGCGCTAATTTCTTTCGGCATCATAAAGTCACTCTGACGTCCACAGCATATATGGCGAAACGCCAATGGACACCGACATTGCCGGGCACGAGGGCGTAGGCCGGGTGGTGAAGCGTGAGTCGCCAAACGTTCTCTCGTATATCTCATATATACCTAACTGCCAGTAGTTGGGTCGAACACCCCAGAAGAATTGCTGAACTCCCGTGTGGGAATCAAGTAAGCGACACTGAGACCACTGAGTTCCATGCCACTGACAATGACACCACTTTCGCACAGATGGCAGTATAGTACTTGCGGATCCTGTGAGATATGTGCCGTCAATCCAACGGCATGTCCCCATCAGCACAACTCCGGAAGGGTGAGTCTATCAATGTCCCCATCCGCCATCTAATTTCACGTCCTGTTGATCCTCCGATCTAGGACGTGAGAGGGACTTTTCAACGTAAGCAGAACATCCTCTCGGTGAGCAGTGCTAGATAATTGCAGAGTTCATTGCCGCTCCAGCGAAGGACGTAACAAAAATTCCTGCAGAACTCAAATCCGAAGTCGTTGCTCCTCTACTTTGTGGTATGTGTTTCTTCACGCCGTCAAGGAACGATTGCTCAGTCACAACACACAGCGGGGTTGACAATGTACTCTGCCATTGCAAAAGCTCAGATTCGATCCGGAGATTGGCTGGTTATACCGGGGGCCGGAGGTGGGTTGGGTCATCTGTGAGTGGCAGTCCATTTCCTGTCTTCGTGCTATGCATAGTATACTAACATCTAGTAGTGGTGTTCAAATTGCTGCGAAACGAGGATACAAAGTCATTGCCATAGACACCGGCGATGCGAAGCGGGACATGTGTTTGAGGCTTGGTGCCACTGCCTTTCTAGACTTTAAGACCGATCAGGTGAGCTTCCTCCCTTCTCACCCTTGTCCTCCTGCCAAAATTCCGAGAACCTTAGCGGACTCATTCCCAGATCGAAGAAGAGGTGAATCGATTGACCAACAGGTTCGGGGCTCACGCTTGTATCGTTTCCGCTGGCTCGGAGGGAGCATATAGTCAAGGATTCAAGCTTCTGCGCAATTTGGGGACTTTGGTTTGCGTCGGCCTACCAAGACTGGATTTTGATCTCCCTATCTCGCCCTTCATGATGGTTGTGAGAGGTAGGTGATCCAATTGAGACCAGAACGTTCACCCTGGCCGGCCGACATCCCGAATGGACCATTCGGCTGACTCTACCCTTCAGGCCTCAAAGTAGTAGGATCTTCTGTAGGAACGGCCCAGGAGATGCAAGAGCTGCTTGATATGGCAGCCAAGGGTGATGTTGTCCCTCAAATATCTGTGTTTGACTTCGAGGAGATCAACCATATCATGGAAAGACTCGCACGGTTCGAGATTGGGGGGCGGGTTGTGCTCAGGATACCTCCGTAAACCCAAAATCTGGAGGGCCCGAGGTTTCGCTTCTGCTCCACGCCCTCACTTTTACTAGATAGTCCGTATCTCTGCCTCGTGTGCACCCGCATTTCTGGGTTCCTGCAGTTACAACACCGTTGACAGGCTGCAACACAGGCAGCAGCGCTGCCGGACACTGTTTAGATAGGTATATAGATGGGCTCTATCCTGCATTCATTTGGAGAGCCAGGGTACACTGGAGTTCTTAGCAGCACTTGTTGCCTGTGAATAGTGCAATTAATGGCCTTGTGGCGTCGTTTTTTGGTTCACATCAACATGATCCGATCAAGGCTGAAAGATCAAATGGACAATGAAAGTTCTGGGAGGGAAGTCTTTAATTCTTACTTGCCACACCTATATGCGACAGGGCTGGGACGAAATTTACCTGAAACAATTCTACTCCAAAAAACAACCATGAAGCTGGCATTAAAAAGCTCATCGAATAAGAGCTTTCCAACATAAATATATCGACCAACATGAAGACCAGCCTCAGATTCGTACGTGTCCATTTTTCAAACTGGACGGTCTTGCCGACCACGCCTGCTTGATTTCCCATTCAGCATCATAGCCATAACACCACCGTTGCGTGGTGGGATCACTCCATTGGTTGGGACTGCTCATGAACTGACGGCCTTCGACTTCAGGCCTCATAGCCTCGTCTCGCGCCCGTTGCAACGGGCCATCTGGAAAATGCCACAATTTGCCGTTGATCAAGCTTGCTTCTTGCATCTGGCTGGTTCGTTTGATGCGAACGGTTTCCCAGACGTGTAGCGCCGTCGACAAGTCATCAATACTATCGACCTGGTCGATCGCTTCAGCCAGGGCCGCTGCGTCTTCAACAGCCATGGCCGCTCCTTCGGACATGTACGGCACCATGGCATGCGCTGCGTCTCCCATTATCACGAGCCTGTTGGATGGTGCTACCCACCGGCTGAGAGCAGAACCACTGAGCAAGGGCCACTTAAGTGTTGTTTTAATCATGTCAATGATCTTGGTGAGCCTCGGGTCCCAACCTCGGAAATGTTCCCGCACGCCTGCTAGGATTTCCTCAGGACTTTGTTGGTTCCAGGTGCTGGGGTCTGAACGGTCGGGATGTGACAGGACCATATTGAAGGATTTTCCACCAGCGATGGTATAGGTCATGACATGTCTCATATCGCCGATCCTACAACAGTGTTGGCACTATCACAAAAAGATGGGAAGCCTCATTCCACACGAGTCGGAGGGTGTGATTTAATCACTTACCATAGATTCAGACTCGGTATGGCCAAAAGTGCTGCGGTATCTGCATGAGCCTTCATCTCCTCCACATCTACCGTTGCCCGGTAGGCTGCAAATCCCGTCCTCATGGGTGCTTGATCCATGCCTCCCAGCACTTTAATTCGTCCAAGAGATTTCACTCCTAAGATCAAATAAATAAGCCTGACGACGGACAAAGATTGATTCAAAGACTGCCTTACCATCACACGAAACAACGAGGTCTGCACTGTAAGACTCTCCACTTTCCGTCGTTATTGAAGGAGTCACATCGTCGTACTCAACGATCTTACAATTGATCTTTACTTCGACACCCAACCGAAGAGCAAGTTGATACATGGCGTCGTGGAAATGTGCTCGATGCACCACATAATAGGGAGCATCAAAGTTGTCCTGGAACTCGGGCACAAGCTTGGTGAGTCCAATCACGTCTCCATTCTCCCACCGACGAAATTTAATGTCGGAGGGCTCAACGATCTTGGATGCCAGAAACGGTTTCAATCCCCACTTGATAAGAAGGCGACTTGAGTTTGAGGGAATCTGGATCCCGGCACCAACCTGCAGACACACTATAAACCACTGGCCGTTGATAATCAACAGAAGGTTAAAAACGGCCATACCTCGCTCAGTTCTGGAGCCTGCTCGAAAACGGTGATCTTGTGGCCCTTTCTCGTCAGGGCGATGGCCGCTGCCAATCCCCCCAGACCGGCGCCGACAATGATGATATTCAGCCTCAACTTGGACAGTTCATCGGAATTGATCGACGAGGAAGTCTCCATCGCCTTCTGACGTAGCTTCTCTTCTTTTTGCAATTTCAAGAGAAAGTCAAGACTTCCAGTCGGATAGGACGCAACCTACATGGAACTGTCAGCGTACCGTGTCGGCCCGTGTAGGGTCTTGGTATACAAGGCTTACCTCCGGGATCTCGATAAATTCTTCTTTGATGGGCGCAACTCCATTGACCGTCTCACTGTCAACAATGACATTAGGGCTAGAATCTGTTTGAACAGTGGCAGAGACCATTGTCATTGTATTGATCCAGTCCCTTTTCCACTCTTCTTGGATGGCCTTCAAGCTTGGCTTGCTAATGCCTTTGGCTGTAGTATTTTGTATAACTTTGGTCCTATCTCAGGTTTACGGCCAGATTGGATAACTGTGAGGAGATCCGGTCCAACCGATATTGACCCATTGCAATGGGTCCTGCCACCAGAAGAAACTTTAAGCTGACGTCTCAATTGTAGTTCGAGGCGTAGGTTGGGGGCTTCCGTCGGGTATGCGTCGGGAAGGGAGTCCATCCCCCTTCAACCGTTTCATACTCCAACATCGTCGATCAACCAAAAACGAACATATCCGATCAAGTTTGATATCGGACATCCGAGGCCTGGCCTTTGCCTTTTATTAGAAGAACGTTTTCGTTCGTCTCACACCGGCATCTGGCAAACAATCACACAACTCATTCACCAAAGGGAAGTATTGCCTCCTCGGAAAAATACACCATGACCACCACTACCGGAACTATCACCCAGTCTGATGCTTCATCATGGAAAACAACCAAGGATCCTGCAGGGGATCTCGTCCAGTCTGCCCTCAATGTCCACACTAAGCCACTCTGGACCCAGATGGCTCGTTTAAACCCTCCGGAGCCGAACCCAACCTGTATCCCATTTATCTGGCGATACGACGAAGTCAAACCAAGCCTTCTGCGGGCGGGAGAAATCATTACGGAGGCCCAAGCGGAAAGACGAGTGTTGATGCTGGTCAATCCTGCCCGAGGTATGCGCTCCTTTTCCTCCTACTCCACAGCATAATATGCCCCTAGGTAAATAGAGCTAATCTTTGATATTTAGATGCCCCATATACAACCGACACACTTTACGCCGGGCTTCAACTCGTGATGCCAAACGAGACCGCCCGAGCTCACCGTCATACTGCATTTGCCATGCGCTTCATCATCGAAGGCCAAGGCGGCTTCACCGCCGTCCACGGCAAACGCATTACTATGCAACGCGGTGACGTGATCCTCACTCCGACCTGGAACTGGCATGACCACGGCAAAGACGGCTCTGGGCCCATGATCTGGCTCGACGGCCTCGACCTACCTAATTTCCGACACTTTCCCGTCCATTTTGTCCAGCATTTCCAACAGCCGAGATATCCTGCACAGGATGTCGACTCGAATGATTCCCCCATAGTCTTCCCGTGGAAGGTGATGCAACAGAAGCTCGATGAGAAGAAAGGAGACTGGGCATCCGAGGACTATTTGAAAAAAGATGGTAGACCAGGTACGAACCCGCATTCTTGCGTCCCTTTCCGTTCTTTCCACCAAAATTTAAAATACGAGAATGAATTCTTAGACTGACATTTTTGCCTAATAGTATCAAAAGTCCTCGGTGGCTCCGCCGAGCGTCTGAACGCAGGCTGCACTTCTCCTGCTGTCCGCGAGACCGCTTCGTCCGTTTATCACGTTGTCACGGGCCAAGGCTACAGCGTTGTCAATGGACAGCAGATCCAATGGAAGCAAGGAGATACTTTCTGCATCCCGGCCTGGAACAAGTACGAACACACCGCCGAGGGAAGCGAGACTGTGTACTTGTACAGATTCCACGATAAGCCTATGCTGAACTCGCTTGGGTTTTACCGGGTTGAAGGGAGTGATGTTGAGAGCTTGGTGTCTGACTAAATAGATTCGAAGCATTAACCATTGAATTGTCAAAATTGTATGATGATTTCATACCTTACAAACATGGTCTGACTCACAGGCGATCACAAATTGTAATTCTTGTTCACTAGGGCATAAGCTTAGTGGATCTCCTATGGAAATTGCACCATCTCTGCAACCTAGTCAGCCGTGGCTCCAGGTGGAGCATGCCGCTAGGGGGAGAAGATGTAACAAATTCTCTTTGGTCCAGTATCATTCAACCGTTCCGCTTCTCAGCATCAATATCTTTAGCATCTTCCACCATTTCCTCTCATGGCTGGCCGGCTGGCTCTCAAGTGTCCCTAAAGCAAACAATCTGATCGTTGAAAATCGAAAGAGATAATGGACCAGAATGAATTCGCAATTAGTGGGCGCGAAGACTTACCAGAGCACGTTAACACTCAGCGACGTAGATCAGATTGAGGATTCTTCGTGCTGTGGAATCCCCATAGGGAGGACTTCCAAAACCTATCCACCTTATATCAGAGCCTGATCAAACTTGGAGGGCATCCCAATCCGATGGTCAAGCAGATTCTTGAAGCCTCCAACTTGGCATCTAACCGTTGGTAGAAGCATCGTGGCTCGAGACGGGGCGGAAACAGAGCAACTCCGGTCCTGGGTGGACTGCACCTCTTTCCGCCAAAGCGAATCTTGAGGCTCGGTGGACGGGTGTTGAAGCGCTCAAAGTCTTATTTCGACACGAACAAGACTTCACGGTGCGCCTAGCGATGGCATGGTACATTTGCAAACCTACATAATGAACCTAACGCACACTAGGCCTCTAGCATATTGAAACTGTAGTCGTGGATGGATTGTGGGTTGGCGAAAAGTGCCAAAAAAAATTCTGGTATCGGTTCTGGGAGGAATGCCCACCGTGGATACGGCGTCGCCAAAGAGTTCATCCTCGCATTCTTGAGTAATAGTTCTCGCAACAGAATGTACATTAAGATATCCACATATTGTCAACAGCAGAGCAGCAGGATTGCAGAAGTCCTTACCATAGGAAGACGCGTATCTGGTAACCCACGTCAGAGCATCTGCATCGTGGGTATAAAACAGGGAACCATCGAACAACTTCAAATGCATATCTGGAGGAAGCCTCGTCGGCTCTCCGTATCCGCTAACAATAGTTGCGCTGCGTGAAATCTGCATGTTGAAAGAGTCGATTGAAACAGAAATTGAGAGTAATTCCACTTGATTGTGATGACGAATAACCTATATTCTTTTGAGTCGCCCGACGTGCGCCTTTCGATGCCGACACCCTCCAACACCAATGCTAAGTTGTCAATCAGAAATCCCAGTGTCGAACCAGTGTTGATACCGAACCGAACAGAGTAACCGTGAATGATCGTAGTCATTTTCGCTTGTTAGCCAGATCAAGGAGTTTCTTTCGTCTCTCTTCCTTCTCTCGCTTCAATTGATTCTCCAAAGCCAGCTCCCTCGCATCCTCTTCCTTGGCCGTTTTCAGAGCCAGCCTCTCCTCTTCATCTAGCTCGAATGCTCCTGCTTCCATGACCGATGAAGCATCGGAGCCATAATCCTCTTCTTCATCTTCTCCATCGCCGTCCATGTCGGATACATCTTCTTCGTCCGTGTCAAGATACTCATCATACCTGCTCTTCTTGCGCCGGATCTGTTGTTTTGACCTATTCGATACAGTACCCATCGTACCTTTATAGGTCGATGCCGGGGCGTGTAGTGGTGGTCGTGCTACCTTGGGCACTCGTGGCTGATCTGTCTTCTTGGCGGGACTAACGCTCCGTGAATTATCATGTTTGCCAGTCAAAGTCCGTCCGCTGGATTTTTCCTTGGCAGCTTTCGCCTTTTCTTCCTCGTGGCGTCTTCTCTCAGCAAATTTAGATACCTTCTCTCGATTAGTAGCCTGATGTTTGATCATCCCAATTTGATTCTGAGCCTTCGTTTCTTGCGCTTGTTTAGCCCTAGCCATGATATCTGCATATGATCCTTTCACCGGAACTTTGACAGTGGTCGTGGTTGGCGTGACGGGCGGTGTCGAGCCATCCTTCGATATACTACCTGTAGTCTCAGGTTTCGGCCTGGGTACTGTAGGAGTCTTTTCATTGGATGGTTTTGGCGCATTCAGGGGAGGAGCAGCCGTGCGTTTGTGGACACTGCTGGTCAACCCATGTACCGTGTTGGGTTTGCTGAGCTTTTCGGGTAGTTTTGTTACATCATCTTCTGCCTTCCGCTTGGTACCGTTCAATGGCGAAAGTATCGCATGAAAATCGGGCCTCAATCCAGGCTTGCTGACGTCTGCTTGAAGTCGATGTGAATTGGCACTCATCGGTCGCACTGGGGGTTTCGGCGGTGCGGGAGCCCTGTCATTGCCAATAGAATTGACAATGTCGCCTAGAAAGCTCATGGTGGGAATTGTGCGAGGAAGTGGGAAAGGGTCGTTAACGGCAATCAGCAGAGTTTCCGAGTGTGAGGGTGTGTATGGGTGACAGTCATGTTTGCTAGGGCGCCTGAAGGAAGATAAAAATACAGCTCCATCAAACCATCCGGATGATTAAAGGGACGTCCGAAAGCGCTTCCTCTGAATCAGAAATATGAAGGGAAACGGGAAGATGAAAATCGAAGAAGCAAAAGAGTCATGCTCCCCGCCGCCACAATTGAAGTCCGGCGAGCTGGGCAGTGACCGAGTCCTAGTCTCGGATCGGCAAACCTTCCCAGATATATTTTCGGCCGCGAACAATTTCGCCCCGTCGCACAACTTTCATGCCACCCGCATTTTTGGCCTTGTTCGTCACGGACGAACAACTTCAGAACTTGACGTGCCAGTCTCCGCTCATTTTGCGGTTAAATCGATTGTCTCTCTTGTTCGCCAACATCTCACTCAATCTCTGTAAGTCACGACGAAACTATATTTGCCAGCACCACTGACTTTGGGGAGAGAAAACTATTCAAAATGAAGCACCTCGCCGCTTACCTCCTCCTTGGCCTCGGCGGCAACACCGATCCCTCCGAAGACGATATCAAGGGTGTTCTCTCCTCCGTTGGAATTGACGCCGATGAGGAACGTCTTTCCAAGCTGCTCGAAGAGTTGAAGGGCAAGGATATCGACGAAGTAAGGAAGAATACATTGGCGGATTCTTTGATGGGATACTGACGGTGTCACAGCTGATCGCTGAAGGCTCAACCAAACTTGCATCTGTCCCAACTGGTGGTGCTGCTGCCGCCCCCGCTGCGGGTGGTGGTGCTGCTGCTGGCGGTGCTGCTGCTGAGGAGGAAGAGAAACCTGCCGAGAAGGAAGAGGAGAAGGAAGAGTCCGACGAGGATATGGGCTTCGGTCTGTTCGACTAAGCGATGGGCTCTCAGAAGCGTCAAAACATATCACTCTCCGCCATGGGAGATGGAACTACGAGCGGCAGATGGGGAAGAAAGATGGCATTCACAGCCAAGGCTGTGGAAGGGCGTGCATTCCCGAGTCGATTTGCGCAAATTGAGAGCCAAATCACAGCTATCATACTGACAATTCAAAATCCGAGTATTAGCAGGACCTTTTGTTCAAGAGGGGTTTCCTCGCTTCCTATAGAAGCCTGAATCTTCAAATCCGCCGATCAGGCTGCTGATTACCATAACTTGTGTTCCTCCTGTCTATCTCTTTCACATCATTCCTCAATTTTAGCCAACGTATCGATGTGGAATTGACATTACCGCAGCGGCCCTGAGCGTCGAGCCAACACTGAAATTGATGCCAAGATTCAGGTCACGTGATGAATTTGCCCTCAAAATGCCAAGACCGAACTCAAATTGAGCCCGATTTGGCCTTGAAAGCCTGCGAATCCGTCGACGTTTTGAACCTCATTGCCAACTGCACGATCAACAATTCCTACTCGCTTTTCGACAAGCCATATCGAAAAGCGAACGCGCAGCCTTCTGCCACGATCATGGCTGACACCGAATACGTACGTTTTGCCTCTGGGAATTTGATCTTCGATGATGAATGACATTATACTGATTAACGTCTACCAGAACGCCGAGGAGGCGGCTGAGCTCAAGAAGAGAAGAGCCTTCCGAAAGTTTTCCTACAGAGGCATTGATCTCGATCAGTATGTTTGACCTTTCCCTGTTTGCCGGAATTTCTCTCTTGCCCCCAAACTGGAATCCCAAGTAACGAAAATCTCCATTGACATTTTTTGTCATGCAGACTCCTCGACATCCCTTCCAATGAACTTCTCACAATCCTTCACGCTCGAGCCCGCCGCCGATTCAACCGAGGTCTTAAGCGCCGCCCGATGGGATTGATCAAGAAACTGCGCAAGGCCAAGCAAAACGCAAAACCCAACGAGAAGCCCGACCTGGTCAAGACACACCTGCGAGACATGATCATTGTCCCCGAGATGATTGGGAGTGTGATCGGAATCTACAGCGGCAAGGAGTTCAATCAGGTGGAAATCAAGCCTGAGATGGTCGGCCACTATCTGGGCGAGTTCTCGATTTCATACAAGCCGGTCAAGCACGGTAGACCTGGTATTGGTGCGACGCACTCTTCGAGATTTATCCCGCTGAAGTAGAGAAAAGAGAGAGAGGAGAACTGGGGAGGTTTTTGCCATCAGGGTTGTGGTTTGCTTTCTCGGACTGCTGAATATGAAAGGCGGGAGAGAGAGGAGAGAGAACCTGTCTCAGTCCACGTACATCATAAAACCGGGGGGAGCATGGCTATGATCAAACAAGAAAAAGAACGGAAAAGGTTCTTGAACCGTCCAGCCAAATGACTAGATGACCAGAAGGCCGTGAATGGGAAACAATATTGACCAGTCGATTCCGGGCAAGTTGCCATCTGTACTCGTTCTGAAGGGTATAATTCCTGATTAGAAACTTTTGATGCCCATGCATAGGCTTGCCTCACACCGCTGATCCCCCGAAACGCCTCGCTATGTGATATCTCGTCGTCAAAACCCATGGGATTTTCGCAGGATCTTTTGAATAGAGGACGTGCTCCCCCTCATTAACACATTCAATCGTTAGGGCTCGCCGTGATTCGTATCATTAGAATTACCATCACCTGCAGGCGAAGAACTATTCCCTGAGGAATCTGTAAGAACCAGCCTGACAGGTCTAGAGGACAACCCCAGAGTCTGAATAGCCCGCCTCACGTCCGGATTGCTCAACGACTCCTGGATCATATGCTCGATCTCCTGGACATCCAAGGTGCGATCGATCTCTGCAGCGGCGCGCCCGTCGTGCTCCGATATAGCATCGAGGGGTTGAGGAGGAGATTGAGGTGATTCTGCTTGCCGGGTATCCGATAGGCCCAGGAGCCCATTCAACACGCTCTCAACTTCACTAACGCCATTCATGGGCTGAAGAATCTGGCTGTTCTCGCGCTGCAGGATGTTTTCTCGGCGGAGAGGTGCACCGCGTTCGGCAACAACGATTGCCTCGCGATGGCGACGCCGCAGATGCTCCTCTTCCTGACTTCGCTCCGTGGAGCGTGGTCGGGCACTGGATATGGGCCGTGACGTTTCCTCCCAAATGGTAATGTCGTCTCTAGCAACTCCGGCGGTCTCTTCGCCCCCAGTCATCCAGGCGTCGTTATCTTCATCAGCCCGGCCTGAGGCGGCCCAACCGGAGTTCCAGTTATCTCGACCTACATTTTCCTTGTAACTGCTCGCATTGAGACCGACTTCGCGCAGTTGCTTCCGACCCAAAGGATACTGCATGATCTCGAGGATAATGGTGGCCATGAGGGGATCGTCTGATTGCCAGGCGTTGCGGTCGAAGAGCCTCACAACGTCGCATTTCTTGAAATTGAAGCGTTGATTCTCTGGCAGGGCGCAGGGGAAAGGATAGTTCGCCAGCCAACGGGTGACCAATCCGGCGGCCAGAGCAGCGTCCATTGTGGAGGACACAGATTGCCGCGACCTTCGTCGACTAACAAAGTGAAACATGTTATTAAGCACGTTGAGAAGAGAGACCTCATGCGCTGGTCGGTGGGCTGGTCGAATGGGGGAAGGCGGCAACTCCTGCCTGTCTGCGTTCCTCTCCTCCGGATTAATGTTGTGAAAGGGCAAAACATTGATGAGAGCTTTAACAACAGCTTTGCAAGCTCTAGGTTCATGTAATTCGTTTGACACCATTGTGTCCTGGAGTGCAGGGTGGTATAAAAGCATCCACAAGCCGTATATGGCCTTGTCACGGCGCTCATAATCCCTGCTGGCCAGATCCCGGAATAAGAGATATTTCGCACGGCATCTGACAGTTCGGCTAGCGACAATCTTGATGGTCGAAGTGCGGAGTTCGTAGCTATAGCCGTCTGCCAATGTGCGGAGGGTCTCGATCTTGAGGGAATTCTCTGAATCCTTTTGTAGACGCTTAGTCGGTCGAGGAGGTTCCGGTGGCGGCGCTCGGGCTGCATCCTTAACTTGTTGGAGAAGCGCGGGAATGGTGTAACATGCCGCGCCGATTCCTACTAGTAGCGCGGCTATTACAAGGCGATTCGATGAAAAGAAAGACATGTTCAATGAAGCTGAGTTGTGACCCATCCAGTGGGTTGGAGATACGGAGACGAGTCGAAGAATCAGGCGGAGATTTAAGTCGCAATAAAACACCCGGACACGCTTGGCAAGGCTGAGGCCTCCGGTTGGAACAGATCTGAACTTGGCTTACACAGTAACCTTGCTGACTCAATCTTTCGCTTTCGTTATTGGAATGTCTTGCCCGGCTCAGTCATGATCCTCTTCCGTGGTTCCTGGACATCCTTCCATCGCTCTATCTGGGTATCTGTACTTACACCAGAAACAGTAATTCCATCTTGCTCGAAGGTATGCCACCAGCCTCGTCAGCTTCTCAGAGATTTCTAGTGCCTCATATTCCTCCAGCTCCTCGTCTTCTTCATCCAATTCCCCATCAACTTCCTCGAGCTCTGCTTTCTTTTCCAGCGCCATTTTGTCGTCCCCTTCTTCATCTAGATCATTGTAGTCAGGACGCTTTGAGAGCGATTGACGAAGGCCATATCGCATCCTGCGATCACGCTCATTGAGTGCCCTTTGCTTGACGAGGCCGCGCCACAAAACATTGATACTCTTCAACGGTTTGGTCGGCTTTCGCCTCGTATAATCCGTAGGGTTGTCCGCAGACTTGGTAGTCTCTTCTTCCTCGTCGAGTCTCTCACACACTTTCATGGCACCCCAGACTTGTCCTTCTGTCCGCTTCTCTTCGCGCTCCTTCTGCTGTCTGTCTCGGAACTCGCTAGTCTCGACTTTTCTCTTCTTCTCGGCGTCTTGTTGTGCTTCCACCTCTTCTCTAAACTTTCGCTTCTTCTCGGCATCCGCCCCAATTCCGCTGCGTGAATCCTTCATTTCCAACCCGATCGGCTCAAGCAATCGATCGTCTGTCTCTCCGTCTGCGCCCTGTCGGGTTGCACCTAATGCCGTCCCAGGCTTGTACCCTAATGCTGCCATCATTTTAAATCCTTTATTGCTTGTGTCTAGTGTTGCAGAGTTCAATGCTGATTCTCTTTTCTTGTGTGCTTCTTCTGCGAGTTCCGCCTTTGATTTCGGTCGTGCTTTGGTCTCAGCCTCGCGAGCAAGTCGCCTCTTTCGTTGCGTCAAGGTCTCGTTCCTGGTAGATGGGGTAGGGTCTTCAAAGATCATATTCATATAGTCATCTTCATTACTTATAGAGTCCGCTCCAGGCTTAGAAGCCATTTTCGCTGCTCGTTTGCGCTCAGATTGTATACGAGAGGCCACAGAGTCTGTGAGACGTTCTCTTCACGCATGAAAATACCTGCGGCCAAGGTCATTGCATCCTTCAGATATCTGCAGCGGAATATTTTGGGCCTTGGATATTTGTAATTGGCGAAAGTGAATGAAGAGAAAATTCCTCACTATTCCTTACCGATATATTTGAGTTAGCATTGAATTCGAACTACAAACAATCACCAAAGGATGGATGCACCTGGAAACATTTAAACACCGGGAACGTCGCCCCCGATGGGGATCACGTGGTAAAAAATTTTGTTGTTCATGTATTGAAACAGCGCAAAACTTGCCTCGAAACCGTCGGGAAACTTGTCTCGCTTTTCATGATCCTGTGACGCAGGTAAGGCAGAAGATAGACTCCCCCTTTATCACCGGTAGTAACCTATTTCTTCAATAGTGGTTAGCGTGTCGTTCTTATATTGTATGCTTGCATCCAGTATGACCTTTCGGGTAATGCGAAAGTCGCGAGTTCAAGTCTCGCCAGGATCAACTTCCTTTTTGCCTCGATGATAGCCAAAGGGAAAAACCTTTGGGGGAAGGAAGGCGGAATCCAGAATAGCAAGCATCCGCCCAGCAGTATCAAAGGCATTTTTACAAAGTGGCGATGGAGTTGGAAATCCCCCAGATAGCGCAGTGATCTACGAGATTTGTGGTCATTCTGGCAAATTGTGCGAAAAAGTAGATACTTCCCTGATATGACATTGAGGCCAGCGCCTTGGGCAACGGAAGTAAAAACAGCCAACGCTTCCGCCAATTCTCCACTAGAACCTCCCTTGCCTCTTCCTCTTCTCTCTCTCATACTCCTTTTTCTCACGACCCTCCTCACCCTGAATTTCCGCAACCAGCCTCTTGAACTTCCTATCGTAAGCAGCATCCTTCTCCTTCTTCCCGCGGAGTTGTTCTCTCGCAATGAAATTGGCGTCCTTGCGCAATTCCCGCATTGCTCCTTTGCGCTCTTTCTTGTGCTCGGCTTTGAGTTTCGATAGCTCAGCCCGCTGTCGATCTGGGTCATAATGGCGGCCCGGGTTATAATTCTCGATGAAGGCGGGAATGGAGGTTTTGATTGCTAGGGGTCGGTGGTTATGTAGAAGCAAAGGTAAGCGAGAGGCCGTGGAGGTCTTTTGGAGGGCTTCAAGTTTTTTCAAGGTAGTGGAGGCGAGATCAAAGGTCTCTTTGGGAAGTTTCTTTGCCAGGGAAGTGAGGTGATTGAGCACTCGGATAAAAGGAGAGCTTAGCTCCGGAAAGGCCGACTTCTGCTTCCACAGCTCTGCTGCTTGAGCAGAGAGACGTATGAAGGCGTTGAGAAGAGCCAGACCGCAGGTGGCGTTATCCTGAACGTCTTTGTTCATCACAATATCTTTGAAGGACAATTTCTCAGGCACGGCCACAGAAATTGGCTTCACTCGAAATGATATTGTGGGCAACCGAATCGGAGTGTTCAAAGGATTTCCATCTTGATCTTGCTTCGACAGAGGAGTGGGTGAAAGACTGGCCATAGCATTGGCGACATAGTTAACCACTTCAGGGATATATCTTTTCGCTCGCCGCTGATATTGAAGTGCCAAGGAGCAGCAGTAAGCCCCGGTCCCCAAATCCTTCAAGGATTGAACAGAGCTTTGCCCAAGATATCGCCCAATGATTAGCGTCGCGGGCGTCACCACCGTATGAAAATGATCGGAAGTCGGGAAGATGGTGGAAATGCCTGTCAGGATAACAAGGTCCCCAACAGACAGTTGGAGTGGTCGTTGATCGGCTATCCTCTGAAGATGTCCCCGAAAGGCTGCTCCCACTGCTTGAGGGGATGACTTTGTCATGGAATGCAAGTGCCGCAATAAGCTTTCGAGGACGGAGAATGGCACGTCGCTGTTGGTATCCGCAAGGTACGCAACATGATGTGTCAAAACAGGAGCAAAGGTATCCAGTTTGTCTTGATTCCCTTCAGCGAGGCCTTTGTGGTACAGAGCACGAATTCTTTGGACGATCGTTGGCAGATCCGTGGCTTGGGCATCTTTTACCACATCCAAGAACTCTTTGTGGGTTTGAGGACAAGGGAAAGTGTACGCAAGGTTGCTTGTCGACCCTTTTTCCGTGGTCATCGACATCGTCAATTTCGTTTCTTGCGGCAAAACCAACCCGTTAATGAAATCATCGTCGCCATCGCCCTCTACCTCATCTTCTGGGCTAGGGTCTTCAGAACCTTGTTCGCTTGCCATCTCCGCCTCAGAGTCCGAGGCAATTAAATCATCGTCAAGCACGAACTGGTCTTCGTCTTCCACATCAAATTCCTTTCTTGGAAGGGTTTGTGGAGCAGACAGCCCAAAGGCCTCCGCATCATCTTCATCGACATCTTCCCCTGGTCCAGGCTCATCATCGTCATCTTCATCCTCATCCTCTGAGCTTTCGGCTTCGCCTTTCATTCTGCGAATTCGTTTTCTCTCCAGCTCTCGAAGCCTGGCTGCCTCTTCTGCGGCCTTCTCTTCGTCCGTTTTGGTTCGCACACTAGGTTTCGATCGAGCCTCCAACTTCAATTGTCTCAAATTTGCCTCATATTCTTTCTCCGCTTCTGCTCTGCTCTTTCCAGCCAATATGGCAGCGCGAGAAGGATCCATGTAAGGCCCTGGTTCCGTGACAGGCGGCGACAGTAATTGTTTCTCCGGTATTGGGTGGCCTCGAAGTGCTTCGTAGAATTCGGACATACCTTGGTCCAGCTCGGCGCGTAGATCATCGTCATCGGCCTTTGCAGCTTGACGTTCTGCCTTGTACATTTTGGACTTTGCAATAATTTCTTTCATAACTTCATTCTTCGTTTTCTTCCTCTGTGGCATTTGCTCATCTTGATCGTCTTCGAGGCCTTCTTCCTCTTCGACACGCAATCTTTTGCGGGGTCGGTCATCTAGTCCTTCGACATCTTCGTCCTTTCCCTCCAGCGATCCCAAGTCTTCTTCATCAAAATCGTCATCGGCATCATCTCCAAAGTCAAGCGACCTTCCACCATGTGTGAGTGTCATCTCTTCCTCGCTGTCGTCCTCCAGATTGAACATGGAAGTTTTCTTCAACTTGCGTTCGGTCTGGCGGGCGAATCTTTCGGCCGCTCTCTGCTCCGGTGTCATTGTGGGATCGTTCTCTCCAAACCGGCGGTCGATCAAGCCTCCGACCCTATTTCGACTTTGAATCTCTTTTAGAAGTGTTTCTCGTCGCCTCTCCTCACCCAATCCGCGAGTTACGCCGGGCCGACCGACAGCAGACTTCAATGCCTTGCCGCTCGCATATTCGAACTTGTCTTTTCGAGTTGGCGCTTTGACCTCGAATGGGTTGAACCGTTCTCGAATGCCCTCAAGGGCGGAGTTGTGCTGGAGTCGTTTCTGCGCGTCTTTCGCGGCCAACTTTTTCTTTTTCTTAGATTTCTGAGACCCCAAGACGCCATGTTCACGCAGGGAGGCTTTTAATTGTTTTAGCTGCGAGGGCGCCATGGTAGGCGGTCTGCACAAACCCAAAATCTGTCCCTCGACCTGAAAAAGTTGTAGCCTGCGTCCTGTCACTGAACTCCGCCGTAGACACTTGCCAAGATTTTACTTATCGATAAGGCCTGACACTTCAGCGACAATGGGAGTGTCCTTGTAGATGACTTTTGGATCTCGTGTCCATCTCTGACATCCCCTGGTCAAATGTCCTCTTTTCCTTCTCTCCGTACCTCAAAATATTTATGAAGACGCCTTTCCAGAATAGGTTAAGTCTCTTCTCAAAATACAAAATCTCCGTTCGAAACGATCCGGCATCCAACACATCAAGTTCATGAGTAACAGTCTAAGCTCTCCTCCCGGTTCACAGTCCATAATATCAAAATGCAATACTTCTCCCTCTCGCTCCTCGTACCGATAGCCTATCTTGGCATCCTGATCGGGTCGATGGCCACGTTCTCTCACCTCTACCGCCAGCGACAAGTGAACTCGAAACTACGACTTGCCCCTTACTTCGACGCACACACGAGCCGCGACATCTACCTGTCCCTCCTGCACATGCAAGACGAGACCAAAGTGCCCGAGTCCATCCTCCGAGCAGCACTCCTGGCGCGCGCTGTCGAGGACATCCAGCGCATCATGGAGGTGCGGAGGCGGAAACCGGCATTAGCGACGCTGCTGCAGCGGGGCGTGGTGGGCGACGAGATCTTCCAGCGCCTACAGCGCGCGGACCAGGAGCTGCAACTGGAAGTGAAAGACGTGGTTGCTGAGGCCAATGCGCTCGCGCCGAATTGGGGCCAAATTATCTTTCAGAGCGCGAACGAGATGGTGCAGAATAATATGCTACGCGACAAGTTGGAAGAGATCAAGGCCACTTTGCCCGCGGAGAAGGCGGCGTGGGAGGCGCAGAGGGAGAAGTCAAGAAGAGAATTGGAGGGTGAGGGGATGGCGAACGAAACAGAACAACCGTCAGCGACGCTGGAGAAGACTACGAAGTCGGGGAGCAGTGATGAAGATGGTGTTATTGTTGAACCCCCTACCGCTGAAGTTGTTGTTTCAGGCGGCGGGAGTGGAGGCGGAAAGAATAAGAAGAAGAAAGGGAAGAAATAAAAAACCCAGCGAATTTTCTCCTATTTTTAGGTCCCTGGCTGGAACTTTGTGATTGCTTGGGCGCCGGGGGAACAAAGCGTCCCATAAAAGCATGCATTCGGAGAACTGAACCACGGTCTGGGTCGGAGTGAAATTATTTTTTTTTTTTTTTTTTTTTTTTTCATGTACTATGATACAAGGAGGTTGTGAAATAACATGGCTGATCCATCTCGAACCTTTTCCCTCCCAGACCCAAAGAATCAGAGCTCCGTATCACTCCAGTCGCGGTGTACAAGGACTTCGGGAGGAACAGACGTCTTCATCTCTTGGGCCACGAGGGAGACGTCATCAGCAAGGCTGACCCCCATTCTCAGCCTCCTCTCAATCACCATGCAAAGAAACGACGTTAGAACATCCAACCTGAGTTCCTGCGCGGGCCGGCTCTCGATCTCCTCAACGTCCGAGGGTCGGATGCCTTTCTCATGCATTTTCTTATCCGTCATCGCGAGGACAATTTCTGCCAGACTCTTGACTGCGCTCTGATATCGCGAGCTCTTCATTCTCCGGACGCCCTTTGCTCGAGACGAAGGCGACACAAAATCCGACGGAAACGACCGAGCTATTTGCATGATAACCAAGCGCACGACCTCCTCATGTGGTAGCATATTAAAGGACTCCCGGAGCCCGTATAGAGCACAAAGAGTGCCTTGGGGGTCAGAGGAGAGGCAGAAGCATCGTATAATTTGCTCATAGAAGTCAGAAGAGAAATCGGCCTGAGCCGTCGATTTCTTCTTCGGGTCGAGGGCTTGGAACCACTCTTGCATTTCGGCAAAGAGAGTCCGTCCGTCCGGATACTCCTTGTTGTGCGCGGCAGGTGAGCCATAGTGAGTCTTTGCGGTGTCCCAAAGCGCAGCAAACGTTTCAAGATCGGGCGGAATGGTTTTCTTTAACGTCGAATATTTCTTCCACACATCGGGGATCTTCCCAGATCGAAGTGAAGCATACAGCCAGTGATTCATGATGAACGAATTAGGTTTGATCTGAGCGGAAGTGGTCATGACATTGGTAAGATGACTTGCCTTTACAAAATCTGAGCGCCGAGTGTAGTGCAAGAGGAGGATTGAAAATGTTTCGATCGTTGCCGGTGGTGCCCCTCTCCTAAGGAAGAACGGTATTCGCGTCGTCTCAATAAATCTCTCTGATTTGCTGGACTCAGTTGGCGTTGTTGGCGAAAGTCGTTTCTGAACCAGTTCAATCCGAGATTGAATCATTGCCCACGCAGTATTCTCAGCCTTGCGACGGGCACCTGGGGAGCCTTCCCGCAACCATGCCGCCACAATACCGTTCAAATGTCGAGCATCAGGTTTAACTCCTCGTTCGTACATCAACTCGACCACCAGAGCCGCTTCGTCGGCCTTGCTTTCTCCAAGGAGCCATTTGATCCAAGCCGCAAAGAAATATTTATTTTGAAACGATCGTGGAAGGACCACCAGGGACGTAAGGCCAATCTGATTGATAAAATCTTCACTCGGCGACGGCGGGACTTTTGATTCTTTGGCTAATTGTTGGAAAATTCTCCAGGAATCAGTTGGTGATCGGACTGTGAGCATGAACATGTCTTTGAAAATCGCCAGAGCAAGATCCTTTCGGCCCGCATGGAGCAAAGCGCTGCTGATTCGACCTAAGATAGCCAAAGTTGTCTGATGGTCTTCGGTATTCTCCAGCCTTCGTCGTAACTCCAAATAGCACAGCCAGGCGTTGTTGGCCGCAGAAGGGCTTTGACTTTTCGCCCAGGCTGAAATTACAGAGACGAAAACTTCCGGGTCGATCATAGTAGTATGCTCATAGCACTCAAATGCAAGGGATTGAGCCTTCCGAGGTCTTCCAAGATCAACATAGAGGCGGACGCCCATTGTCCAGAACATTTTGGCGATATCTTCCTTAACGCCTAGCCGAGACCTTTGAGCTTCCCAAGTCTCGGTAGCAGCAGCAATATCCCCATTGGCGTGCAGGGCATCAATGTACCCAAGCCATTCGGAATCTTCCAGCGGCACGTCAACTTTGATCATGTCTCCGCCGAGCATCTGAAGGTGTTTAGGCCTGTAATATTTTGAGCTTTGCGATTTCCAGAGAAAATGCCAGACATCCTCTGGAAGAATGACGGAGAAATTCGATACATGTTGTTGGCATCTCAAATACCATTTCCACAATGCGAAGTAGGTTTTGTCATCAGCTCCCGGGCTCTGAGCTTCTTTCAGTGCCGCATTGAACCGTTTGACATAAATTTTGTCCTTGTAGGGAATGCCCAACGTGACTTTCAGTGGGCTCGTGGAACTTGCGGTCCGTTCAATGCCCTGTTCTGCTTTCGCCAGCTCCTCGAGTTCTTCATCGGTGATCAACTCAGGATCCTCAGGGGGCATGACTCCTTCGTCTTCTAGTGCTTTCAAAAGCGCCTCTCTCTCATCTGAAGGCAAGGACTGCATAAATTCGCTTTGGGGCCCAAAGGGACCCTGCCGCATGATGGCAAGCTCTCGTTCCAACTCTTCCAATTCCGCCCGAACTCGTTGACCTTCGGCTTCGAGATGGTCTTGAACGGGGATTCTCGTAGATGCATCGTAACCTTGTTGTTCGAACTCACGGACTACGACTCGGTCAGAAGATGGAGTGGGCGCATGACGGACTGGGCGAGATCGAGGTGGTTGCCGAAAATGACGGATAGGCTGAAGACGTTGCAGGCAATTTTGATGCCCTGCGAAGCTCGGAGACAGACAAAATTTTTGATGCCATCTTCGAGAAAGATGACAAATGCCGCGCATAGAGAACTTCTTCTTTTATTTGGTGGTGCACTTGTCTAACCGTCGTTCAACACAGTGTTGAGAATATAAAGGGAAGAGAATTTGTCTTAGCGCAATTGAAGTGCGGAGAATGCGAGCCTCTCTAGTAAACGTCAATATTTTCTCCTGTAACATCTGAGGAGTCTGAATGATCAATGGATTCAGAAGAAGTGCAAGTAGATGAGAATGCACACACAGTGAGCCTAATTTCCCCCTCTTCTCACGTTCAACCGCTCAGCAGAACTAGGGGTGCTTCATCTTTAAACCTTCTAAACGATACGACGATGAAATAGACCACAGACCGCGGAAAAGACGCAAAAGCGACAAATCCACTGCGCAAAAGACTACGTCACATGAAGAATGCACATGGCCCAGCCTTCTGGGAGGCCGGGAACCTCCCACTGCAGTACAATTGCGGCAAGACAAGTTTCGACAAGTATGGACGAAACAGCAGGCGAAGATCGACGAAATAGTAAACGACGTTGACAAACAGTTTCTGGACGACATATTGGAATATGTACGCCACGAGAAGAACAACCCTTCTTCACAAGGTCGGGTCAAGACCGGATTGATCCTCTGTGGACCGGGAAAGAATGCACAACGCGACCTAGTTCAAGGATGGAAAAGGAGACGATCACTGGACGCTGCAGAACTTTTCATTCCGCTTCAACCCAGTTACGCACCGAACTTACAAAGTGCGCTGAAGAATGTGATTCGAATGGCAATATGCCGAGAAGACAAAGAAGGAGCCGGAGAAGAAGGGTACACGAAGTTTCTGGCGGCTCATAAGGCGTTGATACCAATGAACTTCGACCTGGAACTCCTCTGGCGGTATGTCGAGAAGAACGCGATATCGAGAGTCATGGTATATATATCAGACGTGGAGACGTTCGACACGAACATTCTCTCCGAATTGATTTCAACCTTCAGTTCCTGGTCCGATCGCATTCCGTTCATACTCCTATTCGGCATATCTACGATGGTGGAATTGTTTGAGTCTCGTCTTTCCAGATCAACCGTTGCACTGTTGGATGCAGAGGTATTCGAGCCACGCCAACCTCAAAAGCGGGTAGATCCCCTCTACGAGATCTACCATGCAATCCAACACGACGACGACGCAGAGCTATTCCTCGGCCCTTCAGCGCTCAATGTCCTGGCAGAACTTGCACAAGATCAAAGCACGACGGTGGAAAGTTTCACTCGAGCTATCAAATACGCGTTCATGTCTCACTTCTTCGCGAATCCACTGTCAGGGCTGCCCTCGAGCCCAAATACGGAGGAGGTCTGGTCCCCGGCCATCTCCCAGGCAATCCGCAACACAGCCGGATTCAAAAACCTCTGCGAATCCCTGGCCACAGGTGACAAGGACCAAAGGACCCAAGCCCGCACCTTACTTACCTCCGATGAGACCCTACAAACCGCTGCCGTTGAAGCAATAGAAACCGGACAACAACGCCTCCGCTCCGGGCTCGCAGCCATCGACACACTGCAAAAAATCTACCACGACCTCCTAAAACTCGACGCCCTCACAACTCTGGAGAGCGAGACGCGGCTCCTCGCCTATCTCCCAAATTTAACGCAGTCAGAAATATACGAAGCAATTGAGACGACAATGGCAGAAAGGACGTCAGCCGTGGACTCCAAGCTCTTCATCACCGGCGCCTGCCAGATTCTAAGTGACCTACGCAATTGGCAGCCCATCGAGACGCATGCGTTTGATACCGAAATTCCAACGCTCAACGATATATCGGCGGCCCTAGAAGGAGACGACAACGACGATGCTACCTTCGCTGATGAAAACTCTCCCATCAAAGCATTCCAGACTCTTCTGGCCAACTATCTAACCGCTCGAACCTTGTTCTCTTCTGCAACAGCACTGGCAGCAGATGATGCATCAGCTTCTCCATCAACACCAAATCCATTCAACACCACCACTTTCATGGGTGAATCCTATACTTATAACCTCAAATACCCGCTCTTCGCGATCCTACACGCCCGAGCACGTTACGCGCACGAACGCGCCCTAACCCGACCTGCAGATTACCTTGGCTGCGACTGCTGCACTATAGCAAAAAACCCAGGATCCACCGCCACCTTGCATCTCGATGCCTCCTCGTTACCGCCTACTAGTCTACTCTTGCGCATGCTTAATGAAGCAGGCAATGTCGTGAATGTGTGTGACCTGTGGGAAGCGTATCGGGATCGTATCTCGCCCACACTGAGAGCTGGCCAGCCGAAAGGTACTCCGAATGATGACAACAACGGCGATGACGCTGATGCTGACGCTGACGCTGCCGATGGCAACGGCTTAGAAGAAGCCACGGAACGAAAGGCCCTGGCGCTCTTCTATCGCTCGCTAGCAGAGTTAAGGCAGTTGGGGTTCGTGAAGACGAGCAAGCGGAAGCCGGGGGTCGATTGTATTGCGAAGGCGGCGTGGATAGGTTTATAATTAAACATAGACCCTTGCCGTGCGCGGTTGTATACGTCCAGAAAGGCGACAAATAGAACGGGGAAGGGTGTGCACAGAGAGTAAGAGTCTGGGGAACGGCAGACGCGGAGACGATTCTAAGCAAGCAGGAATCGATTAATTTGGTGTGAGACAATTACCAATTCCATTATTACAGTGCAACACTACACTTGTCTGAAAATCAGACAGGAATGTGTAGATGGTACCTCAAAACACACAACCCGACAAACGATAAACTAATGTCGCCAAATCAACACCCCATGCCGTTCGTCCTCTATGTTCGACGTCAAGAATCGTCAACCCTCATAAAGACATATGCCAGAAGCAGGAGGACAGCGAAACCAAACCACGCGTGCTAAGCCAAAGTCCAGTCCACGAGGCGTTGGTGTTGGCGTTTGTACTCCATATGGTACCCGATGACACCCAGTATATCCATGTCCGTATTTCATGTCCAGATCATATCCACATCCGAGATGATAGTGCCGGCGGCTGGTCCACATCAATCAATCAACAACTGTATTGAAACATACAAATCCAAGAGAATGAATGGGTATAATCCCAATGGCCATCGCTTGCCAACCCATCTATCGCAAAATAGGAGCCGGACTCCGCCTCGTACCAGATGATGCCATCCCAAACACAAGACTGGTACCTGTGCTTCTTGCAACCCATACCCAGCTACAATAATCCATCCACATCATATCACATATCAATCAATTTCATGTCTTGGCGAGCGACGCTGATACTCTCGTCATTTTTCTTTTTCTTTTTCTTGAACTTTGGTATCGCCACTTCACAATCTGGGCAATATTCATGGAGGCAACTGTCATCCATACAAGTTTTTGTTTTGTTGAGAAAGGAAGTAGGCCCTCCACAACGACAGCAGATAATAAGTTCAGCAGGCATCTTGTTACTCGTACTCATACTTGGATGATGATGAGTTTGACCCTGCCATGGCTTTATGATGCTCTGTTGAACCATCATCGTTTGAGAAGCTTTGAGCTGATTAGCGTTGAGTCCAGTTTCTACTCTCTCTTGCCGAGGATCACTTGGACTCGTCACCGCTGACGATGATTGTGGGGAAAACGGTTGCTGTTCGGGCGAAGAGTCGCTGTGTGAAGAGGAGGAGGACTGGCTGCTGTCAGACTCTGCTTCAGTCCTTTCCATTCCCTCATCTCCATCTTCGAGGTTCGAATGGCGTTGCTCTTCAGCCAGAACTTGTTTCGTTTTCCCTTTTCCACCAAGTTCGAACCAGCTCTGATGGGACTTCTTGTCTTTGATGAAGTGATCGGCGATGTGGTTGAATCTGATATTAATGGCATCCACGCCGTGTTGATGGTGTACAATGATGCTATTGCAGAAGCCACACCAGAACTGGCCTTGGTAGTTTCTGGCAATCCGGTGCCTTCTTGCATTGTACCTCCCATCCTCTGAACGACACTCGGGATGTGTGCGACGCATATGATCGATGTAGTTATCCTCGGAATGGTAGAGGACCTCATGACACGTGCTACAGCGCCAGCATTCCGGTTGTTCATGCTGTCCCTGTTCGTGCCGTTTCCAGTCGTTTTTGCTGCCAAATGTCTTGTTGCATCTATCAAAAGTGCAGCCAAAGGGTCTCTCATGGCGATGCATATGCTTTTTCAACTCGCTAGGCCGCATTTTGACTTTGTTGCAACCCTTGACTGGACAGGGAAAGTATGTCTTCTTGGTGTGGGGGCATACTTTGCCGCGAGGCGTTTCAGAATCGACGGGTCCTGTGAACCGACTGATCGAAGAGCCACCAACACTGGTCCGGTCGTCGAAAGAGGACCGTAATGTCATTCGAAATCGACTAACAATGTCTGCTGCAGAAAGGGGGATCCTAGCTTTGTCTGATTTCAGGGCGTGTTCGTCTAAAAAAGTTTTGATCTCATCTTCAAGAAGTTTCCCGATTTCGGTGTTGGGGGGTTTGTGTTCATCTTCGGGAGGGAAGATGTTTACCTTGAAACCTTGATGGGGTGAATTCTCTGGCGCAGTGCTAACCCCGATGTTCATGAGGTAATCTTCTGGTCGCCCACCTAGCTCATTAGGTATGGCAGATTGGACTTCCTGAGGAGACTGAAATTCTGTCATCCTATCTGAGTCCAGGACAGGATCGGCAATGGTATGAGGACCTTGGACCCTTCGAATCTGGTTGTTTGCGAATGCATACCGGGGGGGATTATTCATTCTCTTGGCGGCTGGCAACGACCGAACGTTCCTGGCCGCCGGGGGCTCAATGCCGGCCCAAGGGGTGGTGGGCCAAGGTTGTGCATCCCCAACGGGACTAAAACTGTTCGCGGAATGTGACGTGTCCTGGGATTGAGAATATATAGTTTGCGATTTCGCCCTTTGCATCATCATTCCTGGAGGGACCAGATTGCTGGTGTTGATTGGAGCCGGGGGGGGAAACTGTCGTTGCAGCCCAGCCGAACCCGCCGCGCTGGAAGTACGTTGATGTTGAACTCCTTGAGCCATGCCCATGCGAGGATTTGGGCTTGAAGAGAGACTGGGGTCCACTGCTTGATTGTCGAAACCGTAGGAACGCCTCATTTGACCGTCGATCGGAATGCCCTGATTGAAGGACTGGCTTGGATCCGGGTAGATATCCTGATAAGCCTGGTATGACTCTGTGACAGACCTCACCGGGGCGGCAGGAAGCATCGAGTTTGAAACAAAATTAAATTCTGTCTCATCATTCCGCTCTTGCCGATTTCCCTCTTGCTTATACCACTCCTCAGATCTGTCCAAAGTCAGTTCTCCGGATCAGCCAGTAATCGGGGACAAACTTACAATTCCAACAGTCGTTTCTGATCCTCTTTTTGATGCATTTTCTGTAGATGTTGCTTGAAATTATCTAGACGAGGCCATTTCTTTGCTGATCTCGGACAGCCTTCCGCAAAGCATCTGAAATATTTGGTGTTTCGGTTGTTGACGTCGTGAACCGACTTCAGATGTCGATCGAGGTCATTGCTGGTAGCGAAGCCTTTTGCCTGGCGTGGACATGCAGGGAACGTGCATCTATGTTCTCGTTGGTGTCGAGCGCAGTGTTTTCTATGTCTTATCAGCTGCGAGCAAATGATGAATGGCACGGAGCAGACTTACTTGAGATCTGACCTCGTCTTTGCATGGTAATCGCATTCACGACATCGGAGACGAGCCGGTCTCTGAGCCGGCCTTGGTAAAGGACTGACAGACTGGCCCGACTCAGAAGGGGGAGGGTTGGAAAATCCCCCGGGGATGATTGTCGAGTGCGAGGAAGGATAAACAGAGATCCGAGGACCAGAAGTGAACAACTGAGATCTATAGGGCCGTGGATCCATGGTTTCTGCAGAGGGATCTATTAGAGAATCACCTTCATTTTGAGATTTTCGTGATCCAGTCCAATAAGCCGAATCTCTGACTGATTCCTGTCCACTGGCAGAGGAACCCGCACGTTGACGGTTGGGAGTAGACAGATGTCGAGACTGCTCAGATTCGTCGGTCCTGATATTGGTGGGGAAAGGGGGGGTTGGTCCTTCAGTGGCAGACAAGTGTGACCATGGCGCGGTGCTCTGTGGTTCTAAATCCAATGGGCTTGTTGGGTGATGGGTCACGCCGATGATACCCACCGAAGGGCTTTCGACGTCCAGATAACGAGAATGAATCGCGGTAGATGCAGAAAGAGAGTATTGAGAGTCGCCTTGCAGGGAATCAGGTGGAGGGAAGGCTCCAAATGGGCCAGAAAAGTCCGGAAGATTGTAGTCAGAAGGCGAAAAGAAAATCCTAGGAGTTTGATCACTGGCAGAAGGCATGACGGATAACGGGGACTGGAGCCCGGTCAAGTCTGGATTCAACCCTGGGTCTGTAGGGAAGGCGGTGTTCACCACAGTGGCTCCGCCAGCATGAGAAAGAGTGATAGATGCCTGATGTTCAAGAGTCAGAGGACACGGGCGCACCACAAGGCAAGGAGGCAGTGCGGGAGCTACATTGGAACTGACTGCTTGTGTCTGGCAGGAGACAGACTCAGGTGGTTGAGATACAACCTTAGCCATGATTGAAGGGCTGCCAAAGTTGATTATATCTACGCTTGTATCAGCATTGAGCCATGAGACAGGCGGGGGAAATAGATGAGGATGGTCAAGAATGAGGCCGGGCGTGGACAAAGGTTTGGGGACGCTTACTCCAATCCGTTCAATCCATTCAACAGCAGGGAAGAGGGCTCAGAATTCGACTGTTTTGATCAGAATTCCAGAAGCACTGCCCCTTGTCTATCAGACAGGAGGACGCCTATGGCTTCGTCGAGGTTGTCGAGGTGGATGGCAACCAGTCAAGAAGAAGCGGGGCGGGTGTGAGCCTAGTTTTGCCCGACGTTGAAAAATGAGGCAAATGAATCGGAGAGCCGAAGCTAATGACCGACGCGCTTGGTGCAGAAGAAAAGAGATCGGGAATTGAGGACTGAGGGAAATGAGATCGAGAGGAATGAGGGAGGGATGAGTTGGGTCGAGAAACAGAGGAGGCGGTGCAAGACAGAAGAGGACTGCCGGTGGTTTTTGAGGCTGCTTGCCAGAACCTCTAGCGCAGTCGACTTGCTCCTACGAGGCGGGAGGGCGAAGATGGAGGATCATCTCGGGACGAATGGAATGAGTTTGCAAAGAAGAAACAATGCAACGGTTTCGATTCAGTCAAAGGGAAAGTGGTTGATGAGGGATGATGGGTGAGGATCAGTGGGAAGGGAAATGGTTAGTGCGGTAACCGGTGAAGCAGGCCGAATGACGGCAACCGCAGTTTTGGGGGGGGGGGGGGGGGGGGAAAAACGCGACACCGTTCAGGGATTGCCGGAGTGGTCCGTGCGACCCAGCGACAAAGCTACTACCGAAGACCAGATA